GTTGTTCCGTCCAAGCAAAGGCGAGCCAAACACCGACCTAGAGTCCTAGACAGCCAACCGCTTCATTTCAGTTAATATCGGCCCCTATCGAAACGGACGGTCGGGATCGCGATGGGGAGTCATCACGCGTGGTCCACGTGTGCGGGCAGGTAAGGGGTGGGCCCCACCCATCCTCTCGGGTTGGGCTTATCGGGCTTTTTTTTGTGTGTGTACGGGTTGGCGGTGAGTGGTATGGAGTGGAGTAGCTTTGAGATTCACGCTCCAGGTCAACGTCCGGTGGTGTTGCTGCTACAGTCGAGGTCCATCCATCCACTCGACGTGTCGAAGGAAACGGGAAGAGCACGGAAAACACGAGCGCTTTGTTTGCGATTTTTCTTTTGGCTGTACTGGTATGGAGGAGTGCTAAACTGTCAGGTCTTTGTGAAAAAAAAAACTCAGAAATCAGCAGCAGCTGACGCTTCGAATCAAATACTCCTACAAGTACTGTACTTTACTGGGACTACTAGTATCAAGACCTGCAGTTCTGCATAAATTGGAGTATTAATAATTGGCTTGCCTCGAATAAATTAGAGCAGCTTCGCGGTGAAGGAATGGAGCCTGATTGTTTGCCCATCCGGTTGCTCAGATTTTTATTTATTTATTTATTGCCCTGGATATATCCCCAGCAAGAAGAGGTTGATAGGAAAAGCCAACGGCACGAGTTTCCTCTGACGAATGTGTCAAATTGTGTGTCTCACCGAGCTCGTCCGATAGGGAAGACGGGGACCAGCGCGGCAGCGCCCAAGTGATGAACCACATGAAATGAAACCCCACTAAAAATCTACAGTACATTGCCATTCTTTCTTGTCGCGCCAGAGATCGAAGAAAGCCAAAATACGCTAAGAAGGTACCTGGTTTTTATGCAAAAATCAATCTTTTCACATTTTAATACCACTCAATTCACAAGAATATTCCGTTCAAAAAAAATTACAAGAATATTTTAACATTCAAGATGGCTTAGTTTGTGGTTTATGTATATTTTTGGGAGAAAACTACCCATCGGATGCCCGACTTTTTCGAACAGTCAAATGTTACAGTTGACAAACAAGTGAAACATTAACTTATATATGGTGAAAAAAATTCAGCAATTGGAACACTACAACATTTTATAAAACACAGTGAAGATACACGTTGAAACATATCACTACTACGTACTATGAATCAACTAGAGCAAACGGATTTAAACATATGTTTTTATTTCATCAAATATAATCATGTGATATATCTTATTGTAAAAATTTAATTACAACGAATACAACAGTGTGATCGGATCACAGATTAAATAAGTAGTTTAGAAGAAAAATCATTTTTAAGATCACTAAAATGCATGCATGCAAGCTTTGATGAAGTGGAGAGAGAGAGGAGAGTAGTGGCAAGTATTTCTGTGAATTTTGTGAAACACGGTAAAAACAAACGCTAAGACATGTCGCTATAACGTACCCCCTCCGTCCAGAAAAAAGTCCAATCCTAGCTACGAACCTGGACACATGCGTGTCCAGATTCGTAGCTATTGTTTGCCTTTTTTTTACAAAGTAGTATGAAAACATGAAGTATTAATGGTTTGAAACATATGATTTTCTTTAATCACAATATAATCATATGATATCTTGTTATAAATATTTAATTCCAACGAATACAACAGAGCATTCGAATTTTAGATCGGATAAGTAGTTTAGGAGAAAAAAAATATTTTGAAGATTGACACACACATATGTATGGTCGGAATGATAAGCTAAGATAACTGAGTTAGCACCAGGGTTTCACTTATCGCGAGATAATTGCACGATTATCGCGCTTACCGCAGGGTTACGGTAGGGGAAACCGGCGATATGGTTTGGATGAATTTTGACCAAATTCAAAATTCTGGAAAAAAAATTGAAAAAAATCATGGATGTAGTTCTTGATTTATAATTGCTAATGGTGAAGAAATTTATTGAAATAGAGTAAGCTAAATTCAAATTTGAGGGTAAAATCGAAAATAGTTTACAAATTGAAAAAAGGAAGACAATATTAGGCCTTAAGTATCCTACGTATTCTTCCAATTATTCTCAATTTCTAGTTTTCTACACATATTCAACCGTATTTTTTATTTTCTTTCCCTATTTATTTTTCATTTACATGATTTCAGCTACACAGCCCGCAATAACCGGGATAACCGTGTGAATATCGCGGTGAAACCGTGAGAATATTGCGGTGAAACCGCGAAACCGCCGAGTTTTGAATTCGAATTTTTGGATGCGATTTTTGTGCGATTTTAGACGATTATCGTGCTACCGCAGAGTGGCGGTAACCCCAGCCAAATGATAAGGTAAACCCTGGTTAGCACTTATTTGATTGCAGGTAGAAGCCCCCCGTAAACTTGTCATATCGGTCGATCGATTCGAAGCTTTCTCGGTATTTTTGAGTTTATTACCGTATCGGTAATTAATGATGGAAAATACATTAGGAGAGCTCGCCCTAGGTCCACAACGATCTTTGAGGTTCCATTTCAGGATCTATTTGCAATCTCATACGTTGTTTTCGCTGAAATCTATTAATCAAAAAGAGGCACCACGCTTGTTCTGAAGTCTAAAAACTCATCATACTAAGCCGAGGGAAAAAGAAAGTTCTACGTCATTAGATCATGCTGGGTCTAAAATGCAACAGTGTGGATTTGTATTTGTAGTTTCGTAAAGAATTGTGTGGGATAATCCTCTAATTAAATGGATATAAAACAATGTCTCATATGGTCATATTTTGATTAAAATATATGACAAGTGTTCTCACTAAATTCTGGCTTATCTCATCCAAGTTTTATCCCTAAACCAAAAATAAATTGGATCACGAAATCCATGCGAACCCAATAGATGAATAGACCATTAAATTGTCTCATCCAACAAAATATGGGTGACCATCTATCATCCGACCTTTCCCTTAACTAGATGATCTAAATGCATAGGACGTACATCCACTGGTGGAGAAATCTTTTTTACTCCCGGTTGGTAACCCCCTTTAGTCCCGGGTTTCCAACCGGGAGTAGGAATCTGGGATTAAAGATGCCTATCTTTAGTCCCGGTTGGTAACAACAACCAGAACTCCCGATTACCAACTGGGACTAAAGAGAGGGAAGCGGCAAGCGGCAGTCCAGATGGTCCCTTTTTCTTTTTTTTCCTTTTTATTTTCTCCCGAATCGAGTGGCATCCATATCCCCAAATCAAAATAACATCCCAAATCCACATCATAAATTAAAGTTACTTATACACACAAATCAAATACATCACAGATCCTAAAAAAATTACACACAAATCAAATACATCACAGATTATACATCTCATATCCATACAATGAATCACAAAAATTATACATCTCAGTGAATCACAAATTATCAAAAAAAAAGAGAGAGAAAACAACACCGGCTGTCGCCTGCCGACGGCGGCCGCCGCGGCCGCCGCCCGCCACGGCCGCCGTCGGCCGCCTGCCCGCCGCCGCCGGGAGGAGGGGGAGGGGGGGAGGAAGGGGATGTGTAAGATCTGTGTAGGAGAGGGGAGGGGAGGAGGAAGGGGAGGATCGATCTGTGTGAGTGTGAGGAAGTGGTTGCAATTGTGGAGGAGAGGATAAGTGCTAGGGATTATATACTACGTGTTGAATTTTAGTTCTGGTTGGTAATATCAACGGAGAGTAAGAGATCTTTAGTCCCGGTTGGTAAATACCAACCGAGACTAAAGTGGGACTAAAGATCCTCGGCCCCCTGACATGGTTCTGACAGAGGATGAACCGGGACTAAAGATCATAGAATGGTAGTGGGGTTTTTAACCAAGGCTAAAGATCTTTTTTTTTTGACTGGATAAAAAAGATCATTTTTAGTCAGGAACCGGGACTATTGTGGTTTTAGATCGACTCAGCAAAGATCAGTTCTCCAGCAGTGATCCGATGTGCGATTGGGGAGAGAATTAGTTCGTAACAAATAATATCATAGCCAAGATCGTTGATATGTGAAGAGTATCAAGTGGTATTAGGCTGCGTTCGGGAGTGAACCCTCACTCCCCGTCACGCAAAAGGAGCAGCGATTAGCGCGTGATTTAATTAAGTATTTTTTATTTTTTTTTCAAAAATGGATTAATTTGATTTTTTTTAAACAACTTTCGTATAAAAACTTTTTACAAAAAACGCATCGTTTAGCAGTTTGAAAAGCATGCGCGCGAAAAACGAGGAGGAGGAGTTGGAACCTAGTCTGCCGAACGCATCCTTTAATAGAGAGTGAAAGTCATTGACCCATAAGGCCACGAAGAATCTTCGGTGATCCTCACAAGAAATGATCAGAGGGCCTGTTTAGTTCACGAAAAGAAAATTTTTAGGTGTCACATAAGATGTTTGACCGGATATCGGAAGGGCTTTTTGACACGAATGAAAAAAATAATTTTATAACTGGCATGGAAACTGCGAGACGAATCTTTTGAGCCTAATTAATCCATCATTAGCACATGTGGGTTACTGTAGCACTTACAGCTAATCATAGACTAATTAGGCTTAAAAGATTCGTCTCCCGATTTCTTCCCTAATCGTACAATTGGTTTTTTCATTTATCTATATTTAATGCTTAATGCATGTGTACAAAGATTCGATAGGATGTTTTTGGAAAAAAAAATTGGGGAACTAAACGGGGCCAGAGCCGATCGTTCAAGTGTTGACACATCACACATGTAGACTAACAAATGATGGAAATAGGTAGGAAAGGCCGTTGACCCATGGAACGATAAGCATATCTGCGTGAGGGCGCTAATTCAATGTACGAATTGGGAGAAAATTGTTTGTCCGTAAAACTGTAACAGTTTTTCACATGGTGTACCACTACTTAATTAGCTAGTCTACTTATCGTGATAACGACTTATATTATATACATTTCTATTTAATGATTTCTAAGTGTATCTCTTCGCTTAATTTTGTATGCCCATCTCGATCATATGTTTTTATAAGAGGCCATCTCACTCAATTTGTTTTCCCTTGTTTTGTTTCTTTGGTAAAATACAGTTCACATGGTTTAGTCATCCAGCCTGAAAAGGAGAAGCCAGTTTGAGCCCAGCAGATTACATGGGTTTTTCCTTGTCGGTATAGTGGGCTAGGCTTGCAAACTGAGAAGAAAAGAGTGACCGTTTACCATTGGGCCGCCAACAAGCAATCCAAACAAAAAAACAAAAACTTAAGCCACATTTTAGTGAGCCCAATTCCGGCTCATCAACATGCGTGGCTTGGATTTCAATCTAAAACATCACCTTAACCAACTTGCACAGCTAGAAGCTGTGTGAGTCACTGTAGTCTAGTCTGTAGATAAGCAACCTACTTAATGTACTAGATGGTTCTATATTTGCTTATTTGATTTCCACAGAGATGCCATTATGCAACTTAATACTAAAGCCTTGATGCGTTTGCTACTATGTACTGGTAGTATACTACGAACGTTGTGTAAATCCGTCCGCTGCAAACTGCTGGTTCAATCGACGGCGCCGATCTCATCTCAGGGATCGAACGGGAAGAAGTCATCGACGTCCTCGATGCTCCCGAGCGGGCCGACCACAAAACCGAGGCTGCCGGCGCTCGGAGACGACGGGAAGCTGCCCGCGCCGCCGCCGTCTCCTCCTCCTCCCGCAGCCGTGTCACCGTTTCCGCCGTCGTTCTCCGCCGCCGGCGCGGAGCCCACCGTCGACGACGTCACCCCCACCGAGCTCACGTGCCCGACGGCCGCCGCGAGCTCGTCCCACTGCATGAACCGCTCCCCCGACGAGCTGAACACGTCGTCGCCGCCGCCGCCACCGCCGCTCGTGCCCCACGAGGAGGACAGCTGCGTGGCCGCGCTCGTCGTCGTCGCCGTCGTCCCTTCCCTCGCCAGCCGAGACGAATTAGCAACAACGACGCCGCCTGTGGCGAAGCTGATGATGTTGTTGTTTGGCCCGTCGCTCGCCGCGCCGGCGGCGTTGGCGATGGCCGTCGGGATAATCGTGGAAGGGTCCCTGCAGGTGTGCTCGCCGTAGTAGGTGATGTCGTAATTCGACGGGTCGGCCTCGCAGCGCTGGGTTTGCCTCCTGGCACCGCAGCCTTGGTCTAGCTTGTGCGTGCACCTGTAGTAGCTCCTGCATGTGTCATCAATAATGGTTAATTACCGTGTACAGCGCGCTTAACACAACTTCTGATGTTAGAGACCGATAGTACTATAGTAATACTTTTGTGCAATTATTAAGGGAGTGTATGATTAATTATCCTAGGAGTACCTTGGATAAGGTGAGTTTTGGATATCTTTCTGCCCATATTTCCGCCACACGTGACCGTCTTCTAGTGTTGCGGCGACTCTCTTGTTAGAGGAGCGTCCTCGTCCTGACCTGTACATATAGCAGATAAATTATATACTATAAAAAATAATTAAGAAAACAAAAATACATAATGGATATATGATCAGCTCAATTAGCAATACTTGCTCATTAGAATTGCTTATCGAGACACTAATCTAGTGCTATATATTTTTTTAATTTATTAACCTGCTACTGTTTCATAACTATAACTATTAGCTATTCTTGGCTGGCCGGATCAAATGGCTCTAAGATTCGTGTAGCTTGTTCAAGCATGCATGCCATCAACCACCCCCTCTCCTTCTAACCCCTTCTCAACCCATAATTAATTACCCTCAAATTCGGTAACTTAATTGGCAGAGTCTGAGTTGCCAGTTTGACACACGATCGTGCCACCAAATATTAGACAAGTGGACAAGACATAGCGCGTCGCCATTGAATCCATCTGATGCCTCTCTCCATCCGCTGGTGGTTGCATACATACGACCCCCCAAACCGTTGGATTTAGATATCAACGGCCAGGGGGTGCAGTACTTGACTCGCCTCAGCCTCAGGAAGTCAGGACTCAGGAGTAGCAAAACTAGTCAATCAGTGGTAATTCAGGTTTTGACCTGCTGCCGCCGCCGCGGCGCCTCCTCGTCCTCCCGGCCGAGCTCTCGCCCTCCCGCCTGACCACCATCGGATCGGCCGACTCGGCCACCGAGGTCCACCTTCCCGCCGCGTCCACCTCCCCGGCGATGTCGCCGCTGCCGCCCAACGTGGCCATCGCGCTCATCAGCTTGCTCATCGTCGCGTCCATCAGCTCCGCCGCGCACGGCGGCCGCGACGACGATTGCTCGGCCTGCGGCGGCGGCGGCAAGAAGCCCCTCAGCCTCACCAATCCGTCGCGCACCTCCACCAGGTCGTTCACCGCCGCCGCCACCCTCTCCGCCGGCACGCCGCCCTCCGACGAGAACGCCATGCTATAGCTAGCTTAGCCAATTACCAACCAAATCAACCATACACTCCACAGACCACACACACTCACACACAGACTGGGATATATACCGTGCAAATGAAGCAAAATTCGCCGTGCCAATCCGCGTCTTATATATCGCCGGGGAAAAAAGCCGAAAAGCAGTCGGAACTCGGAAAAAGGCTAAAATGAGGAAGCTGCATGGAAGAGCGGAGGTGGGTCCCGGTTCCCGACCGACCCCTGTGGCCCTAGATGTACATATCCAGATGAATTGATCAAAGCAAGGCAAAGAAAACCGGACATGGATTACATTACACATATATACATATATGGTACTAATACTATACTAAACTAAGTCGTCGTCGTCATCGCCATGACACAGGCGATGTGATGTCACGACAAATTCACGGCCTTTGACCGGACGGTCACTGGGAATGCCTAGGCAGCTTCCTCCACTACACATCTAGCGATCCGGATGAAAACGATCGAGTAGTACTCGCTTACTTGGCACACACACGGACCGTTAGATTACGTGCTCTGAGACCTGCAGTTTTCAATCAGGTTGTCCGCATCTACTTTGGATAGAAATTTCGTCTCTTTTAGTGTACACATGTTGCTTTCGTTGCATCTAACATTGGATCACTGATGACATCGAACTCGAGCCCTGTCGCTAGCCGATAGCAGCTAGCGATCGATCGAGCTGCATATATTGTAGCTTCATCTTCTCTTTATACGTACGTAATGGATCGGTCTCCTCCTGTACACAAGCATGAATGCATGATGCAGACACAAAATAAAGATTCATTAGTATACATTGGCGCGTTGAATGACACGCTTACGGTTGATGGAAACTGGAAACACCGAGACCGAACGGCCAGTGGTTTTGGCTACACGGGACGACGTGTCACACAGGTGTCTCTTTCCTCCACGTAGGACAGAAATATTAGAATCGATATAAGAACAAGTATATCAACGAGGGTGATTAATAAAGTACCAGACAGAGAGAGTACAATTAAAAAAATTGTTGATCAGCTGGGAAGCTCACTTGCAGTTAACTGAAAGGTTGCTAATCTCAGTAAGAAGAGACTGCGCTACCTAGCACCTGCAGTCTGCTACTACAGTTATGTTATTATAGATGGAAATATATATACTATATATGAGGTGATGTCAAAAGGGAGAAGATTATGGGTGTGCGAGGGAATTCGCTAGTCATGGAAGACTTGTGCGCGTGGTTTATAGTAGGACTCTGGACTTTGACAATCTCACGTATTGACGTATAGCTCAGCAGTCACCAACATGTACTCTGCAGTTTTATTCTTCTGAATGTCATTTATACGATTCTGCTACTACTACTCTAATAACTAGTGTAATGTTTTTTGGGTTATTTGCTGCGAATTCTTTGTACGTGATCGGGCCTTCTCATTGAATTGGGGACGGAAGTAGAAGACCAGAGGGCCATGATCTCGTTCTGTCTGTTAGTAATCGGGGCCGGAACCAAGTGAGTGCAGCACTGGAACACACGTTAGTAATATGTGCTAGTAGCTTGTCATTATTGCTCACTACAACATCCAACACAGGGGGTGGTAGCGCGTAGGTCTCATAGCTTTTGTTTGAGTTATCCTGAGGTCGAGAGTTCGAGCCTCTCTCACCCCAAAATTTCACCCTAGTGATGATGATAAGCATACAGATTATAGAGCACAACAGAGTTTGTTTAATTTTTTTTCCTGCAATGCAGTAGTATTGTTTTGCAATGCCATGTGTATCTGATTTCCCTTTTCCTTTCAACAAGCAATACCATGTGTATGTTTTGCAACGCCATGTATCTGATTTCCCTCTTTCTTTCCGCAATGCAGTAGTAGTTTTTTTTTCCCCGCAATGCAATGCAGTAGTAGTGTTTTGCAATGCCATGTGTATCTAATTGCCCTCTTCCTTTCACCATTCAAAAAAGAAAAAGGAAAAGGCAACTAGCACAGGCTATTACTATCTCCCATAGCGTGGAGGGGTTTGAGGCTCTATTGCTCCAGTAACATCTATCCTATTGTTAGAGTTTTGTGTCGAACATGTGTACGCAGTCGGTTACAGTTTATAATTTAGAGTTGTACTAGATGTTAAGACTAGAGTAAGAGTCAAACTCTATCATATGACCTCTCTTAAATAGAGAGGCGGATCTGTTGTAACCGCATGAAGATTTAGCATAGTAAGAGGGAGCGATTGTCGGCGGCGTCCGGCCGTGAGTCTTTGTAACTCTAATACGTTCTAATATGCTAGAGCGGGGAGGAGCGACCATAATCAGTGCACCGGAGATGTAGGTTTCGGCTAAACTCCGTTATCAAATATCGTGTCTCAGTGTCGTCGTCATTGTGTTTGGATCTCCTTTGACGTTTCTTTCATGTTTAGTTTTCGATGGTGATTTTGGACCGGTTTTGTAACACCAATTGATATCATTAGTCGTCCTGTCGCCGCCACGCGTTTACCGTGCCACTATACGTAACGGTTCGTTTAATCGCTTTATTTTCGGTTTTTTGAAAATGGTAGACGAATCACTTCCAAAAAAAATAAAAACCGACCAGTCCAAACAAACAAAAAAACGCACCGAACAGAATGACAAAGGAATCGGTTCGCTTTCAGTTTTCTCTACGCTCCACGCGACTAACCACCAGTTTTAGTGCTTCTAGCCCATTTCAAATTATATGGGTCTGTCGTGTTGTTACTTGTTAGCGTTCGAACATGATAGTTACTGGCGGATGTCTTTGTTCCGCCGTAATTAAGCCGCATCGCGCGCACGGCGACTCGGCGAAATCAATCGAGACTTCGAGAGGCACGACCGCACAACATGCTCAGGGTCAGGGTCTCAGGAACACGTACACTAACGCTATCAAACGCCTTGTTCGTTCGGTGCTTCTGGCCTTCTGCCTACTTTTTTGCCGACACGTGCAGCGGTGCAGGGGACGCGTCGTCTTTGCGCGGTAGGGTTATTTTTCTAAACAAGAATCATCCAATTCTAAACAAGAATCATCCAAATCAAGGCCATGGGCAAAAGAATCACACAAGTTCATAGCATTTACACATACAACTATACAAGAATCATACATGTTTTGACTCGCTACTTGTCTTCCGAATCATCGGAGAACACAAAAAGGAGAGAAGAAAATATCTCCAAGCTAGCGTTGAGCGCAGCCAGCAGGCAACAATTGACCGGTGACGTGCGATCATCGCAGGCGCGTCCTCTTCGTGTCACGGCGATCCTCGCCGCCGTAGTAGCCGTAAGCAGCGCCGCCACAGCCGTAAGGCGCGCCGCCGTAGTACATGTAAGGATCGGCTCCGAATGGCACGCCGACGGCGAAGAAGGGGTCGACGTAGCCTGGCGCCGGGCCGAACGGGAAGCCGTAGCTGCCGTGGCGATCGCCGTCGACGGCGAGAGCCCCGGATTGTGCTGAGTGGTCGCCCGGCACCACCATCTCCCGCGCCTTTCTTGGTCCGAGGACACCCGATGAGATCGTGGCGCTCTTCTTGGAAGACACGTTGCTGCGGCTCGCCTGCGAAGCGGCCGGGCTCTGCGGCGCCGCCGGCTGTGGCGCGTTGCTGCCGGCGGAGCTCCTCGTCTTGTCGGTTCCACTTGAGGCGCTTGCTGCGGCGCCGGTGGTGGTGGCGAGCAGGTTGGCGATGGTGGTGCGGAGCGTCGTGTTGGGGATCAGGTCGCCGGCGCGCGCCTGCGCCCCGCACGCGCACCTGGACTTGGCGGCGATGTGGTCCCGGATGCACCTGTCGCAGAAGCTGTCGAAGCAGCACTTGCTCGCCAGCACCGCGTTGGCCATCACGTTCCGGCAAATCTTGCAGTAGAGCTCCGCCGGGATGACGCCGCCAGATTCCCCGGACTCAGCCGGCGCCGGTGAGGACGCTGGAGTTGGCGCCACCCTCGGGATGTCGAATCTTGGATCGCCGTTGGTGGGGCAGTGCTGGATGAAGTGTCCCGGGACGCGGCACCGGTGGCACACGTACCCGGCCGGCGGCGCCCTGCCCGCGTGTGCGCCGCGGTGACCGTAACAGTGGCCTCCTTGTGACGTCGGGGCCTCCCACTTGAGCTGTGCGGCGTCGATCACGGCGCTGATAGCTTTCTCCTCGTCGTCGACTTCAGCTCCCGTCGACGTCGCTCCAGAGTCCGACGAAGAACCACCACCGCCCTGCGACATTGGCTTCTTTGTTGTCAACTCGACGATCGTCTCTGCAGGTGGCCCCGCGACTCGGCGCCGCACGACGACCGTGCAGCCGCTCGGGATCAGCTCGGCCTCGTCCGCGTACTCCTCGCCGGTGTTGTCGCTGTACAGCGCGACGCTCTCCCTGGGGCCGCGGCCGCGCGAACGTCAATGGCCGTGGCGCGCGGTGGCCATGATGAGGCGCTTGAGCTCGGCGACGGAGACGGAAGGCTCCTGCATGGGCACGGAGAAGGTGTCCACCCCGCTCCTGTACCTGTAGAACACCGCCATGGATCGTTCCTCGAGCTGGATCGTCGGAGAACGGAGGAGGAAAGGAATTGTGCAGCAGCGATCGTCGGAGAACGGAGGAGGAAAGGAATGGACGAATGGTGCAGCAGCAGTGATTGTGAGATCGAACGAGGCGGGGACGGAACGGATGGCGCGCCTTATATCGGCTGTCGAGGGTTCGGAACGAAACCGAGTCGGATCGGGAGTCGACTCCGAGTCGGTATAGGGGCCGCGTTTATTTACGTGCTCCTTCAGTTCCGATGCCTAAAACGCTTGCAGTTCGATGCTTCACTGAGCTGCATTTGGGCTGGTTCTTAACAGGCCATGGCCTATCCTGATGCTTTGCCCTGGCTAACGGCCCAAGTGGCCAGCACTGCGGATTCGGTAACTGGATGTGGGCTTATAGGACATCCGTTTAATTACACGCGATAAATTGATTTTTTTTCTTTATACATTTTTTATTAAAATATTTATAAAAATAATTTTTGTTTCGAAAATTTACAAATCTAGTCAACTCTCGCCCTCTAGGATGGCGATTTTTAAAAATCGCCCTTCCAGAGGGCGTTAAGGAACCTAAATGCAAATTTTCCAGCATAGTTTGTTAGCTCTATGATTTTTTATTTAAAATTATATTATAAAGTCATATGAAATAAAACTTTATATAAAAATTGTAGAGCTCGATGAGATCTACAACTTTGTAGTTATCAACTTTTTCATTTAAGATCTTTTAGATATTCAAATATTCGTTACAAAATATAAAACCTATTTTAAAAAATATCATATCTACATTTCAAATGACATCGGATGGATATAAACTTTATATAAATATTGTAGATCTACAACTTTGTAGTTTATCATTTTTCTATTTAAAATCATTTGGAGTGTCAAATAAGCATTATTTGTTTTTAAGCAATTAAAACCGGTGGAAAGGGTTTGAACACAAATAAAAAATTTGCATTTAGGTCCCTTAACGCCCTCTAGAAGGGCGGTTTTTAAAAAACGCCCTTCCAGAGGGCGAGAGGTGACTAGATTTGTAAATTTTTTTAAAAAAATATTTTTTAAATATTTTAATAAAAATGTAAAAATAAAAAAAGGTGATATCTCCTTTATTTGAGTTTGGATTTATAAATAATAAAAAAATGCATTTATTTTTTAATAGTGAAGTTCGTCCATGTCTTTACTTCAGATACAATCAATTATTACATATTTTGCTTATAACAAACAATTGTGAATTACAAAATTACAGCTTAACTAAAAATACATGAAAGACCTAAATGAATAAGTTTTAAAAAGTATAATTAGATTAGTTTGTTGCATCTATTTCAATGTACCACTAAAATAATAATCATTCGTAAATACGAGTACCTATAAATTGATTTTCGCAGATGAACCAAATGGAGGACCGCTTAAGAAAAGGATATTTTTTTTGAAAAAGAAAAGAAAAATCCAATTTTTCACATTATGAAGATCAATGTTCAAATCCGCATTCGGAGCAAACACATGCAAATCCACATCATTTTTTCATTGTACTCTAGCATCCAACATCAACACATGCAAATGAAACATCAATGGTAGATAGACGCATGTTGGTCGTCGTCATCGCAGCGTTGTTGCTGGATCTGGAGCCATAGCGAACAAACTGATGTCGCTGCACCAGGAGGGAGGAGTGGTCATGCCATCGCTCCTTCTGTCGCCGTGAGCGTCGCCGCTGCTGGACTTCCACCCCCGCCCCTCCTCTTCGTCGTCCCTGCTATCCTCATCCCTAAACCACCCCCATCCCTTGCGTCGCCATAGCCTTTGATGCCCACTACTGGCTGGTCCCCTTTGCCGCTATCAGCATCGAGCCCCACAGCTGTCGTTGTTCGCTCGGGGACTTAAGAGATGAGAGGTGACGAAAGAGCTAGGAGAGAGGAGAGATGAAAGAAAGGTGATGGAGGAGATGAGGAATAAAGAAATATTGAGGATTTGAGATATTTAAGGTGTTTCTTTAGTTTCTTCTCAGCTGGCTCGGTCCACACATCCTATTTAAGGCCCCCATAGTGATTTCAAACCATCTAGGCGGGACTAGTCGTAAGGGGACCAACTAATCAACTAGTCGTAGATTAGTCGATGACTATAGGCTAGAGGTACTAAGAATAATGTATAGATGTTTTATGTTTACAAGTAACAACTTTCACAGTTGACAGTTCACGCTAGACTTAAGGTCTTAAAGTTAAATCACTTACTTGTCTTAATTGCAACAAGTCCTTCATCCCCCCTCCTCCTCTCTCTCTTGATTGGATCTAGATGTCCGGTTAGAATTAGATGATGGCAGCATGCCTTCGTGGACTGAGCGGGGCTAAAGGCTTGCCACTGAAGTGTAAAGCCTAACACATACTCTCAGCCCTAACAAACTAGTCGTCCACAACTAATTTGATCTACTAATCGTGACTGGTCGTGATTAGTTATGATTAGTCAGACGATAAGTTTTCTAATCGAACTAATTGCTTCGAAGTTCCTGATTGAGGTTAGGGTAGTGATAAAGACGACTAATTGAGCGACTTGAAAACACTGCCCCCACAATTAACACAATTGGTGTTATTAACGCTCCGCCTAGATCTTTACACTTAGAGTCTAAAGAGACCCGCATATAAATATATAGGTATTTTTATTGACAGACCTCTCTAAATCCCGTTTGTAAAAGTCAATTTTCTTTAAGTATGGCTAAATCTATAAAAGCCTCCTGCTATTTTTACTAGCGGAATTTTTTTTCATCCGTCTAAACTGAAACTGTTATAAAAACTTGTTCTTTTATTGGTTATCAAAGAAAAAAAAATTTTGTTGACCCCTTTTCCAATTTACCTGTCATCACATAACTCCTCACCGCTCTCAGGCCATCCACAATCGGTACTCTCAACCTGTGCCCTCGCAAACAACGCCTCCTTTCCGTCGCCGGGTCGTCCCCTGGGAGAGAGGCGCGACCCCTAGCAGAGGAACGCGCGCCTCGGCTGCTTTTTTGGAGCCACCGCTCAGGGCTACGTGTTGGAGGAGGGCGTGGCTCGTGGACACGACTCCCGCTCTACAAATTTCCCCTTCCACCCTCGGTCTCGTCGCTGGCAGTGGGGATGAGTCGGAGGCGACGGCGACGGCGACGACAAGCGACGGCCGCCACCATCTCCTCCCCGATCTGGCCGGGGCGGGGAGGGGGGGCAGATCCGCCCGCTAGGGCGCCGGATCTACCGTCCCCGACCGGCGACGGCGCGAGGCGGAGGAGATCGGGGAGGCGGACGGTGCAAGGCGAAGGAGAGCGCGCGAAGCGGAGGAGGCGGATGGCGACGACGTGTCGGCCACCCCCGCCCCTCACGCCGCTCGCTGTCGACCAGCGCATCCCGTGCGCGGCCCTCCGTCGGTCATCGCACGGAGACGGGCGGCGGCGGTGGGAGCGGCCTCACGACGAGAGGGAGAGGCGACGGCGGCGGAGGGAGGCGGCCCTCGCGGCCGCCGGCGACAGTGAGCGGGCTCGCGGCGAGAGGGAGAGGCGGGGAAGCGAGGACGGGCGGCGACGGGAGAACGGGAGAGAGGGAGACGAGAACGGGAGAGATGGGAGTAAAGGGGGGGGGAGAGAGAAGAAGAGAAGGGTGGTATAGTAAAATAAAATAACTACGTCGAAAATACTTCTAATCGGCCGTCCGATCCGAACATAAAAATCGGATGGCTCTTGACTGCCTTCTCTAACACTCGTGACCGCACATCAGCACATGCGCTGCATACCACCTTTGCCAGTGACTTGCTACTGCATACTCCTTGCTTGCATGCATTCATTTAACATTATTCAGAACGATTTTTTTCCTAAATTACTTATCCAATCTATAATCCGATCACACCATTGTATTCGTTGTAATTAAATCTTTATAACAAAATGTCATGATTATATTCTAATAAAAAATAGTCATATGTTTCAATCTGTTAACATTCTTGATTTCATACGTAATAGCGATATGTTTCAATGTGTGTCTTCAACATGTTTCACAAAATTTCCAAAACTAACTGCACCACTCTCTCTCCACCTCATCCATACATGCATGCATGCATTTTAACAAGTTTCAAAATATTTTTTTCTCCTAAACTAATTATCCAATCTACAATCCGATCACACCGTTGTATTCTTTGTAATTAAATCTTTACAACAAGATATCACATGATTATATTTCGATGAAAGAAAAACATATGTTTCAATTCATTAACATTGGTTGTTGCATATGTGATAGCGATATGTTTCAACGTGTATCTTCATCATGTTTCATAAACTTTTTAAATGTTTCAGTTGCTGATTTTTTTTGTTTCACACTAAATAACTTGATGTTTCACTCGTTAGTTACCTGGAACATTTAACTGACTGATTTTTTTTTCATGCTGCATACTCAAGTGGTGTAATGACGCGCAGCGTCCGATATTTGGTGGAATATCGGACGTCCGACGCGGAGTCTTGTGGGCTTTCTGGGTTAGGGACACTCGTTAAGCTACCAGTGATATCCTTCATTGTGGGGAGTTTCCCTACGAGTGTCCTCAGTTAGTAAAAACACTCTAGAAATGGCTCACATTGTAGATGCCATCACTGCCTCACCACCTTATATTAGTCACGTTTGACGGATCAGTAGCCCACCGCTAACCACTCTCGCCTCCTCCCCCGTCTGTACTGACTACTGAGATGGAAGCGAGCAAGTGAAAGAGAGAGATTCCTGGCTTCCTGCCTCACGCGCACGCACACCAACCTCAAGCCATCGGGCTCTCTCACCCCGCACTTCTCCCACCGCCACCGAGGCACGGCTCTCGAACCTTCCCACTGCTTCCTCCCTCCCTCCCCTCCCCTCCCCGCGACGAGACGAGACGAGACCGGCGGCGGCGGCCGGAGTCAAGAGCCTTCCCTATGCAGCGGCGGCGGGGCCTCGCCGCGCTCGCCGTCCTCCTCGCCCTCGCGGCGCGCGGCGCGGACGCGTCCGTCCACGAGTACTCGGGCGGGGGGTTCGCGCCGCGGGCCAACTCCTTCTTCTTCCACGGCGGCAGCGAGGGGCTGTACGCCTCCGACCCCACCTCCAACTCCTCCGCCTCCTTCATCAGGTGCGCGTTCGGCGCTGAATTTTCCCCGTCTCTCCTCGCGCGCTAGGGTTTTTGTCGGGGGGGATCAGACGGTCCTGATCCTGATCGGGCGCGTTTCACTTGGGGTTTCGGATTCCCCGGGGGTTTGGATCAGATGCGCTGGTCAAATGTCGCACCTGTAAATCTCGATCGGAGATTTTTTAGAAATTTATGCGTACATGGATTGATCCATTGGGATGATCTGAAGTAGCTAGTACTAAAAATTGATTCTTTTCTTCGTTCAGTTCATGTGATCCGATATCTATTACTGTATTCGACCAGCTAACTTAATTTTGTTTTATTATTCGTACTGCCATGTGATTAGGTTGCTATTCAGGGATTTTTTTTTATTATTCGGTTTTACTGCCATTTGATTACGCTGCTATTCAGGGAGTGCTAGCACCTTTTGTTTCTACAATAAGCATTTTTGTTGGGTATGAAATGTGTTCGTTATTTACCACCACGACAAGGTGATCTGCGTACCCGCCATGTCAAATATTGGAGCAGTAGCATGTAATTAACACACATGGCACAAACAACATGGCAGTAGCATAACTACACGGTGGCCAATTTTGGAGTATCCATTTGATCAAGCATTTTTTTCCATGATCATTTGTATTAAATGCATGGGTAAGCACAGACATACTCCCTCCATCCCAAATTGATCATCTTATAAGGTTTGTGCACCAAGACCAATGATAATTTAAACCACATCGATCAAGATGTCATGCACAATATGCACACATTCTCCCACAATGCATGCATCGATTAAAACACAATGCACAATTAAAACCTTTAGCATGCACACATTCTCCTGTGTTGTATTAATTATATTCCGATGAAATCCGTGTCCATACGGTTACATGATGATCAATTTGAGAAATTTTAGCTTTCATTATATGATGATCAATTTGGAAAGAAGGGAGTACTATGGAAAGAAGAATGCCATGGTCTTATTTCACTGGTATCTCTTTCAGGTTTGACTCTGTCACATTTCGACGGACCCAGGAGTCAGCAGGTAGGCATGAGGCTATGCAGCAAAAGACAGGGTTAGTTGAGGCTATTATTGTTGAGATCCAGGACAGAAGCAAGATTGGTGGTTCTTACTTGCATTCTGATGCAATATGCTGCACTCCTGAGCTCGATAAAGAGAAGTCCTGCAAAGTTGGTGAAGTAATTATACAGCCAAATCCTGATAATCCTGACTGGCCAAAAAGGGTTCAGACATTTTTTAGTGGTAGAGATGAAGAAGCTAGCATGGTCACACAAGTTGTATCTATAAACAAAACAGGGATGTACTACCTCTATTTTATGTTCTGTGATCCACAGCTCAAGGGATTGAAGATTACAGGCAGGACTGTTTGGCGAAACCCACAAGGTTATCTCCCTGGTAAAATGGCCCCAATGATGACATTTTATGGTTTCATGTCGCTTGCATATCTTGTACTTGGACTTCTGTGGTTTCTTCAGTTTGTGCGATGCTGGAAGGATATTTTGCAGCTGCACTACCATATAACAGCTGTTATTGCTCTTGGCATGTGCGAGATGGCTTTCTGGTACTTTGAGTATGCTAACTTCAATTCGACTGGAAACAGACCTATGGCTATAACCTTGTGGGCAGTTACATTTACTGCTGTGAAGAAGACCATATCTCGCCTTCTTTTATTAGTGGTTTCTATGGGATATGGTGTTGTTAGACCCACATTAGGTGGGGTTACATCTAAAGTAGGTGCTCTTGGTGTCGTCTATTTTATTGCTTCGGAAGGTCTTGAACTTGTTGAAAATCTTGGAAACATCAATGACTTCTCTGGGAAAACAAGGTTATTTCTGGTGTTACCTGTTGCCATACTTGATGCTACCTTCATTATCTGGATATTTTCATCGCTCTCGAGAACTTTGGAGAAGCTCCAGGTAGCAACTTCACGGCCTTGCTAATTCAAGTAAACAATTTAATTCTGTTTTATGTGTGCTTGGATATATCACCCTTGCTGTTATTATAATTATTGTTTGCCCACACCACATTGCTTTTAATATCACAAAGAAAACCCCGATCTTTCTGAAAGGAATTACAAAGCCTTTCTCCAGTAAATCTGTACCTTGTTGTTCTTTGTTCAATTTCCCATTCAATACTTCATCATAGCCATGCCTTTCTTGTTTCAGCAATTAATATTTATGATTACATGTCCAATGAATTTGATTATTTTGTTTTTTAATATATGTGCTATAAAAATGACTTCCAGTTGATTTATGTTTATTTTGTCGACATCTTTCTGTAATATCCCCTGTACTGATTCGGCTCTAATTACATTCCAGCTGCGGAGAAGTATGGCAAAACTTGAATTGTATCGGAAGTTTACAAATTCTCTAGCTTTGTCAGTTCTTATCTCTATTGCTTGGATTGGCTATGAGGTATGAACTTGTCAATTCTATAGTCCTATTTGAGATGGTAGCAAATGTTGAATTAATCAACACTCAGGGATCCTTTTCTTGCTGTTATATATGATGCACATATTTAGATTATGATGTGACCATTTAATAACAACTTCCTCATTGCTTCTGATAATGGTTGATGAATATAAAGAGTCAACGCTCAGATCCTTCTCCCATCTTCCTATTTGACGAACATTAATATTGAGATTAGAATGTGACTGTACTACCTCGCACATTTTATTTCCATATGTGGACTTGTGGAGGTGGATTTTATTACAAAAAATGATAGGATACATCAATATGTGATATATCACTCCACAAACATAGAAGTTCAAATTTTACTGATACAAGTACTTTTTTTCTAGAGTTGCTTGATGAATCATCTCGAGCCATGCTTTAACAGCATGACCTGACTTCTTTTTGTCTTGAATCAGCTATACTTCAATGCAACTGATCCATTGAGTGAGCTATGGCGAAGGGCTTGGATCATCCCTGCGTTTTGGAATGTTCTCTCCTATGTCCTCCTTGCCATCATATGCATCCTTTGGTCTCCGTCTCGCAATCCAACAGGGTACTGAACCTGCAATGAAGTTTACTTTCTCAGTTGACAAGTAGAATTATTTGTTTGAGTTATCTTTTTGTATAAGTAGTAGATAGGTTATTTCACTTTGAACACACTAGACCCCTAGCAAGTCATAAGGGTTATACATCTTGGGTTTGCTATAGACTATAGACAAATGCCTTGTTTTTTCTTTAAAGCATTGGACTTGGGACGACCCTGTGTTTTAAGAAATACAGGACATTTTCTGTCACTATGTACAAAATTTTGTCATTTATGCTGTCTGTGCTGTGTACAGGTTTGCGTATTCGGAGGATACAGCTGACGAGGCTGATGAGGAAGGTCTCTCTCTTGTAGGCAGTGCTGTGAAAGGAACTGGAGACATAGTGAACATGCATGTGTTTCCAGAGGATAAACGTGCATGACAAGTTGTCATCTTTAGTGCAGCTGTACTCCTGGCTGAGTGCTATGGTAAGTTCAAGTTGCCCTTTTGTCCTCCAATAACACACATTTGAAATGCGTGTATGGGAGGCAAACCATCTTTCCAATACCGTCTAGATAATTTTTTTTGTACATAGAATATTTAGGATTAGTGGACTCTAGTGGGGATTCGTGCAATGGATATGTATGTGCCTATTCTATGTTTTAATGCCGTTTCTATTATCACTATGTTCCTTCTGAGTGAGATCAATGCTCCAGGTCAATTCTGGCCTTGCAATCTCCTGTTTATATATTATATTTGTTTACAATGCTCTACTCTGCATGAAGGTGCGGCTGTGTTTTTATGCCATATGATAACATCTTTAGTGATCAACCTTGTTAAGCGATCCTATAGCAGCTACATAACATCTTTATTTTTATTCATTAAGTGAATGCAACCCTGTCTGGCTCACAGCTTTAATGTTGTAAATATTTTTCTGTCCATGGAAGTCGTTGAGACAAAACTGGAACACAATTCAATTATCATGATCTGTTAACCATAACTAGAGCAGTAAACTGAATTGCCTTCAGCTTTGTTCTTCTTTTTCCTTGGTAGTTTAAACTTTTTGCAAGATTTTCACATGATATGATATCTGTTATTGCCCTCCTAGTTTTTCTAAATCAATTTGACAATATTGCAAGTATTATCATGCTAACTTTTGTCCTTGTTCTTGATTGCAGTGAAGTACCGTTTCCCTCTGCATTCATGGCAAGCTTACGACTTCTGAAGCTTGCGTGCAGTCCCAGTGTACAGGTCGTGACTTTGTATGGAAGGATTTGACTTCTATAGAATTTTACTCAATCCGTTGATGACTATCCAATACAAAAATGTGCGGGAAATAAACAATGACTTGGAGAGCGTGCTGGGGTTACTTGCTGTAATTCCTGCGCATGGTGTGGCGTGTGTAGTAGACTCGTAGGTCTTGTTTGGTAGAAGCGCACATTGTTAAACACATTGACTGCATCCCCACGTAACGTTGGTATGATGACCTCGTGCCAGTTGCTTATGCATTGCTCGCACGTATGAGATATGGAATGATTTAATTCTGGGTGTTTATTCAAGGTTCACCAAACCGTTTTGAGTGAGTTTGGTGGTAGCTGCATGGTTATCACGAGGTATACCCGTGATTTTGAAAACTGAAGGTTAACGCATCACTGAGAAGGTCACAGTATGCGTTAACCACGATAATACTTAATACATATATTTTCATCATTTTCTACGTTGGTTTGGTATTATGTTTTGCAAGTGTTAAAACTCTTACACATTGCGTCTAAAAAAGTAAAGAAGAAATTTACAATTAAACAGCTCGCCGGTCAAAGTTCAAATGGCTCACTGGTGTCAAATTTAGCAAGAGTATGAATATAGGTCACGAAAGGAGATCAATCTTGTGACCGTGTAAAGCGTAAAATTCCATTTGGACACACCACTAAGTCTCCATCTAAAACCTTGACGAGGAGGGAAGAAAAAGAAAAATGGTTAACATATAATCAAGTAATACAAAAGATTGGCAAAAAGAATTTTGTATCTATGTACCTATTTATTTCCTAACCACAAAATCTACCTTAAAATACAGAGTGTATGTATCCCTTTCCCATATCTGTACATTTGTCATTTCTTGATTACTTGGCCCCCGAAGGACGACGCTGTCTGGTGCCTACCCATTCACAGTCAGTACCTTTTTCCACAGCCGCCTCATCTCATCTTTCAGCCTCTTCTGCAACCAGAATTCGTATATCTTACTTCTGTGCTCATTGGACCATAGATAAAGGAGAAACAGGCACAACTGACAGGTCAGCACTACTGCACTTCTCGAGACAAATAATACATGACTAGGTAACACTTGCCCTAAATCAAATGATGCACCGTGTAAATTGATGAACAGAACTTACCAAAAAAATGGGCAAAAATCAGCTCAACAATTGAATCAACATAACCCGCAAACTGGGATCACAGAGCAACTGCGCCGAACCATTGTTGTCAGCTGATATCACTTGCAGGCCTTGAACCCAACTGCCGGGGTAGCTTTTTTAATAACTCAGCTTCTCTTGCTATTTGAATATCAGATGGCCAAAAGGTCTGATAGATTACTTTGCAAAGAAACCGAGGAAGCAAGCCTAGGACTATTATAAGGCAAACACTAAGCCAATAAGTTCTTGAAGCAGCCATATTGTATATTGTCCTGCCAGTAATAAGATGATAGACTTCAAATGTTGTCATTTAGAAATATATATATATGATGGTTTGAGGGAGGCACTGGGAAAACTTACCCATAGTTAGGGAATATTGGAATAGAATCTATTAACACCATGCACAAAAATGTTGCAGCTATAGAGCCCCATACAGCAAGATGGGTTATAAGCACCCAACGTTGGATATCCATGGCCAGATGAATATTGACAAGTATAACCACAGCAATCGTCCACAAGCTTCCCATACTCCATATGTCCATTGTACTGATATTGTATGTGAAGAAGGGAACATAGAAAAGGACAAGGCTTTGCCACAAGGTATCTAGCATTGTGATCCAGAAGAGCGTCAAGTTGTAGCCCTCATTCTGAAGCCCTGTTTCATATAGTCTCGGATAATGAAGTAGAGTATTATGACTCAAGTCCTTGTCCAGAATGCCAACTACCACTGTGGGAATTGACGTATAGATAAGGGAATAGAAAACACTACTCCAATCTGTTAATGCAAGAGTTGCAGAATATGCTGTATGCAAGATATACCTGAAAAAATCACATAGTAATATTTTTGTTAGCTTCAATTGAAATTACAAATACAAGAATGAGCAGGGGGTAGAATGTGTACCAGAACAACATTAGCACAAAAACAGCATTTCGGTAAAAATTGTAGAGGATCATGTATGCAATACGCTGATAATTCCAGTGTCCATGTACAAGAAGTAATCTCTTCAGAAAGCGGAACTGTCCCATGGCAAAATCTGATGCCATCACTGCTTGACGACCTTCTTGACCACATATTCCAACACCAACATCTGCCATCTGTATCATTGAAACATCATTTGCCCCTGCAAAAGTGAAACATGTTCACAAAACAAAAGGGTGTCAATTCTTTGTTGAACATGGTGAGTAATCAATTAAGGTCAAATAGTAGGGAAAAAATGCTGGCCACAAAAAGGCGACGAAAGATAAGATGGCAACATTGATTTCTAGAGAAAGATATAATTTGATCCCCTGTGCCACTGAAAGCATTTGCCCTTGCTGATCGTCAGGTTCAACAGATAAGACTATTGTTTTTGCTGAATTGGACTCCTATGAAAATGCAACACATCAACAGATGGCCAGGATATAATATCACAAAGCATCCAATACATAAAAAAGTTTAGGCACAAAAGGTAGGTCCAATCATATATCAATGATAATTCAAGTGTCAGGCATCTGATGATGCAATTTAAAATGTTTTAACATTAATTGGTAATGCGGTTCAACTTAGCAAGAAACTGAAGGAACCTATGACCTGCAAAGTTCCACATCTAGTTCAAAGTAACGTGCAATTACAAACAGGACAACAATGACAAATGAGTATGTCAACAAAAATATGAGATGTCAAATACCAGCATCACAAAACTAAAATCAGACGAAAATAATCTCACCATCACCAATTGCCAGGGTCATGTCACTTGTTCTGCTTTTAATCAAATCAACAATTCCAGCCTTTTGTAGTGGAGCAACACGGCAGCAGATAACAACTTTACAGGAAGTCGCCAGATCAAACAACTGCCATAAAAAGTCATGAAAGAAATGATTAATTGAAGTAGGAGGGTATGCACGTGGTTACATATGATTGTGTGTACCCAATGTATGTGCAGTAAAGAACTGGCTATAAGGTTCACCAAATTGTGGCATTTGATCAACCAATGCAACAAAAAAAACTTTCACAGATTACTGCAAAGAAGATGGAACTCCAACCTCTGATTCAAGATCCTTCTCTAAAATATACACCAGGGAGCTCCCATCAATTACCAATGCTAGATCAGTGTCAGCAAAATTTGCCACTTTCTCAGAGTATTCTGACTTGTCACTTGCAATAACTCCAGTCAGCTCGAAGTTATGTATGCCACTTTCAGACATGTGACCATTAGAGGTCCTCAACTTAGAAACGTCACCATTGTGCGTATGTTCGATATCTTGACAATCCCTCCCAGAATCAGATGACTTTATTCCAAATTTGGCTTTAGCATCAGCTAGAAGGCGCCTGCACTCAAACTCTGAGGATCCATTTATAACAATCAAATGCATATTTTGAGTCAATAGTCTACATGACAGACCAATCGATATAGCAGTTTCTTGCTTATCTCCGGTGAGAACCCAAACCTTGATTCCAGCCTGCCGGAGAGACTCAATGGCCTCAGGAACACCATCCTGCAACTTATCTTCAATTCCAGTTGCACCAAGAAGAGTCAGATTGCACTCAACAAGAGCTGCCGCCTGTCGGAGCTTTGCTGATCTCTCTGTCATGGAGGTGCTGGCTTCTTCATACCTTTCTTGCCACTCACCAAATTCTGCATCAGTCAGGTTCTTTGAACCAATTACTAAAGTTCGTAAACCCTCTGATGAGTAACCTGACAAGTGGTTTTCTGTAGTTTCTCTAATTTTAGCATGCAAAGAATTGTGAAGTTCATCATCATCTTCTCTCCTCAAAATGCTAAGCATTGAAGTATCAGCACCCTTAACAAGAACCTTCACAATGTTGTCTGGAAATCGTACAACGACAGACATCCTTTTTCTCACGCTGTCAAATTCATGGAGACCAAGAACATCCAGCCTGTTATGACAGTAAAATTAAATATTAAATAACAGACAGAAAATTCTCAACAGTAAAAAATGCATTTAATAGTAAACTGAAGATGAAATGAATGGTACAGGAAATGTTATCGTCGAGAAAAAAGTATGCAGTATATACCTTATCTTCTCCCCCTGAACATCAACAACAATGTGGCCAGTTGTCCTTTCCACAAGCGTATATCCATAAGCAGAAGCTGCAGTTACTAAGGCCTGCTCATCAGGTGATTCACCCTGGTAATCAATTCTGCCTATCTCATTTATTTCATTAACCAAATCGAGAGAATTTTCTGTGCTGACTGGAATGACTGTATTGCATGCAGCTAAAGTAAGAAAAAAATCATGGGCAGAAAGTCTTTCCTCTCCAACCAATGGTTGACTCAGAAGTGCTATGAGTTCTGCATCAACATTGACTCCTGACTTGGACTTACTGCCTTGCTGTCTCGATGACTCTGCAAAGAGACAGAGACTTAAGCATCAATAGGTAAATGATTAAAATCCTATCTGAGGTAAGAGCATAAGTGAGAATAAATAAATGGAAAGAGCTGCATATAAATGTCTACTATTTTCACAGTTTGAAGCGTGCAATTATATGGTATATAGGAACAATGTTTTTTTGTACACACGAATTAAGCATCCATTAGTCATTCAACCTGAGGAACAATTTGTCCAATATTCATAAACCAAATACACGCTGATATTTGTCCAAAGACAGTGATCTTACCTGTTGTGCTTATTTCATAAGATGAGTCACCAGTGACCTGCAAGGGGCTCCCATAGTTCTTCCCGTAGATGCTGGCTTGATGAAACTCCATCTTGTTTTGTGTCAAGGTACCCGTTTTATCAGAAAATATGTAACGTATTTGACCGAGATCTTCATTGATATTCAAGGACCGGCATTGAAATCTTGAACCTGAACTACTGTCATACATCCGTGTATCTCCAATCATAAAGTATGACTGCCCCACTCTGACTAACTCCATGGTGATGTATAGTGATATCGGTATCATTATCTGAAAGATTATCACAGAACTTAGGAAGGAGAAAAATATCTCCAAAGCGATGCCATAGAACTTGAAATCTTTTCTGTTTTCCCGACCAAAGGTGAAGTACTTCCTCCTGTAGTATGGTAGCGCATCGAGGTTTTTAGAATTTCTGAATAGCCATACCCCCATCCCTGTAGCCACAACTGAACAAGTGATCAAGAGGAACGCTGACAACCAAAGGGTTTCCCTGTTCATGTAACTCTCCAGATTGCTGCTCTTTGAAGGAGATATTGTACTGTTCAACATAGCTTTGGTCTCCTGACCAGCATAGACAACTACCCCGACAATCCATTCTGTGTTTTTGAGCTGGCATCCACGCAGTACAATGTTCGATTGTCCAAGCGGAATCCTATGACTGTTCAACTCCATGGTAGCTGTAAACTCATAGATGTTCCTGTTAGGCTGCTCGCATTTGATTAGCCCTGAATACGAGCCATCACTTATCATGGACATAGTTTCCTGGCGAGCATACCTTGTTTTCAGGTTTGACTCGCCATCTAAGTTCATTGTTTGGATATATGCTATACCATTTGGATCACTTGTACCAAGCAGGACCATATCACATGGCATTGTTTCGTTGGAATGAATTTTGACAACCTCCCCTGCGCAAATGTTTTTCCATGTCTTCAACCGAAAATCACCAGATTGGAGAACAAGAGCTTCTCTGTTGTTTTCATTCCTGTCAGATCTGTGACGCCGCCAGTCTTCATAGCCATCTTTAATAGCAGTCACAAACAGCACAAAAAGTAGTGGGAACAGTGAAGCAGTCCTTCCAAACACAGCTAAAGGAGGGAGCTGGTTAAGAGCAGCAATAACTAGGAAATATACATAAGCCAGCCGGTGGAACTGGATGAAGAGGTTCTTAGGAAGGAAAGTGATAAGGGTATACTTGCTTGTCCGAATCTCATTACCCGTAAATTCATACCGATCATTTGTCCTGTTGGGGTCATTAATGTAAATTAACCTTGGGTCATGCTCAGATGAAAATGGGTCTTCGAACTGCGAACTCTTGTTCCTAACCCTCTGGGGGCGATTTGGCTTCTCCTGAGGCTGAGAGGAAGACACCACTCCGATCTCTAGGGATGATGGAGAATGCTGCATCTCCATTGCACCACCCCAAGAAACCTTCCGCTGCCTCTCCTTCTGAGAGCATTCCACCGAGAGACGATGGAAAAAGTTCGAATCGGCAGACTGAAATCGTTCAGCCCCCCTGTTCACATCAGACTCTGAACAAACCCTTGACACAGCCTCCTCTTCATCCACATGGTTCACAGAAGCCGTGTCGCAATCCTCGTACAGTGACGAAGAGAAGGAATCAGTCTGGCAGAGGCATCCTAATGAACCCACAGATAATCGAGCAGGAGCCTGGCGCTTGGAAGGTGAATCGGAAGTTCCAGATGATGACAGGAGCAAGGGTTCACCGGTACTCATATATAATTGCCGTGACCCAACCCAATCACCATCTCAAGAAGCAGAGAGGAAGTTCAGCAGCGAGATACATGATGCCAGCAGAACGGCCGTACCCATCTCATTCTTGCACGATTCAGCGCCATTCCCACCTCCACAACTGCAGATTTCTTCAAGCTGTTGAAAGAAAAACAGATAGTCCAGCTTTAATTTCCACAGCTCGTGTGGCATATGTTACTGTAAAAGATCAATAAGCTGAAAACCTCCGGGGGGGCACGACTGAACAAAAAATTGCTAAAACAACGAACAAAAACATATAGCTAGTTTGTCTTTAATGCAGTTCAGCTAACTTAAAGTAAAGTGCCCCGATTAGCATCAACTAGTAAGCTTCATGAATACTCCTCAAAAGACATCACCACTTCCGCCCTCCTGAACACGTTTATATTCAACTAATCCATCACAAGCGAACAAACTTAAAAATTTCTCAGATAATTTGCTTACTTCTACTATCCCCCACGCAAAATTCAATCCGTAACTACCAGAGCGGTATCCCAGAAACAATCAGCGCTGCGCCAAAAAAACACCCAGAAAAAGAGAAGACACCAGAGCAGAATTTCTCAGATCGCGCCAAACGGAGACACGACCCCCGGGGGACCAGACCAAAGGCACAGGAACAGACAGGACGCACGCACCACGAGGAAGAAGAAGAAGAAGCCCCTCCGGATCGGGCCAAGGCCAATGCCGAGCTGAGCCAAGCACTCGCCCCCTCGCGGGCGGCGGCAGAGGATCCGAGTCGCGGATCTGAGGTTTACGCCGCGGGGGGGGGGGGGGGTCGAGGGAGGCGTCGGATCGGGACGGGGGGGATCCCTGCGGTGGCGGCGCCCCGCGGCTTTAGGGTTTCGGGAGGGCGGCGCCGACGAGGGAGGCGGCGGCGGCGAGGGAGGTGGAGGAAGGCGGTGGTGGTGATGGTGGTCGAGCTGTGTGTGGTGTGGGAAACTCTCTCCTGTTTTTTCGCTTCTGTTTTTTTCTCCGCGTTGGTGTGTGAGATCGGGGAGGGGTAGAGGAGGAGGTGGTGATGGTGGTACGGTGCGGGGGGTAGTAGTGGTGGACGGGTGGAGGAGCGCGAATTATTCGCCCATTTTTTTACGTGCTTGGTGTGATTTCTACGTTGTGCAGCTGCAACAACAGCTGCAGCTGCCAAAGCCCGCAACAGCAGCGCACCTTGTATTTTTGGGGTTCCCCGTTTTGCCCCTCGTGCCGTTAGACTGTTAAAAACCTTGGCTATGCTGCTGGTTTCGGCGGTTAACAACCTACTTCTGCTAAATACGGACTAACTTTCTGTTAAGCTTGAGAGCTCTTGGTTCTGGCAGTTAAAAATCTGCTACAGTTAAATAACCTTATGTTGCGCATGACGAAAAGTTCTGGCAGTTAAAAACCTCCTACAACTAAATAACCTTATGTTACACATGACAGTTTCTGATTCTTCTAAACAAAATAACTTTATGTTACGCATGACAATTCCTGGTTCCAACAGTTAAAAACACCTTGCTACTAAATAAGTTTTGATTCCTACATAGCTACATAGATGTGTTCCTCTATACTTGGTGCAGTTTTTGCAGCATATGCATAGCTGCAGCCATCATATTTTTATTTTTTATTTTTTGAAGAAACGACGGTAGGAGTTCTATCGGAATTTATAAGAAGAAGAGAATTGACCCTGTTTATACAGAAAACCGGACCCAAAAACCATACAACCGCACAATTTTGCTACAGGAAAATCGGCAAAACCCCACAGAAGACAAAGCAAAAAAACATGTGGCAAAACAACTACGAACCATAGTGGTGACCGAGAGAGGAGCAAGACCTTAGAGGCGAAGCCTCCAAGGAGGGAAGTAACGACAGAAGCCACTACCAACGCCCGTCCAAAAAGGACTGGGTTTTCACCCAAAGGGAAAGAGAGTCAGCAAGGCGACACCTCCATGGAGGATACGGCACCCGCAAGCGTCGATGTCACCGATCCTGGAATACCAGGCAGGGCTTTTGCCCGAGACTCCCTTGAAAGGTGCAGGACCTCCAAGAAACCAGAGCAGAGTGCTGAGAGTTATCGTTGCCCAGCTCATCGGCTAAACCTGATGCAGCAGCTTCGACTCCGCCTAAGCACTAAAACCCTAGCACTACAGAGGACAAACCGCACCGATCCAAACTCGGCACAATGACATGTTCACTAAGACACAGGACACTTGAAGCATATACGAGGCCAAAGAGCCCTGACGACGAACAAACTGGACCAACTTCACGGATGAACACATCCCCTCATCCACCGAAAGGCTCCACGACCATGGTCTGGAAGCAGACCGGCCAACATAAGGGAGGAGCATCAAGGAAGGTGAGGAGGTGTGCCATGCCAAAAGAGGAACCGAAAGTTGAAGACAGAGCAGCAAAGACATCGGAGTCTTCCATGTTTCCGACGAGATCTGTGGCGGAGGCATCTCCACCAAGAATCTTCGGGCTTTGCGGGAAACCACCCCTCGCAACTGCGACGACAACTTTCAGCTTCACCCCCAACACAGAGAAGAGTTGGGGCGAGCAGAGCAGCAGAAGACAACTAGGAGGGGGGACGTGAGGAAGGGAGGTGACAACCGTGATAGGGGTGGGGGGAGGGGGTGGATGCCACGGCGGACGGAGATGCCGACATGCGCCCCGCCGACTACCGCCCCACCGGACTGATGAAGAGACCGACCCGTGCCGCCTCGCAAGCGTCGGCCTCCGCTGCCCACACGCGCCAGCCACCGTCGCGCGTGCCTACCCCGTGCGCCGGCCACCCACCAACGCGCACAACAGAGGTCCACCGCCGGCCCCGCTCCACGCCGGCGCGCCGCCACCCGCTACGACTAGATCCAGCCTAGGGAAGGCTAGATTCGGCGACGGCAGAGGCGGATCTGCCATCGCCTAGCCGAGACGCCACACCGCCGCCACACCCCACCACCGGCAGTCGCCGCCACCCCCGCGCCTGAGAGGATGCGCCGCCAACTGAGAAGGCCCCGCCGCTGCCCTCCTCGCTGGCCAGCCGGCTTTCCGGCGATGAGCTCTGGTGGCGGCGAGGGGAGGGAAATGGGAGAAAGGGACGGCAACACTGGGCGTTTCGCCCCCCGTGTCGCCAGACACGAGGGCGACGCGGGGGTAGAGTCTCAGTTGAACTATGGATCATCAATGCCATCATATTTTTATATATGCTGAGATAATGTGCATCAAGTAGGACTAGTATTACTAAGGTAGTGTTTGGATCTAGGGACTTAACTTTAGTCTCTATATTTAGACACTAATTTAGAGTATTAAATATAGACTACTTACAAAACTACTTACATAAATGAAAGCTGATTTGCGAGATAAATTTTTTAAGCCTAATTAATCCATAATTAGAGTATGTTTACTGTAGCATCATATAGGCTAATCATGTATTAATTAAGCTCAATAGATTCATCTCGCGAATTAGTCCAAGATTATGGATGGGTTTTATTAATAGTCTAGTTTAATATTTATAATTAGTGTCCAAACATCTGATGTGATAGGGACTTAAAAGTTAGTCCCATCTAAACAGGGTCTAATGGTTAACATATGGACCTAGAGAAAAAGTTAGGCATGTATATATATCAGTGGCTTCAATCTATCACTTGTAGTATGTAGCTAGTGGTTTTCTCTCAAATCAACCTAGTTTAAAAAACTCGTGGCACCACTCGATTCAAAGTCGGTTACTGGTATCGAGATAAATCGACTAAAAGTAAATTTTAGAAATTTAAAAATCAAATTTTGTTGTTTTCTTACTAGTGCATCTTTCTATGGTAATCGGCTACCAATTATGTGAAATATTTGATTATTGAACATTCTCTGACAAATTTTAGTAACCAATTGGCATTTGACCCCAATAACGAAAACTATGTGAATTTTGTTTGGGATTAACATAATATACTTACTTAATTTCTCTCTATGTAGGTACGGTCCTATGTGGTATTTCTTACACCTAATAAAATAATTATGTGAGGATTTCTCATACCCATAAGAATGATATAGGAATTTAGTTTTAACTCCTAAAGATTACAACGATATAGTGTATGCCCTTATATAGTTTTTTTTCTAAATGTTGTAATCTCAACTCATTTGTCTTGTTCTCCTTTTTATAATAAAGTTTAGGACCATGATATACGTTACTATAATTTTACCAAGTATCTCATCCGTCTAAAAAAAACTATCCGTCTAAAAAAACTAATCCTACCTACGAACCTGAACACATGTGTGTCTAGGTTCGTACATATGTATATACAGGTTCGTATGTAGGAATTTGTTTTTTTTTGAACGGAGTAGTATGATACTCCCTCCATCTATTTTTAATAGTTATATTTCTAAATCTGAAAAATTTATTTTTGATAGACATATTTCAATCCAACAACCTATCATCTTAATGACTTTCTCGGATTTAATGCGTGACTCTCCATTCTTTCACACAAGATTGGCTATATGGCATCGAGAAATATAAATATTAATGAATCGCTTGTTTACGAGGAATGACTAGTAGCATGTTTAAATGGATGATAAGTAGAATTACTTATCCTTGGTCTGTGTGCCAAGATAAAATATGTCTATGAAAAGTAGATGGAGGGAGTACTAAAGAAGAGATTTAACAAAAAAAATAGTATCACAAACAAATTTAACAGGAAATAAAAATCCAAAATGACGAGAAAAGCCGACTTGGCGTACTGCCAGCCGTATGAAATACAGTAACCAGAAAACAAGCCGCTCCTTTTTCTTTCTGGCTAACCTAGTGGCAGGATGGTAAATACACCCGTCGTCTCAGGGCGTGTATCGCACTGACCCTGATTAATGAAAGCCAAGTTGAATCTGTGGGGGCCACCGCCGTCTTCATCCACGACCAAACTCACCTTGAACTAAAAAATGCGGTGCAGGTAAAAGCGACTGGTACCGTACAATACAACAGCCCATATCCATACTCCATACATACAGCCAACTTGGATCCCAATTCCCAAGTGGACGCATGGCTCGTATGTGGATCTGACATTCCGAATATACGTACACCTGGAGTAACTATATGTATGTACATGGAGTATCCCTCTGCCAAAGGATCGAATTGCTAACGTGCACAAATATACAGTGACGCATAAGTATTTACTAGTACTGGTACTTGGCATCCAATTAATTCTGTTTGAGAGAGAGACAGAGGACAATTTGTTGTTCAGAGATCTGATTAATCATGTCATTAGGTCAAACATGCACGGACCAAGCCGCAATTACTGTACCTAGTACTGTACTGGCTAGTGGCTACTCCTAACAATACTATTTCACTTTTCACCGCATTGTGTTGGCGAAGAGATGGAAAATCCATATATGTGCCGGGAGGCATACAGCGTGTGAAATAATTAAACAAGTCGCAAGCGGCCGTGCCGTGCGCGCACATCGGCCGACGTGGATCCATCAAACTTTCCCGTGTACTCGTCGCTTTTTTTTTTTGGGGCTTTGTTAGCGTGATCAGTATGTTCCAGAACGTGGATTCTGCTATGATCCGCGTGTAATGATAGTACAGGGGCAAATACGCATTTTCTGTGGCCTCTTTGGGATCACCTCCACTCCCGTTTCTTCCTTCCCTTGGAGACGAAGCATATAATTGGGTTGCCGTGCAATCTTTAAACATGGCATGCTTGCCATATATGCTGCCTCCTGAGCTTCGATACACATTTTCTTTTTCATTTTTTCCCCTAAAGTGCTTTCTTGATGTGGAGAGAGTGACGTGTATGTTCGCCGCACTATTGGTGACTTTTGAAAAGGGCTTTCCATGTGTGCACTGTGCAATAGTATGTCGTAGCTAGATGCATGAAAGACTGTGTTTTGTGGCTTTTGTGATTTATGAAAAAGGAAAAAAAAAGAAATGTCCTCGTACGCAGTTAAACGAAGACCCAATCTAACAATTTCACTCGTTCGACATCGGTTTGTCAAATCTATATCTCTTCCAACTACTATTGTATTGTTGTAATCTTACCTCCCTAGGCAAACTGGTGCTCCTTTTTCTTAGGATTATGATAGGAATTTTGGAGGATTTAATTTTCTCATCACTATAAAATTATGATAAGTTGGAGATTATTTTTGGAGGATTATGATAGGTTGGTGATTTCTTAGGATTATGATAAGGATTTAATTTCCTTTGATTTGTATGACAAATAAGATAGCGATTATTTTTATAGGATTGCATTTCTACGGAAGAAGATTCTCTAACTTACTTCCCAACTAGCATGGTGGCCCGCGCAGATTACGCGTCTAGTATCATTATATTCTCTCGTATAATAGCATATATATTTTCTCAATATATTATTCAAATATATTAAAATGACAACATAATTTTAAATTTTATACTAACTTTACAAAACTACTAATGTGTAATATTCATATTGTATTTTATATACTCCCTCCGTCAAAAAAAAAAGTCGAATTCTAGAGGAGGGAGTTTGTCTCACAAAAAACCGAGTCCAGCGCACAAAACGAGAAACGTGTAGTCTTAGTGTATACATCGATGGGCCCACGACCTCTCTCTCCTCGCGTTCACACCGCCATCCTTATCCTCTCTCTCGCAGGCGCCATCCCCGGAAAAAAATCTGGTGCAGACCGGATGCAAACAGCAGTCCGTGCAGCCCCGACGTGGATGCATGACGCGTGGATGGGGCGCACATCCGACGGCCGGCCCACACAAGCGAGTCCGCATCGCACCTCAATCTCAGCTCGGCTCAAGAGCGATCTCAACACACCACAACTCGGCTCGCGCTCGCTCCGATCGGCTCGATCTAGTCCGAGATGCAGTCATCGTTCCCCTCCGCCTGTTTCTTATCCCGTCGCCCCTTTCTCATCCGCTATTGGGCGCGTGGAGACGGAATGCGGCGGCGGCTCCCTCGGACAGCTAGGGCAGTGGCGGCGCCCTCCCGTGCCTGGAGCAGGGCAGTGGCGGCACCCTCCCATGCCTAGAGCAGGGCAGCAACGATGGAAGGGCCAGGCGGCACCCTCCCGTGCATTGAGAGTTTCATAGTTTGATTGCTCGGTTTTGGTTTTTATTGCGGTAATTAATCATGGTCACTAGATTCTGGTTTGATTGCTCAGTTTTGGTTTTCATGTGATTAGGTAGTAAGCCTAGCATATATCATTGCAGCTTGATAGTGTTAATTAGTACTAGTTTGAGACAATCGGTTTTTGTTTTGCATAAACAAAACAGACATTCTGTATTGGCAACTCGCTCGGTGCCTGGCCGACCAATCATCATATCAGTAAAATTGTTGGACATTTTGCAAAGTGGGGTAGTAGGCTCACATCAAAATTGACTAGGAATAGGTCACCAGAAAACAGGCAAAAATCTGAAACTTGAGTATCACACTGAATAATTTGCATAGTGGAGGAGTAAGATATGTTGCATGTTGTATATTCAGCTGTGATACTTCCACTGAAAATAGTTGAAACAACTAGAGAAACATAAGGCTTTGGCTTCCCCCTGACAAATCTGAACTGAACCACCTGGTGGCTTCTCTTTTTCTGTCACTACAAGACAGAGCCAAATCTGAACTGAACCACATTTGGTTTCTCTCTTTTTTTTCTTTTATATGCACTACATGACAACACAATCAGTTGCAAAAATCAGATATCTGTTCTTGGCACACTTGGCAGCTGGCAACTTCCGCTTTTGTGCAGGAGGCCAATGCAGAATTGCAGGTGAGATATATGGGGTGCGGCATGAATGGCAATTGAAGATTGGAAGAGCATGAACGAGAGGATGCTGAAGAAGTGGCATAGAACAATTAATGACAAGATAATGAATGTAGCCTTTCTTTGTAATTCCTACTATGTAGTATATACACTATTAGGAGTTTGTAAAGATTCAGAACACCTTGTATCCTGAGAACTAGTTTTGCCAGATGTCAAGTTATCCTGAGAACTATTGTAACCTTGTGCAAAATACAAAAGAGGAAAATTGATTGCCTAAAAGGATGGTAAATGCAGCAGGCAGAAGTGGATGGTGCTAAAAGGATTGTAGTTTGATGAATGTAGCCTTCGCTGTTAATCCATACAATGTAGTCTGTACACTCTTAGGAGTATGCAAGGATTGTAGTCTAGATGCTGTAAGTTTGGACCGCATTTTTGGTCAAATTGCAAGGAAACTCATATCGCTATGTAATCTGTACAATGTATTTCTTTTATTTGAAATACATATGGCATGTTGGATGTTCTGAAATCTGCAATGTGATTGATGCCTTGAAAATTTTGATTATTCATCTGATTCCTTTCAAAAATAAAATATGAAATATTGTGTGATCTGAAATCCTGAAGTTCAAATCTAGAATGTGATGTCTAGAAGCTGGTCTTTCAGAAACAATGTAGATAATTCATATATCATACATAGCTACCAAATTTATGGATAGAACTGACAACGTCAATGATAGTTTAGTGTAACACAATGCAAAATGAAAATAAAATATAGTGCAACACGGTAAAAGAGTACAGGTTCATGGATACACCAAAATCTATTCAAAAAAAGCCTACTCATTGTAGGTTGAGCCAAATGCTATTAATTGAAATGTAACTTTCTAGCAGCCATGGCTGAATCTCGCTGAACTCCAAATAAAAGACTTGTAAATCCGCCTTGGATTAAAGGAGCATCCATGGTCGAGGATTGCCCAAACCCATCATATGCAGCCATTGTCGAGGATTGCCCATACACATCATATGCAGCCATGGTCGAGGATTGCCCACACACATCATTTGCAGCCATGGTCGAAGATTGCCCACACACATCACCAACATCTTCATCTTCATCTTCTGATGCATTATTTAGATCTTCTCCTATATAGTTCAAACATACAAAATATCAGAGTATAAAAAAAATTAATTATACAAGCATACAATGGGAATAAACATGCCGGAATGGGTAGGATCAGCACCTTTATTCTTAGCAGTTTTTGTTTTCTTCCGTTTCTTCTTTTCAACTGCATCTTTTGATCGTCTACTCTTTGGGCCTTTGACCACTCGAGGAACTCTAATTGATATTGCACCATTTAATGTGTCCATAACACAGTCATTTGAATTTAGAGGAACCTCACATGTTTTTTCTTGCATCTTGCTTAGAGAACTATCTGCCTCCAAGTCCAAATTATTTATGGCTTTCTCCAAATCATCAAGAAGTTCTTTCGAAACTGAACATTTCAAAGCGATGGATGTTGCCTTTCGAGAGATACGTGCAGCATGTGTTTTCAAAGTTTCCTTCTCACTTCCTTGTTTATCAATATTAAATCCTTTTTTCGCATATTTTGTCCACCTGTTGAGTATATATTGAGATGGCATAGTGAAAACTTCATTCATATTGAAGACTCTGAGGGCATGCTTGCACAGTATACCTATAAGATGTGGATGCCATTTTTCAGATGTTTGTATAAACAAAATTATAATGCGATTTAAAGTATGCATACATACCAATGGACTCGTACGTTCTGCAAGAACATGTAATGGTCATATCCGCAGTGTTATACACAATTGTTGCTTCCTGATCTGATTCCATGGGCATAACCATGAATGTCAATATTGATCCCTCAGTTTGCAACAACTTACATGACAATGAAAATTGTTTTGTAAACTCCTCTTCAAACTCTGAATACATCTTCCTTGTATATGAGTCAGCTGCGGTCTTCAACATAGGTAAATTTGGGATGCAAGTAACGGGGCTCGAGTTTCTTGACTTAAAATCTGCATCCAACTCATTTTCACGAAGACTGGCAGCAACCTTATCACATTCTACAAGGAGCTCAGAAAGACCAAGTTTCCTACGAAATCTTTTCTTGAAGACATTATTCATACCTTCGCTCCTTTGAGTCGAGGTCATATCAGCTGTAAAAGAGTCACGAAAGACAATAGCCCACTTTCCTTCAACCTATATAGATTTGACATCCATACGTTATCCTCAAGCTTGTATTCACTCAACAATTCATGCCACATCTTGTTGAAATGATACTCCGCTTTCTCCTCATAGACACATTTCTTAAAATCAGTTAGAAACTTGTTAGGATGCTTATGAATGACATGACCAAGATTTTTACCACCATTTAGATAAATGTGCCACAAACAAAGACGGTGTCTTGTGTTTGGGAATACTAAAGCAATTGCTGCTGCCATGGCCGCGTCTTGATCAGTGAAAATTGTGCTTGGATGCTTTCCTGACATTGATGTTAGAAAAGTTTCAAAGAGCTAAACAAATGATTCAATAGTTTGATTAAATAACAACGCAGCACCAAAAATTACAGTCTGCTTGTGATGGTTGGTTCCAAGGAGTGGAGCAAAAGGCATTTCAAACTTATTAGTATCAAATGTGGTGTCGAATGACACAGCATCACCAAAACAGGAGTAATCCATGATAGATTGACCATCTGCCCAAAAGAAATTAGCTATCCGACCATCTTCCTTGTCTATTTGGATGGCGTAAAAAAATGTAGGATCCTCTAATTGCTTATTCTTCAACTATTCCAACAATGTTTGTGTGTCATTGGATTCTAAGTACTTCTTGCGTTCGCGACCGATCTCATTATTGCAATCCATCTTTGAGAATGGTACTTTGTCAGCTCCTCCATACCACTCCTTCATGAACTCATACACTTGCGCTGGTTTCATCCCGGCTTCCCTTATTTGGCCAATTAGCTGCCTATCTGCTTCTATAACACGCCGTTGGGACCTCACCTTGTGCGACTTATTTGGACTAACAAGACAATGGTTGTGTTCAAGTACAACTTTTTGCACTGTCCAAATTCCCTTTCGACAAATACTAAACTGAACACAAGCATCACAACTCGTCCTAGTAGTGTCTAGTGATGACTTAGTCTGTCGTTGTCCTTGGTTACTACAAACTATATATTTCTGGTATATAGTTCCATCGACTCGGTGCTTTGCTTGGCTCTTTCTAATACTGAACCCAATCTTCCCGGCATAGGTGTTGTACATATCATACACTTTCTGCTCTGAATCAAAAGCCATTCCAACTTGAGGCAAGATCAAAGTTTGTGCAACTTTATCATTGGCCTGTTGTACGATAAATGAGTTATATTACCACAGTATGAAATATTCTGTTTTCCATCGAATTTGCTATTAAATTATCGTTACCTGATTTGGTGCTTTATCTGCCATCTCTTCAAGTACTATGCGACATAGTGTGTTGTCATCACCATTAGCGTTGGCATCGATAGCGCCGGCAACATCTTCTTCCATGGTCATAAACTCGGAGATCTGTGCAAGATGATCATGCACGATATGATCACACATCAGTACGTATTAGCCACACATCAGTATTTGCGATGAGGGCATGTAAGACGATCACTCACGATCATGCATGCATGTACTGATGAAAAATCATGAGTCAATTAGCTAGGCAATGTACCTGCGTTCTCTGCTTGCCATCGGCTCCATGATCCCCAACGATTACATCGTGTTCATGTGAAGATTGTCCTGCCATGTCGTGCGCTACGGCAGGCAAAGGTTGCATCAGATGAGACGACGGCACCAGAAGCTCGGCGGCGCCTGTGCTCTTCTGCTGGACTCCTCGTCCTGCCATGTAGCGAATCTGTTTTGCTCTAATCGTCCGCCTCTAATCACGCCCTACCCAATCTAATCCTGAGCCGCGCAAGCCGAGCTGAGGGAGAACGACCTGAGTCGAGCCGTGCAGGATGCGGACCCGCTTGTGTGGGCCGGCCGTCGGATGAGCGCCTCATCCACGCGTCATGCATCCGCGTCGGGGCGCACGGACTGCTGTTTTGCATCCGGTCTGCACCAGATTTTTTTCCGCCATCCCCTCCCAGACGGTTCTCCCCCATCTCTCTCCTGTACCCCTCGGCCTTCTCCCGCTCCTCCCCGCACCTCCCTCCCGCTCCACCACCACGCGGCGGCGCGGTGACGACGAGCGAACGCGGCGGCGGTGGTGGCAGCTGGGGAGGTGACGAGCGGACGCGGCATCGGCGGTGGCGGAGGCGATGAGCGAACGCGGCATCGGCGACGGGCGAGGCGATGAGCGGACGCCGGGGTTCTTGTCGGCGATGAGCGGTCGGATGCTGCCTCGTCGGCGGCGACGAGCGGACGCGGCATCGTCGGCGGCAGCGGTGGCGACGAGCGGATGCAGCCTCGTTGGCAGCGGCGACGAGCGGACACGGCATCGGCGGCGGCGTCGTCGGCGGCGGTGGTGACGAGCGGACGCGGCATCGGTGGCGGCGACAAGCGGACGCGGCCTCGGTGGCGGCGGCGACCGGCGGACGCGGCTTCGGCGGAGGCGGCGGCGACGAGCGGACGTGGCCTCGTCGGGGTTCTTGCTAGTTCATTGCTAGTTCATGCGTCGGGGACCCGGGGTTCTTGCTAGTTCTTGTAGTATCTCTTTTTCTCTCTTCTTGGTTCTTGGTTCTTCTATGATCTTGGTGCTTGCTAGTTCATTGCAGGTGTAATTTCTCTTCTTCTTTTCTACCGCAAATTGTCTTATTATCTCCCCATCTCTGTGAATGTACTACTGATGATGAATGGCTGTGAATGGTACAAAGAATGGCTGTGATTAATAAGGGCAGTTTGGTATTTTCACTTTAACCTTAAACTTGCATCGGGAATTTAGGGTTCGATATTTACCAGGACGGAGGGAGTACGTGTTAGTTATTAATTATTTTTAATATCAAATTACGTGTTAGTTATTAATTATTTTTAATATCAAATTTTAGTTGTTTGTAAATTATATTCCTATATGGAATCTAGACACGTCTTTCAATATTTCTTTTTTTAAATTCAATTTTTATTATCTATAATTGTATTTCTATATAGACTCTAGGCTCTTCTTCCAATTTTATTTATTTTAAATTCTAAATTTTTATTATTTCTAATTATATTTCTATGCAGACTCTAAATTAATCTTTCAATATTCTTTAATTTTAATTTTGAATTTCAGTTACTTCTAAATTGTATTCCTATATTGACTTTAGACTCTTCTTCCCATATTTTTTTTATTAATTTTGAATTTTAGTTATTTGTAAATTGTATTTTTATACGGACTCTAAACTTTGTTTTTAATTTTATTATGTTTATTCCGAATTTTAGTTAGTTTTAAATTCCTATATGGACTCTATACTCTACTTTTAAAAAAAATTACGAATTTTTATTATTTCTTAATTATATTTCTATATGGACTCTATACTATACTTCTAGTATTTCTTATTTTTAATTCCAAATTTTTATTATTTTCTAATTGTATTTCTATATGGACTCTATACTCTTCTTCTAATATTCTTTATTTTTAATTCCGAATTTCAGTTATTTATAAATTGTATTTCTATATATGGACTCTAGTCTCCTCTTCCAATATTTCTTATTTTTTAATTCCGAATTTCAACTATTTCTAAATTGCATTTCTATATGAACTCTATTTTTCTTTTTCTTCGAATAATATAAGAATTTCTAGGCCGTGAGAGCGAACGTGGTTGCACCTTTTTTTATTCCTTTAATAAGTTAATAGATAACGACATGTCCAAACGCTAGCGGGAAGTAAGTTAGAGGATCTCAATTCCACATCTATGATCAATTTCATATAAAAATAAGTTAAATGCTAGATCTTTTGGAAAATTTCTTTCAATTCAATTTTTCATGTGGTGTAATCATTTTTTTCTATGTTTTCAATTCATGTAGGATTTGTTGAGGGGGGGGATGCTACTTTGATTTCTGTTTTTTTGCCGTGCTTTACACATGTATTGACATGGAAAAAACTCTCTTCGTGCGTGTCACGTTAGTGTTGTGACAAAGAGGAGAGGTTGCGGTAGGTCAGATCATGTATGGTGCACAACACCACCGGTGGGGTTAACACCCTGAGAGGCACTCATATCACTTTCACAGGACCCCCCGAAGCTAGTCGGCGTGCAAGACCCCCTAGCTTACAAGCACGTGCTGTATAAAATGCGCAGGAGATGCAGCCGGAGGCCCAGCTACCAGCCCATCGCGCAACCAGAAAAGCCCCAAACCGTCTTATTTCTCATCAGGTTTACCATATAGTTTTAGGTGTGATTATCGCCACGCATGATTTGATGATTATCGCGATAACCATGTAATTTCTGTGAAAACTATATGATTATATAATGGTTTTAAAAATTAAGAAGATCGTGACAGATGATAACGCGGGATAACAACAAGGTTTCGTAAACCCTGCTCTGATCTCTGCACTGCACACAAGGGAAGCAACCGACACCCACGCGTGGCATACTACGCAGCAGCTCGAGGGTCGAGCGCCTCGTGCCGACAAGTGATATGACGCTGGCACTAGCAGCAGCAGCCAGGCTCATCAAACCAGGCCATCCTCCACGCGTCCCCCCTCCGGCCACGCCCACGCCTGCGCCGCATCCGGAATCTTCGGGCCCACGGATAAAACGAGACAGCGTCCCCGGAATCGAATCTCCCGTGTGCATCCATCGATCCACCACCTCTCCCGACGCTGCTCACTCGCGTACTACAGTACTCCTATACTACTACACCGCGGCGCGTGCGGTGAAACGTGTCCCGTCTCCCCGAGCTACGTGTACGTGTTACCCACGCGCCATGCGGTCCCTCGTCTCCCGCACCGCGCCCCCCGCGCGCCCGACGTCGCTGCGGGGCCGTGGCGCCGGTGCCGTCGCGGCTGGCCATGGACAGGCCACGTTTGGCCGTCGCGCCGTTCACGGCGGCTGGCTCGTCGCGATCCGTCTCCGCGCACGGTGCCGGTGCGGCGGCGGGACGGAGCCGGTGGAGGCGCGGAAGGAGAGGGAAGGAGGACCGGGGAAGGGGGAGGAGGAGGAGGAGGAGGCCGCGGCGGCGGAGGAGCTGGAGGTGCTGGAGGAGGAGGCCATGGGCGGTGGCGACGAGGGGCGCCGCCCCACGGACTACGACCGCCGCGCGCACATCTTCGAGGAGAGCTCCCGGGTGTTCAGCGCACTGAAGCACCGGCACGACGACGGCCACGGCGTGGACGGCGACCACGGCGCCGCGGCGGCTGAGGTGGCGCGTCACGGGGACACCGGCCGCTAGCCTGCTAAAGCGCATCGTATTGTACGTATTATTATACAGTAGTATGTGATACAATGTAAACGTAGTGTACAAAAGTTTTAGAAAAAAACGTTCTGTACTAATATACTGTATGTACTCCGTATATAGTAGTATCATATCACACCGCGAAACATTTGCACCAGTTTTGTTTTTTTGAGCAAAAAACATCTCCACTGTGCTTCTCCTCATTTTATCACCTTACACCAAAAAACCTCTTGTTCATTGTCATGCGGATTGTTGCACCAACACAGCAAGACGACGAACCTACGGTGGATGTAATAGAAAGAGTAGAAGAATGGTTGTGCTTAGTTCTATGGGTCTAAGTTTTTTTTTTAAAAAAGTATATGAACACATTAAATGAAGACTAATAATACGCATATAAAATTTGAGACGAATTTATTAAGTCTAATTAATCTGTTATTAGCAAATATTTATCGTAGCATCACATTGTCAAATCATGGTGTAATTAAGTTTAAATAATTCGTCTCGCAATTTACATATAAACTGTGTCTGTATAATTGATTTTTTTTCCACATTTAATGCTTTATGTATGTGTCTAAACATTTGATTAGATGTGATATTTTTGATCAAAATTTTTTTAAATCTAAACCAGGCCTATACCGCATTTCAGCCTCAGAAGAATTTCAGTGAGCAAGAAAACGCAGTGCAACTGTGCAAACTGCGAAGGGCACATGGTCATGATACGTACAGCAGCTTCAAACATTCATAATCAAAAGTGGCAATCCTTTTCCATTTCAGAAGGAAGAAAAACTCCTCTATCAAGATTAAAAAAAAACTCAAAATAGTTACAACAGCTAATTTGCACACAGGTCGTAGCCTTTTTAGCCTATACAATCAACAATACTGCAAATCACACACCACCACCAAAAAGCACACAAAATTGCCACAGAAAACCAACCTTTACACAAACTAATGATCAAATACAATGAACTATCACACCTATCAGCATCTTACCCACTATCCCAGCACCCTAATAACCAAGCCCGTTTCTGAATTCCCTAAACTGGCCATAATCAGTTAATCCTCAAAAAATAGAGTAGTGTACATCATCCGCTATGACCTGACGAGTGACTACCTGAGCTTCAGGGATTCCAGTCCATGGATCCCCTTCTTCAGGATCCCTGGGAGCGGCAAGCCACGGCCTCTTCTCACCTTCGCGCTGGGATGCTCCTCTTCGTCAGCTACGCAGATGGCCTTGCCCTTCGTGTCACTCGTTCTTGCAGCGGGCGTCCGCTCTCCGAAGCTCTCGTACAGGTCGGGGGAGCGCCGCAGCCGCAGCAGCTCGCTCGCCGACGAGTACCCCATCAGCCGGTGCAGCTTGGCGCTCCGCTCGTCGTCGACGGTGTCGAACGACGAGTTCCTCGACACGTGCAGCGGCTGCTGCTCCTCCTCGGTGGAGTAGCTGATCACGCCGTACTCCTCCGAGTACGAGAACGGGTCGGCGTCGCCGGCCGCCTGATGGATCTCGTAGTCGTCGGTGCTGTACTGGCACTCCTCGCCGTCGCCGGACGGAGACTGGAGCTTCTTCTTGGCCGGGTCCCTGTACGAGTAGGAGAGGATCTCCGAGCAGGAGCCGCACTGCAGCCGGCGCGTGCCTTTGCTCGGGACGGCGAAGTCGGTGGGCAGCTGGACCAGCCGGTTGCAGCCGGAGCAGACGACGAACGGCGCGCCGCGCAGCACCGGCCGGCAGTGGTGCCTGGGCGGAGCCCGGCGCCTCGTCGTCTCCTGCACCGGCGGCCTTTGCATCGCGCCTTCTTGGCTCTTCCATGGCCGGTCATGGTGGTGACATGGTGGTGGCCGGCAGCTATGGTAATGGCAGCAGTCGTGGGAGCACGGTCGCCTCATCGTCTCCATCTGGTCGCTGTGGCAGCACGAGTAGGCCCTGCGCCGCCGGCGATATCGCAGCGAGGAAAGCTCACGATGATGATGAGGAGGAGGAGGGACTTGGCCTGACCTGCTCAGGCGAGATACATGGCCGGAATGCTTAGCTGCAGGGTGGTAAGCCGTGAGTGGCACACTGGAAGTGAACGGCGCACGAGGCTTGCTGTAGCCGTCTTGCTTTGAAGGACGAGGAGGGTAAGCTGCTGTTTTTGGCTTGCGATCGTCGTCGTCTTCTCCTTCTTCTTCAGGTTTGCTGAAAAATTCAGAGAGGTCACCTCTCAGCTCGTCCACTGTCTTCATGATCTTCGATTGGAGCGGCTCGCTCGCCCTGAAGCTCTTGGACTGGAGGGAAGTCCTGGCAGAGTGGAAATCCATTGAGCTACCGGCCGACGCGCGATGCGACTCTCGAAGATCGCAAGAACGGGATTGCACCCTCACAAGATGGCCTTTCTTGGTTGCCTCGTCTTCGGTTTTGGTTGCTTCCTTCAGCTCGGAGTCTGACTTGCTCTCCTGATGTAAGGGCAATTCGTGCTCAGGTAAACTCAGGTTGCATTCTGTATCAATATCTCCACCTCCTCTTACCCTGCAATCCTCTGAATTCTCAGCAATTCCTTCCACATTGTAGGTTTCCTCTCTGTCGGAATCGATATCCATGCCATTTGCATTGGGTGGTATTTCTTCAGAAGGGCCTTCGATCCTTCCACTAGTGTTCTGGCCATCCAAATTGCAATCTTCCTTGTTGTCAGTATCTGCAACTTCAGAAGCATTATTCTCAACTGACATAGCATGGCCATTATCGTTGCTGCTCGTGCCATTACTGGCATGCTCTGTGTCAGTGCTCGGAGCATCAGGGGTACGGGATCTGTCCATGGTAGCACCACTGAAAGCAATATCCTTCTTTTGAGGATGCACTCCATTGCTCGCGGTGGTAGCAACCGAAAAATCATCGGAGTCTTGCCGGACTTGTTTCGTCGCTACATTTTGTCCATTGCTGGGACGGATTTTAACTGCATAAGAAGGAAATCATCAGGAACAAGTCAGCCAACAGATGAACAAATGATCAAATTTACTGCTACCCAGTACCCAGCTAAGCGAATCACACAAGTTTACCTCGAAGTATGGTGTCACAACCACCACACTTGTAGACCTCAACACTGGGAGGTTCTGGTAGAATGTTATAACACTTTGGGCATCTCACCAGGCGTAAACCTCCAGTGTTTACGCTTGCCATGAAGCAAGAAACGCCCAGAACATCACACGATGCACAATTTATCAGGTTGATGTAGAACCTAATTCCTCTGCTTGTCAATGGTGTCCTCTGAGCTCTAATATTACAACGCCCGCTGAGCCTGAAAATGTGCAAGAAAAAGATGTTCAGAATCTATCTAGCAGTCTCGGCTGGACTTGCATCCATAGAAGAGCAATGAGGACACAGACTAAGGACAAAGTCATGAACTAACTTCAGCAGCATCAAAATCAGAAGAGATGCCGAACGAGATTAAGAAATATAAATACACGATCAACGCATCTTGAGGCACTGAAATTAGTGTGCGATCAGTCATATATTAGCAACACAGAGCAAGGGGAACTTACTCGGACTTTATTGACCAGGGAAACAACCACCTAAAAAGCTATTTACATGAATAGGTAACAGCTAAAAAAGGACACACATGTCTGTCCCCTGCTCATCCAGGTCATCAGAGAACTGAGAACATCAGCAATTGTCTCAATACTACCAGTCCTCGACCGATTAACCTTGTCGGACAAATTCAAAGAACTACTGTACTACAGTATGTAGAAAGCTAAGATCAGAGAACAAATGCTGCCATGATCGTGGTTAGTATTACTATCAGTAGCACAAACTAGCAACACAAACTGAATTACTGAAACCTGTACAACTCCAGTGGAAGCATATCGCAGAAAAAAAAAAAGAAAAACAGAGAGGCATCAAGAACAGAACTCACCGAGCATCGTCAAGAACACCTAAAGACTCCTGCTTCTACTTCTACAGTTCTACCCAAGAAGAACGTGAAGACGCCGAGAGAGGGAGACGAACAGGGGAGATATGAGGGTATGAGCACGAACTCCCTCCCAAACTCCCAAGACAAAAACTGAAGTATACTAAATCCGGAGACAGGAAAGAGGGAGAAATGAGGGCGAAAAGGAGGAGGAGGAGGAGGAAGAAGCCAAGAACTCACCTTTTCTCCAGACCTCCTCGGCCGCTTCTCCCCGTCGTTTCTCCTCAACTGCTGCTCCGCTTCTCGGAAAGTTTGGCAGGCGAAACGAAGAAGCAAACGAACAGTGAGAGCCCAGGATTATAAAAGAGATCAATTCTTTCCTCGCAGAGGAGCTGGGGTTGACTAGGAGGAAAGCTTTAATTGCTCCAACCCAATCACCGGTGTGAACGGGCCTCCCCGGCGGGGAGACTTCTCCGCACCGCGCTTTTGCTTCGCTTGTGTGTACTGCTGCGAGAGAGAGAGAGGGAGGAGGAGAAGTGGAGAACAACCCGTGGTCAAACTGTGAGCGGGTTGGTAGTAAAATAAAATAAAACGGAGAGGAGGAGCGGGAGGATTTGAAGGTTGACCGTGGATGGGCGTGTTGACTTCACGCCACGTCATCGCGGTGGTTTGGATGGCCAGATGGGTGGTGGTCGTGGCGCCCGCGTGTTGGGCCCGCCTGCCCTATCCACGCGTGCTTCTTCGCTCGGGGCGATGGGGCCCAGCTGACAGGGACAGTAAGGTGAGTGAGATGAGATGAGAACGTGTCTCGCGGTAAAACGTTTACCCTTCTAGAAAACGAGCCCCCGAGAGTCTCAACTCTCATCAAAGTCTGAAGTCTGAAATTCTGAATGTCCAATATTCTATAATCACTTGTCCTGTTCCTTTGGTCTTGAGAAAGTCAGAACGTATGCGATGCGATGCGAGCCACAGCAAGTGGCCCCGTGTATGTAGTTCTGTACTTGACAGCTCATTCAATATTTCAACGGTGACGGGCTGATGGCTGATGGCTGAAGTCTGAAGCAATGGAGTACTAGTTCTGTAGACGGTTTCTGTTGCAGGTTTCATTATTTCGAAAACTACTCTGTCCTAATAAGTTGCGAGTATATTTTACGATGGAGAGAGCACATATCTCATCGACTCGTCGACTGATGGTTTTCTCCACAGTCCACACCACAGCAAGATTACTCGGCTTCTTCCCTGGTAAATTCGTGTATCCATTCATCCATTGCCTGCAGAGTGCAGACCGACCATCTTCAGGCTTGCTCAGCTCAGTCTCGCATTGACACTCTTGAGGACTCGTTGAAACGAGAAGGAAAAGAGATAATAATACTCCTTAGCCATGGCGGCTAGGAGGTAGGAGTAGGTAGCATCAACGACGACAAGTAGTATTCCATAAGGAATTAGGGCCCCTTTAAATCGCAGGATTGAGAAAACAGAGGAATAGAAAAAACGTAGGAATTGAATGCCACATTTATTGGATTTCTATAGGATTTTGAAACACAGGAAAGTCTCCAAACTGTCGTTTGATTAGCACACAGAAAAAACGCAGGAATCTTAGACACATGAAGAGGAAAACATGAGGTGAGACCTCATGCTTATTTTCCTTCAAAGTTACTCTAGTAAGGTTCATTCCATAGTAATTTCAAAGGAATTGATAGGAAATAATCCTTTATTTCAAAGGACACTATAGGATTATTTTTTATAGGATAAAATCCTATTTTTATGGTTTTTCCTTTCATTCAAAGGGGCCTTAATCCAGGATCTACGGCAGCTTGCCCCGATCCACGAACAGTGTGTCTTTGCTGGAAAAGTTAGGGTTCATAAATCTGGGCAGCAGCGGAGGTATGCTGCCAATAAATGAGCCGACGCTGTCATCCATTCCATCGGCTCACCGACTCGAACAACGATCCGCTATTTACTGCTTCACATCAACCACTCAAACTTCATCGCTACTCCAGCAGTCCAGCTTGAAGTTGTTCGTAAGAAGTCGTTGATACGACGACGTCCGTAAGCTTATGTGTGCTGCTGGGTTGGTCGCTGAACTAAAAACGCACTACTAGTACTGTAGTAGGGTCCGGTTCAGGTCGTCGGTTACACGCGCGTACAAGCAGCATGTGGCCGTGTTGAGTCAAGTCGCCGACAGGTAGGAGGATCTCGCACTAGCTGAAGGCACAGGACACAGGAAAAAAGACTATATATATATTACTGCTTCTAATAGAGTAAGTTGTCCTATAGTTGTTGAGATTTGTTGTAGTGGCCAATTCTTCGCTTTTGGATAAAACCAAGCCCCTTTCTTGAATACCAGTAAAAACCGAACATTCTGACTAGTGACTAGAGCAATGCTAGCAGAGCACTTCATGATTACTTGTAGTCAGTACAGTCAAAAGGGCATTCTATTCCATCGATGTCTTACAAATGAATTCGCTTTTCAACAACCCACCAAAGCCACAGAAACCCGTGCGTGATCCTCCAATATCTACAACTAACTAAAGGCATAAACTAGCCATATACTCCAGTGGCGCCTGACAATCATTCACTGAAACAGGAGAAAAAAGTTTCTCCCTGATGCTCCCGCGAGCATCATGTGTCCGTTGTCCATTGGTAGTTCCCAGCCATCATCCCGGTCCCTCATTTTCCTATGGAGTTTTCGAACACTGGAATTTCGAAGACTATTTGGTCAATAGTCCATTGGTAGTTCCCAGTCACCATCTCGGTCCCTCATCTTCCTATGGAGTTTTCGGCCACTGGAATTTCGTAGACCGTTTTGTCTCTGAACACGCCGAGCTTTTCTCCTCCGATATCTACCGTTATCATCCATCTGACCACCAGGTCCTTGGATATTTTGTGTGCCCCAAATACCCTGATATTCAATTGATGAATATTTCACTCAACAAGGTTTTTGATTGAATTATGGTCTCATTTCCATCCTAATCAGTTGAATAGTTCTATCAGAAACAATCATAAAACAAACCTGTGTTAACCGTTGAACCCGAGAGATTGCATCTTCATGCACCACTATTGTATCAGAAACTATATCAAGCACATCTTCAACAAACAAGCAATATGTGCTTACCTGGAAAGAAAGAAGCAGTCTGAGAAGGCAGCATAAGATTTGGCATGCTTATATATGTAAGATGACAAGAAGGTTTCCAGAAAATTACCAGACTAGAAGGGACAATGGAAATCCCAAACGAGTCAAGCTCAAGAGACTCCATAGCACCAGTGTTGATGTCAAAGGTGAAGCCACGCACCTAAAGAATGAAAAGGGCACCTTGAAAACATCAATGTTAAGTGGTCTCCTCAGATGCAAATCCGAAATCCAAATTACAAAGATTACCTCTCTCAAAGACCACACAGACTCACCTTACCAACATTACGCCTCCTAGATGTAACAACACTGTAGCCCACCTAAAAAATTTAGGCAGAATAGTAAATAAGCAATGAAACTACAGTATTTCTCGGTTCATATATTTGCCCATGCAACTGAGAGAAAGGAACAGTTCTTTTCAGAGAGGGCTACACTGATAACCCTACCAATGAGAATTTTATATAAAAGATGGCATTGAATAGTGTTTCCCCTGCAGTTTATATATTTCACCTTTTGCTTTCCTAGATTAAAACAAAAAATTTCATGATATAGAAATGCAACCTCTGTTTGAATCCAGAAAAAAAAGCATACCAAGCTGTGCAGTCCAACTAGCTTAAACTCATTCTCGACCACGGTTTCATCCTCAACAAGCACAACATCTCCAACCTATAAAAGGAATTAGTACATTGAACATTATTGAAAATGATTTTCCTAAAAAAAACATCATTGAAAACGAAGTATCTGCTGCAGTATCGATAGTAATATGCTCTTATGTTTATGTGGATAGCAATAATAAAGGCGAAATGAAAAATAAATCGAGTATTCATGCACATCCCACCTGATATATGTCCTCAAAAAGGAATTTCTCAGCTTCTCCCGAAAGCAAACTTGGCCTCACTTCAACCAATGCAACAATCCACTGAAGAAAAATGGAAGATAAACAAATTTATCAAGGTGCTGGTCATATACAATAACATCGACTAACAGTAGCTACATACAAAAAGGGTATATTGCCTATGAACAGGTGAACAGGTCTCTTCAGACAAGCTAATCCTAAGAACCAGCTCAAAGAAGGGGGGAAAAAGAGGAGGGGGTAGATGAAGTGTGGTCTGAAACAATAAACCAGATTTGATGAAATTCGGATGAGACCCACAAGGTTTGTAACGTTGCAGAGTTGCTGTGCTATTTTTTTGGCCTTGGAGAAATCATTCATAGACACCAGACTATTCTTTGGCAAGTTACTCAACTACTTATGGGATACTTTCTCTAATATACAGGTGCAATTGATAAGCTGCAGGCTACTAGCAAGCCAGAAAATTCACGAGTTGATGATTGATGCTGAATTACTGATGAATATGCTGCTGGGCGAAGCTTCACTGGCTGTCTATGTGTTTAACTGAAGAGTAAGTACTATGCAGTGTTAGTGTGACTTGTTTTCTTTTTTTTTTTTTTAAAAAAAAGGCAAGATAACCATCTTTACGCTGCCACATTTCATTTTTCTAGCATGTGTCCTTCTCTCTACTTCTGTGAGAGCCTGCATTACACTCTGCAGAAAAAAAAGGCAGTGCAACTTTCATGGGAATCTAGTTTTGTGGACAGTCCGTGCTGATGTGGTGGCACACTCAGGAAAAATGTTCATCAACATGCGATGGCATCCCAAGTCCAAAACCCTTCCATGTCAGAATCTGATCCACCCATTTCAAAAGAAGTTGGCCTAAGCCACTGTTTCATCTTCCTCTTTTCCTATCATTCTCTCCAAAATTATGCAATGCTGTCGCCATTCCTCTACCTCCAATCAGAAGCCCATCTTCCTCCAGCATCCCGGCATTGCATAATGCACCCCTCTTCTTCGATGTGCAGAGTTGGAATCAATACTGGCTTTTTTGTCTATTTGTGAGCTGGGAAATAAAGGAAAAAATAGTCTAGTTGTGATTTAGACTAACCTGTCTAAGCCAGGGATGCTCAATAACTATTTTTGTCAGCTGTGCCTTAGGAATTTGGAGACGGTAAATAACTTCTTTTTTGAATGCCTATCCTCCGCACAAATTCAGAGTGTAGCACTGGGCAGGCTGCGCCAAACGAGCATCATCTCCAGGTAGGCAAGGTGCACGTCTCATATGGACTGGTGAATACAAGGAATGAGGAGCACTGATCGAGCCACAAGCAAAGGACTACAATCGATTTTCATACTCGTTGTTTGGGAGATATGGAAGGAGCGAAATAGGAGAGTGTTCCAGCAGGAGGGAGTCATCAGTGCAGCAAGTAATCACCCTAATATATGACGAGCTAAAACTTTGAAGCATGGGAGGAGCAAAAAAAAAAACGAAATTATTGCCTAGCTGATGAACTGTGGGTGAGGGTGTGCATGTTGTCTGCCGCCCATATGTAAAATTTTGATCATACCCAGCCACTTGGCTGTTTTGCTCCATCCATGAATACAACGCCAACCACTGGGTTGGTCTTTCGGAAAAAAATATAGGTCGAGAATTACTAGAAACTGATGAATGATTGTCTGGTACAGTAAATCAAAACATGGACTACCCTTCCTCCTGTGGCAGCAGGTTAGGGCAATTTTAGATGAGCTTGATCTAACTGATTCTCCTGACACTCAGAAATGGGGTCTGACAGCTAATAATAAGTACACTACCAATTCTCTATACAGAGCTCTGTCTTTTAGAGGTGTTAAAGATGAGATGCTACAAATAATCTGGAAATCTCCTTGCCCCGTGAAAGTTAAGCATTTCCTTTGGTTGGCTATAAGGGACAGAATTCAATCTTGTGAGCAATTAAAAAGCAAGGGCTGGGATGGGTCAGAGAACTATCTTTTATGCAGTAACATTGAATCTACTAATCATATCCTCTTTGACTGTCCTATGGCAACTTTTGCTTGGTGCATGTGTAGGGATGTCTTGAGTTGGAACACTGTTCCCAGTAATTTTGAGGAGTTTTTCTTGTTAATCAATCACAATTCTAACAAAAATATGAGAGCTTTAACTGCTTTGCTTGCTGCTATTTGTTGGGTACTCTGGACTACCAGAAACAATATGATCTTCAGATCCCAGTTGGTTTATTCTCCCCTAATGCTTCCTTTTCGAATTACTTCTTATTTGCTGCAGTGGAAGGTTTTAGGGCGTGCTGAAGAAGCTAACAGGATGATGGATTTGGCAGAGAAGATGAAGATTGCTGCTGCTAATACTGGAAGCAATAGGTTGGGGATATGTTGATTCCTGGGTTTAGAGGTGCCTCGGATGTTGCAGTTCTGCCTGTCTTCTGGATGTGTGTTTTGTATCTGATGACTGCTATCTGTATAGCAGCAGCCCCTATCTGTCTCTCTGGTCTTAGAGTTGTCTTAGAGGTGGTAGTTTACTGTTGAGCCTCTCTTTGCACTCTTTTGGAGGCCTCGCCCTCCCTATGCTGTAATCTGGTGTCTGGGTTTCCCAGCACAACCTTCGGGCTTTCAAAAGAAGCCGGGTCTTCTGACCTTTTTCTAAAAAAAAAAACTACCCTTCCTCCAGTCCTACCCCTATCTCCCTAGCTGGCGCTCCATTTGTAAAATCGTCCCAACCTTACGAACAAGGCCAGAAACAAACTACAATGCCGATCTACAATGGAAGTATGGAAATACCCCTGTCAAAGAGCCCATCAGAACTTCTGCATTGACATATGTATTGCGTGCAACATTTCATTGATCTTATATTCATGCCTATGTGCTAGTCAATTCCATTAGCATGCAATTGTTTAGGGTTCTCTAGACTTGGTGTGCAGGTGTGGTAAGATTGAACTCCATAGCTTCCCCAAGCATAGTCACAACTGCCTATATACATACCACGGCCTACAATACATCGACAGCTAGTAAACCCTATCCATGAAAGAAATAAAAATGCTGCACAGAAAAAGAATCCACTAAGCAACTAACAAATGCACACTCATCTAGAACAATTTTACATAACGTTGTCAGATTAGATCATTTACACGTTACACTAAAAAAAATGGAGTTAAAACTACATAGTAGTGCCAATTCAAACAGCATAAATTCTGTTTCAGCTAGGCACAGTATACCATAGGGAATTAGGTATTCTACAATGTATGGAAACTAATCGTCATTCGTTAGTCACGAACTGCAAAGGTAAACAGCCGAAACTGAAAGAAAAATGCAGCAGGCAGCAGCAGACCGTACCGACGCGGCGTCGACCCAGAGCTGCGACACGAACCCGAGGCTCCGCGCCGAGCTGACGCTGATCACCTGCTTGGCGAGCAGCCCCGACCGCCTCGCCATCTGCCGCCTCTTCCTCCCGCCGCTGCTCTCGCCGCCGCCGCCGCTCCGCTTCGCCTCCCCGTCGCCATCGTCCTCACTGGCAAGCCCATCTCCGCCCCCTCCATCCCGCGGCTCAACAGCCACCACCTCCTCCTCCTCCTCCTCCTCGAGCTCCCGCTTCAGCGCGAGGAAGTCGAAGGTGGACGGCGGCGGCGGCGGCGGCGCCGTCGAGTCGTCCCGCCGAGGGGCCGCGCGCGCGACGAGGGTGCGGGGGGATGGGCATGGGCCGCGCGTGGTGGGGGCGGGCTTGGGCTTGAGGTTTGGAGGCGGCGGCGCGGGCGCGGGCGCGGGTTGCAAGGCCGGGTGCGGGAATCGCGCGCAGGAGCACATCCTTGATGATCCTTGAGCGATTGAACGGTGAGGACCGAGGAGAGAGGGTTGGAGAGGAGGAGGGATGTGGTGGTCTAGTGGAGTGGAGTGGTAGGGACTAGGGAGGGAGGGATTACGATGAAGGCGCTTCTATTCGCAGGAAACGGATATGAGGAATACGTTTTCTCGCTGCTAAGGAAGAACGCCTATGAGCTTTCCTTTATATGCTTATGCATACGTATAACTTTTTTATATACGTATTGTTAGCAGCAAATAAAATATTATAAATAAACTACGATGAAAAATCAACTTCAAAGTAAAATTTAAAGTTAAAATTTTAGTTTATATGCGTAAAAACAATCGAAATGATAGGGCTATATGTGAGGGGGAAGAAAACTATGGTTATATTCTAGCAGCATGTATAAGCTCTTTTTTAAAGACTAAATTACGCTCACGGAGTCATGGTACATAATTTTGTGTGGTGGGTATAACGGTACAACAATATATAAGTTGCTCGTTTTGGTATAATAACTTGGCTAGTCCGTGTGAGCTCATGCCAAAACAATACACGTAAGTAAAATTGATCTAACGTGGTGCACCCTGATGGCACATTTGCACTCTCGCAATTGTTTTGTTAATACGAAGATATGTCAACTCAGTGGTCGGTGGTGCTTATAGGTGTAAGGTGTACACTTGTATATGTACCGTTTGAAGAAAAATAAGTTTTGGTGCTTCCACTCAAAGCTAGACCGTGTCCCGTTCATTTCTCCAACAAGAGTTAGATGAAATTTTGGATTTTTGTGGCACGCTTTTCAAACTGCTAAACGGTGCGATTCGTGCGATAACTTTCTATATGAAAGTTGCTCTAAAATATCATATTAATCTATTTTTCAAGTTTGTAATAATTAAAACTCAATCAAGCATATGTTAACACCACCCCGTTTTATGTAAAAAACTTAATCTTCATGTTCATGAGAAAAGAACACCACCTTCAGCTTAGGCCCTATTTGGTTGGAGGGACTAAAACTTTAGTCCCTTCACTTTAGTGCCTCTTCACTTTAGTGCCTCTTAGTCTCTAAAGTTCCAAACAGGAGGGACTAAAAAGACTTAAAGTGCATTGGTCCATTAGTCCCTATGAGAGGAGCTTATTGGGACTAAAGTAGCTCCTTTCCACCTGCTACCCCCACGCATGGGCATGGTGCATCTCTCTTTACATGGTTTTAGGGGTAACATGGTCATTGTACCGTGTAATTAATGACCTTTAGTCCCTTTTATTCCCTAGATCCAAATAGCCATGAACTAAAATGTTTAGTCCTAGGACTAATTTTAGTTATAGGACTAAAGGATCCAAACACCACTTATATTTTGGTGAGAGGGACTAAAGTTTAGTTCCTCCCACCCAAACACCACCTTATGTTCTCAAAGTCTTTAGCCGGATTCGTCAACAGTCTATAGGTTTGTTGGTGGTTGAGACCTGCCTACATCAATAAAGGGTAACTAGAGACCAAAGTAAGGTACTCCCTCCGTCCCATAATAAGTGCAGTTTTGCACTATTCACGTTTATCGTTTGACCGTTCGTCTTATTTGAAAATTTTTTATGATTAGTATTTTTATTACTAGATGATAAAACATGAATAGTACTTTATGTGTGACTAAATATTTTTAAATTTTTCACAAATTTTTCAAATAAGACGGACGGTCAAACGTTGGACACGGATATCTACGACTGCACTTATTTTGGGACGGAGGTAGTATTAAGGCATTGAGGTATAATCTTATTGGTAAATGAACTAAGAAAAATTAACAACACTTGGTTATGTTGTAAACGGAATTACAAGAAAAACCATACTATTGTGGAACAATAATACCGAAAGTTGGAACTTTACCAGAACTAATGTGGCATTATTTTTGGCCATACCATATACCATATACCATGATAATTAATTAATGTGGGGAAGGACCTCCATTGTCAATAATTGAAATGGATTGTTCATGAAGTTCGGTTCCTGATTGAATTTTTTTTCTCTTTGTTACACAGGATTTTGCATGCAGAAATTAATCCTTATACCGAAAAGCAAATCTACACCAGGATACCCGGCTTTATCCTTTACAAAGTGGAAAAGAAAAACATACAGCAAAAGATTTAGCTCCACTCCTACGGATAAGCATAATAACTCAACAAGGGGAAAAGACATAATTTAAAAAGACGAAATGAAAAAAAAATGGAATACGTCAAAGTATTAGTGTGAGTAATACCAACTTCTATGTTGTGTGGTGGACATAAGTTGGCGTGAGCTCGGAGTCATACAAACCGAATCAAAAAGGGATGCTGAGATAAGATAAGAACATGATCGTTCAAAGTGTGCAAACCAGCAAGAAGCACCGTCCACGTCCAGGTCCATCCATTCAATAAAAAGGGCATTTTGCCTGCAAAGTAACGTGGACGAGAACTAAGCAAAGCTCACACGTTTCATTGACGTTTCCTAGCATCCGACCTCTCTATGCTTCCTTTGCCTCCACAATTCCATACTACTAGCTGCCATAGTAGTAGACGTACAGAGAAGAGCATCCGGGCATCTAAAGAACGAATTGATGCTACTATCCTTCAAGGTTGCAATGCGTACTTCCGTTGTTGAAGTTCTTTGTCATGTTCTCCCTTTTTCTCTGAAGAAAAGTTTCCCTTTTTCCTTTTTATCCTTGTCAACTAATTATTGCTTATCCTTTTCATAAAAAGAGAGAACATTTTGCTCGTTAGCTTGTACATACGCAACTTAATTATCTACTCCTTCTGGGCATAATTAGATGACGTTTCAGACAACCAATTTACAAAAGAAAATAAGCCAAACTTTTTGTCTAAAACAACAAATAGAAATGACCAGATATAGTAATTGGTACGCTTGAAATTCTGGACGCTATCTTTTTATAGCCGCCCAAGTTATATACAAATGCATGCATGTCATGTGCTACATGTGCACCCTAAATCTAAATGAGTTTTCCCACTCAAAGAGAAATCTAAATGAGTTCAAATCTGTTGGTACGCATAATTCAAGCTTCTTTTTCAAGAACAGAACAAATGGGGGAAAAAAAAGAGAATTTCTGCGCGGGAAAAACGGAACAACCACCCACACCCACCTCCGTCCATGACAGTGGGCCCCACCTCGATCCAACTGGGCGTCGGCATATTCGCAGAGCATTTTCCATCCACGTTGGTGCGCCAACTCCGCAACGCCCCCGAGACCCCACCCCCACCTCCGTTACGGAGCCCGCCAATGCGGTCCCGACACGTGTCCCCTCCCCGCTCCCGGAGCCCCGCATCCCACGCGCCGCTGCTATAAGAGGGCCCCTCGCCGCGCGGCCGCACGAGTTCGCCGAGCCGAGCCCGAGCACTCGCCGCCGCTTCAACCGCCGCTCCCCGCAACGACGCCCCCCCCACCAGCGAAGGTTCGTCGCCGCGAGGCCCTCCCCACCCGCCCCCAACCCTAGCTTCCTCCTCTCCTCCCCGTGGATTTGCGTTTGCGTTTCCCGAGACGTGACGCCTCTTTCTTTCCCCCCTGTTTTCTACTCTCTTTTTTTTTTTGTTTTCAGTTCAATTACGCTGTCTCCGATCTGAAATTGGCCTCCGGAGTACGGAGCATTCTGCGTTTTCGGGGTTGTGATTTCGTGTATGTTCGCGCGCGCTGCTCATCTAAATGATTAGATCTGTGGGGACTTATGTTCTTTGGATCTGTGACGCCCTGGGAGTCGATTTGGGGATTTTTCCAGTGGTGGAATTTCAATTTCAGTGTCCGATGGATGATTTTGGTTCGGGTAGAGAAATTTTGGGTTCGTAGGTCTGATGAATATGTGCTGCGTGACATGCATATGCGGTCAATTCTCGAGTTCTTACTCGCAAAAAAAAAATCGTTAGTTCGCAAACCATATAGGAACTAAATTTACCCAAAACTCCCAATTAAGTGATGCTTGTGACATTGGTCTAGGTGGATAAGTGGGCGTCTTTTTTGATTCGGCAAGAGAGGTGGGGTGGTCGCTTTCCAGATCTGACTTAAGATGGTTCCTATATGTTAATTTTCTTTGTGTCGTTGTAAATAGTTGGGAGTTTTGGGTAAATTTGGAATACCGTCATTCCCTAAATTTGACAGTCAACTGACTACAGTTACAGAATCACTTACAATTTTCTCCTTTGATCAATGTAGCACCCTGATGTGTCAGCAGCAGATAGGGAAATAGCATCTTATGTTTCACCGGTACCACAGTTTTTGGCATAGTTATCGTATTGTGCAAACTGTATACTGTTAAGAAGAAACTGCTTTTGCAATTTATTTTTCCCTGTATAGAACTTGATTCTATTGTTAGCTTTATGCTCTGAAATTCATATTAGATGTTGTGTTGTTGGTGTTTATTTTGGTGTACTTTTTGTGGAAATTAGTGATTTTGGTGCAAATTTGCTGGCTTGATGATCACCTTCTCTTTAACAAATCATGTTGTTTCTACTTATGATTACTTGCTTATCATCATGATTCATGACATTGCAGCAAATAATACCTAGAAATGAGAACCATTTTGCTTCCAATAAAACATTATAGCTTGGAACTTTCTTCCACTTACAATTATGGTTGATGGCAATTTGTGCTGAAAACAATAATCATAACACACATAGCCATAAGGCAATATACATACGTAGCCTGATGTTATTCTTTATTAATTTTCCCTTTTAACATTCTTCTGCACAAAGCTGCATTTTGTGAAACTAACTATATTTTTTGTTCTACCTGCAGCCATAGACAAGTTGGTCTCATGAATTCAGGAAGCACATTGGCATCCAGAGTTTCCTGTTCATCGGGAAACAACGGCATCTTCCCACCCTGCCTTCTCCCAGGATTCCTGGGATTCCCAGTTGTGTTTGTAAACTTCCACTTGTTCAAGGCCATTGTTCGCAGCCCTGCATCTTCTGTTGTGTTGGGAATCTGTGGAGGGCGCCTTCCATAGAGAGGTGCCCCATAAGTCTTTTGTTTAGTTAGTCTGGGAACTGGCATAGCTGGAATTTGTGGTGCAAAACATCCTTGGCATCAGTAGTCTACACTGCTGAATCTCAGGTTCCTGAAGATGGTTTCCTCTGAAATAAGCTCTGTTACAACAACCCATGCACAAGGTCCCAAGCTCTTTAGAGGGAAGATACTTCTGCCAATGGGCCCTCCAGATGTTGTGCCTTCTGAGAACGTTGAGTTCGATTTTTCTGATGTTTTTGGTCCTACGGCAGTCCAGACTCCCACAGATCTGAGCATCCTCACTCCAGACAGTCCTGCACCTTTGACTGAGTCCAGTGAGGGGATTTACAATGACCCTTTGGTTATTGTCAAGAGATCTCATTCTCTTGTTGGTCCAAGTTCACTTGTTAGCCAATCTTTGCCACTTAGTAAGCTTACACTGCATGAATCTGATAGCGCATTGGACCTTCTGGAGTGTACTAAAGAAAAGAAAAGCAACCAAGAAGCTCTGAGTGATGAAGAGCTTGATGATACAAAAAATGAGAATGGTGTTGTTGGACTTGACGACTTTGAAGTCTTGAAGCTTGTTGGCCAAGGGGCATTTGGCAAGGTCTTTCAAGTGAGAAAGAAAGGTACTTCAGAAATATACGCAATGAAAGTTATGAGGAAGGACAAGATTTTGGAGAAGAACCATGCTGAGTACATGAAAGCAGAGAGAGATATACTGACTAAAGTTGATCATCCTTTTGTTGTACAGCTGAGGTACTCCTTTCAGGTATGCATTTATCATCTCTGTGTGTTCTTTGTTGTCAAGCTATCATGCATGTTATATTTTTCAGTCTTGTCCCAAATTTTAAACCCAGTATTTACTTGGCAGACAAAATACCGACTTTACCTTGTGTTGGACTTCATAAATGGGGGCCATCTTTTCTTCCAGCTCTACCAACAGGGTTTGTTTAGGTAATTTCATTACATTATTTTATGTTTATTCCTATCGCTTTGCATGAACATTTAATTAAGCAACCTTTTGTCTGTCAGGGAGGAGCTTGCACGCATCTACACTGCTGAAATCGTGTCTGCTGTAGCCCATCTCCATGCCAATGGAATTATGCACAGAGATCTGAAGCCTGAGAACATCTTGTTGGATGCTGATGGACATGTAAGGATCCTTTAATACATATTTTTCTTCACCTTCTCTGACTTTATCTACTGATTGGTATTTGGGAATTTACGGAATTTTTCATTGTCTTATTTAGGCCATGCTGACTGATTTTGGCCTGGCAAAGGAATTTGATGAAAACACTAGATCAAACTCAATGTGTGGTACTGTTGAGTACATGGCTCCAGAAATTGTTCAGGGCCGTGGTCATGATAAGGCTGCTGACTGGTGGAGTGTGGGAATCCTTTTGTTTGAAATGCTTACAGGAAAGGTTAGTTATTTAAGCACGATGTTTCTGCATAGAAGATGTGTTTGCATTACAGATGGTTTGCTTCTATATATCCTTTTGTTCCCATGCTCACTCTTATTATATTCTGCAGCCTCCGTTTGTTGGCGGAAACAGGGACAAAGTTCAGCAGAAGATTGTTAAGGAGAAAATTAAGCTTCCGGCATATTTATCTAGCGAAGTTCATTCTCTGCTAAAAGGCGTAAGTTGTTTGCCAAGTTGCTATGATTCACCGCACCCATATTTTTTTGCAGCCTTGTGCTAGTTTCTAGAGTCAACCTGTTTGATCTTGGGATTGAATTTTTAGTCCATCTTATGTTTCAGTTACTGCACAAAGAAGCTGGCAGGAGGCTGGGCTGTGGACCAGGCGGGAGCAATGAAATAAAGAATCACAAGTGGTTCAAGTCAGTAAACTGGAAGAAGCTAGACTCCCGACAGATTCAGCCAAGCTTCCGCCCAAATGTTGCTGGCAAAACCTGCATCGCCAACTTTGACGAGTGCTGGACCAGCATGCCCGTGCTCGACTCTCCAGTGGCCAGCCCTGTCGCTGCAGATAGCAACTTCGTGGGATTCAGCTATGTGAGGCCAGCGCCCTTCCTTCAGAGGCCGAGTCCTCTAGGCTGAAGACCTCCAGTTGAGACCGAAATACATCTTGCCACTGGGTATGAAGCTGACAAAATTTACTGTTTCGATGATTATTATGTAAAACTACCTATTTATGTTGTTCGGTTTGTCTGGGAAAACCCCAGTATCTTTTCTTCGTTGAAGATACTAGTAAAAGATGAACGTGGTACTTGTTGAAACCAGACAAATTTGTCTATTGCCAGATGGAACAGTTGCCCTGGCTTCTATGATCAACCCCTGCCCCCTGGGCCCTGGGCCCCTGGCACATTTAGGTTTTCTCGGCCGTTCACGTACATGTTTCCAAATCCAAATCCTGCTGCATGTTGCAACACAAATCCTGTTGAGATGCAAATTTAAAGCATACCGTTTATGCATGTTGAAATGTAAATTCGAACAGAGAGTTGCTAAATTTCCACGACATCTAAAAAGTATAGTATCACTAGTAATAAGAAATGGACCGCCCCAAGTAATAAGCTCACATGGACAGCAGCATATGGCCCTTGGCGGCATAGGCCGAGTCGGAGTCTGAGCGTTTCATGTCAGTATGTCACGCCAACTTCGACTCCGATTCATCCTTGCCTCCGCGGGCCCAGTCTCCATCACGCTCAGCAACGGCCACGCAATCCGCCTCTACCCTCCATCACCCTCTTCGTTCCTTCTTACAACCTCCGGCGATCGCAGCAGCAGCAGCAGCAACACCCCTCCTCCGTTCAACTTGAGGGAGAGGCTATGGCGGTGTTCCTCCGTTCAACTTGAGGGAGAGGCTATGGCGGTGTTCTACAGGTACAGGAGCGAGGTGGATACCTTCTCCGTGCCCGTGCCGGAGCCTTTCGTCTCCGTCGCGGAGCTCAAGCGCCTCATCACGGCCACCGTGCGCCACGGCCATGGACATTCGCGCGGCCGGGGCCCCAAGGAGAGTGTCACGCTGTACAGCGACAACACCGGCGAGGAGTACGCGGACGAGGCCGAGCTGATCCGGGTCCAGATCAACTAGAGTTGACTACAACTCTACCAGGTGGACAGTGTCGAATCTAGAACAAAAATAGAGGGGTGCTATGTATAAAACTTACATAAAATTAAGACAGCCAAATATACATCCATGACGTATTTTGCTAATCAAATCGTAAAATTAACAAATAAATAGAAAGAGGGTATCATATAAAATAAAGTAACTCTAGCTCATCGTTTATTATTTGGAAAAGTACTTGTTAACCTTGCTTCTCCGCTTTAATGTGCAGTTATATCCACTAAAATCAGGCAAACAAATTGAATTTGATATGAATGATGTGCCAATACACTGAAAGGTTTCCAAACCTAATTTACCAATAAAGAGGCTCACGTTTACATACTACAACAGATGGATTAATGTCCAGTCTAGCTGGAATACGTCGTAGAGGCCCTGACAACAAAGATGTAATGAGGCACTAAACAACAACGTTTTTATTTCTGAACCTGACCGTGAAATGCACAACCATGGAGCTGGGGCTCAAGCCCCAAGAAGCGTTTCTTAACCTTGCTTCTCCGCTTTAATGTGCAGTTATATCCACTAAAATCTGGCAAACAAATTGAATTTGATAGGATTGATGTGCCAATACACTGAAAGGTTTCCAAATCTAATTTACCAATAAAGAGGCTTTTACATACTACAACAGATGGATTAATGTCCAGTCTAGCTGGAATACGTCGTAGAGGCCCTGACAACAAAGATGTAATGAGGCAGTAGACAACAACGCTTTTATTCCTGAACCTGACCGCGAAATGCACAACCGTGGAGCTGGGGCTCGAGCCCCAAGAAGCCCCAACGGTGGATACGCCAATGCAGGTGGAGTTGTGATGATCCATTCCATTCTGTATACTTCATTGGGATTAAGCCAATTTAATTTGTACTACTTAAAAACCAGTAACTAACCATGCAATAAATAAACTTGCATCAACAATGTCACAAGATAACCCGCTACTTGTTGCTCCAAAACATTGACATTGTTGGTCTAGTAATTTAAATTATCTATCTATGATTTGTATTCATAGGTCCATACAAAGAGGCGCAACAAGCTACTTTATGATAGGATGAGAGATATTGTCTTTGTCAAATTGAACTCCAAATTAATAAACAAGAGAGACAACAAAGATAGGGATCCTTTAGAGAAGGAAGTCAATGATGCTGTGTCTAATGATGAGAATGAGTTCATTAATGGTATTGTACCTTTTTCTAATGAGCTTGCTGAAGATGATCCACAAGATGGAGCATCACAGGGAGAATCATCATAAGGTCAAGGAAAAAGGAAGAGGCTTGTGCGCCTTAGAAAGAAGAAAATCAAGAGCGTGCACTCTTTGATGAATGATGTTACAATGCAGCTTGGACCTTCATCATCTGACTCAGAAGATGGTGATGGCAATGGCGCTGGAGACGTTTCAGTGGGATCCTTCGATTCTGATAAGTCTCATGGTGTCTCTGAATCTGATTAGTGGAATGCAATATTCTAATCTACAAACTTGTTGTTCTTATTTTGTTAATTAATGGTCATGTTCTTGACTTCTTATGATGAACTATTTATTATTTATGTCAAGAACTCAAGTGGCATGTTTACTATGAACTATGAACCGTTAAATTTATAAGTATGAACTCAAGTGCCATGTATCTGTATGATTTAATATGAACTATGAAAGTATGAGTTAGGAACTATGAACTCCATGTATGAAGTATGAATTGGTGATAAGCTTTGAATTGGTGATGAACTTAACGTGCAATGAAATAAGTGATATGTCAATTTTTAGCTCAAATTCTATTAAATTTTTATTGTTTTCTCATATTTTAGAAAAAAGCTAAATGTTTTAGCTGTAGCTATAGCCGGTTATAGCTGCTCTTAGCTATTGGAGAGCACAACCGCTAAGAGCCTTAGCCAGAGATTTAGAATATTGCTAGCGACTAGTGCGGTGGCAGGGAGGAAAAAGGAAAACTGATTAGGGTTTTGTGGACTTTGCACAAATCTCAAATTAATCAATGGTCTGAAATTTATAAGATACTAGGAGGGGTTTTCTGTAAACTGAGGAGTAGACAGTAAAAAAAAAAAACCATATAGCATTGCCACCGGCCACCCATTGCCTTTTGTTCCCCTTTCGTGATTGCCCGGTCGCGGCCTCGCCGCTAACCCTAACCGATCGAATTCCTCCGAAAAAATCCAGCCATGGCGCCGGCGGCGCAGGAGCCTTGGGCCATTCTGGCCGCAATCCCTAACGTGGTGGGGTACAAGGAGGCGAAGCGCATCTTCCCGCCGGGCACCGACATCTCCGTCGCCCGCAAGGAGGTCCCGCGAGCCTCCGTCCTGACCGTGCCGCGCCACATCTCCCTCCCGGCCTGCCTCGGACTCTACCCCTATGTCGTCGCCGCCGACCGCTCTGGCCTTCTCCTCCTCGGCACGCATCCTGTCACCTCCGCCTCCGCCATGGTCTCCTACCACATCTGTGATGCGCACACCGGTGAGGTAGTCTCCCTCCGCGACTGCAAACCAATGCGCCCCATGACCTTCTACGGCGCCGCCAACGTCGGTCTCATCATCAAGGACGACGGCTGTATGGTCGCTGAGCTCCAGCCGGGATGCAAGGGCACAAGCACCGGTGGTGCCACTCTGCTCAGCTACAAGGTGGGGGAGTGCTGCAAGTGGCGCGAGAGGGAGCTTACCTGCTCGCCCCCACTCCCGCTGGACTGGTACCCGGAGGGCGTCGTCTCCCACGGCGGGATGCTCTGGTGGGTGGACCTCTCCTACGGCCTCCTCGCGTGCGATCCCTTCGCCGAGGAGCCGAACCTGATCCACGTCCCGCTCCCACAAGTTCCCGACGAGCTTCCTGTTGATGACCAGGTTAACCGCGGTGCCCACCGCTGCGTGAAGGTGAGCGGAGGAAGGCTGATGTACGTGCAGATACACGGCAATCCTGTTGTGCCGGTGGTCAGCACATGGTTGCTCGACGAATCGACCTGCTCGCCCGGGGAGTGGGAGTGGAACCCCCAGCTCAGCGCGCCCTTGGCCGAGCTCTGGATTGACCAGAGCTATGTGGACACCATGCTGCCGTTGACCATTCCTGCCCTTGCGCTCCCCCACCCCACAGATCCTAACAGGGTATATTTCTTCCTCAAATCTTGCATCTTCGCAGCCGACCTACGGTTGAGGAAGCTGGTGTCATTCAATAGTTTTGAGATGCTCGACCCACCGTGTGAACTTTGGATGAAGCGCTCCTCCCACTTGGTCCACGCATGGCAGTATGATCCTTCAAGCAGTCGTATGTATCTTTTGTCTCTGCCCTTCTCTTTATCTTGATGTGTTCAGATGATAGCTCATATTTCGATGTTCCTGCCAATTGTCATTAGCATGGATAAATCAATCTGATCCACCGCTTATATCAAAACTCTACTCAGACCACTCAGACCCTGTATAAAATATCCAGTACCCTTGAACTAAAACAAGACCATAAATCCTATCCTGGTTTCTTTATAATTTTAGCTTGAAGATCCACAACTTCCGGAACACCGATATGAGCTAGATAGTGTGATAATTGTGTGTTTATACTTGTTTAATTCTGAACCAATGCTCGCTGCTATATACCTTATTCCTGTACATATTCCTGTATAGTTTGTACTGCTCCATTTGATGGAATACTGCTAGTATAACTTTAGTGATTGCAAGAGTGACGTAGGTCCGGAATAGTTCTTCCATATTCTCTAGAAATGTTCCGTTGCCTCTTACAAATTAAATGATACAGGGAACTGCCAAACCGAGTGATGGGATGTTTTGCCCTTGAATGGAATGGGTGTAACCACCTTGTGACACTGGGAATGTATAGATGTTACATCTTTTACAGTTGTGCTTATGAGGCACACGGACCACTTGGTTTTCATGGGGAATTATTGATATTTTTAGGTGTATTGTTTCTCTGCAGAATATTTAGCCAGTTTATAGTGCTTATAAATCTTAGTTGAAGTGTCATTCTGTTGCTCTCCTCAGCTTACATATAACCACTGTAATTTCTTTTTTTAGGTTCTGACTTTGTATTGGCATGCTTGAGGCAAGACAAGGCAATTGCTTCTAAGAGCAGGTGACCCTATACTTCACTTTAACTTCCAATTAGATTTTCTTGCATATCCTTAACTTTAACTTCCAAGAAGTAGATTTTCTTTCAATGGCCTAATACAATCTTTCTTTTGATTCAGCTTCTCTGGTATAATTCCTGTCACTCGTAGAACTGGTATGTACTATATAATCTATGCAATTCTTCAATTGCAATTATTGGATGGGGTGTTTCTTTTGTCCAGGTTGTAGAAAAGTGAGCAAATTTCAAATAACGCCAGACATAGTGTTTTGTCAAACGTACTCTGTAAAATTTGATTGAATACGTCCTTATGGTGTGAGTATGTTAACTGTGGTGCCATGTTTTTTTCCCTTCGGTCCAGAGTTTTTGTACTGAAGAGCTGATATTATCTGTTGTATTTTCAGCTAAAAGTTTGAAGAGAGTTTGGGATTCTGTAACCAGGCAGCAGCAAAAGCAGGAGCAGCAGCTGCAGAAGCAAGCTATGTAAGGTGCAGAATCTCTGAAGAAAGCAGAATCAGCCAGCCTCATTAAGTATGAAGGAAGGGTAGAGTATATTATTTTGTGCATGATTTGCCAGCCTCATTAACCAGGATTTATGAAAACGATCTGATACAGCATGAGCTTACTTGTGAGTTCTTGTTCTGTGCCTTTTCTTAGGCCTATTTATAAGGGAGACGCTTCATGTACAGCTTGAGTACAAACGTGAATCTTGACTGTTGGATGCATTTATGAGGATTTTAACCATTCCGATCTTGAGTTGTCCCAAATAAGACTTTCAATAGACAGTCTTCAATGTTAAATAGAAACATGTTAATTAGTTCTACAACCATACCATGCATGCATGTGTACGTGACAGTCTTCAATGCTTGGACAGTACTATGGCTGAATATTTGTAACTGATGTAACGGTTAGGATGTATCAAAATAAGATAGCTTGAAAAAAGTCCATACTTTTGTTCTAGAGGCCAAAGAATTACCATGTTAATTGAAAAACTAATTTCAAGTCCATACTTTTGTTCTAGAGGCCAAAGAATTACCATGTTAATTGAAAAAATATATTATGAAGATGGCTAAAAAAGTGCTATCTTTTATTTCGGAGGCCTAAAATTACCGTGTTAATGAAAAAAAAAACTACACCATTAGATAAACATATATTTTAACTGTTAAAATTAATTTATAAGTATAACAAACAGCAAATTAAATAGACAAATACTACTCAAAGTTTGGAAATTACTGTATAACTAAACAATAATCATGTTCAGACTCTCAGGTCCCAACCGGACTTGGGCTAAACACATTCTTTCTAGAGGCACCACGTTTACCGTGGGGACTAGAAATACCCACATTAATCGAAAAAAAGAAAAGGAGAGTCCAACTTGAAATACAATTTAATAATAACTGAAATTAAGAATTAAAAATAATCACTATTTAAAGAAGAGTCCATCTAAGAACCCAATACGAGGTTAATTAATATTCGGATTAAAAAATAAAATAAAATCCGAAATTAGCAAAAGAAGAAGAGAAGAGCTCGAGTAGAAATACAATTTAAAAATAACTAAAATTCCAAATTAAAATTAAGTAATATTGAAAGAAGAGCCCATATAAAAACCTAATACGAGATTAATTAAAATGCGGAATAAAAAATCGAAATAAAAAAAAGAAGAGTTCAAGTAGGAATATAATGTAAAATTAACTGAAATTCGGAATTAAATATAAGTAATACTAAAATAAGAGTACATATAATAACCCAAAACGAGATTAATTAAAATTCAGAATGAAAAATAAAATAACATATGAAATTGGATAAATTGAAAAGAGAGTTCAAGTAGGAATACGATTTTTAAACAACTGAAATTGAAAATAAAAATAAAAATATTAAAAGAACACATTATGATATTAGTTAAAATTTGAAATAGAAAATAAAAAAAATCTTAAATTAGAACAAGAGAAATAAGATTTCAACTAGGGATACAACTTATAAATAACTAAAATTGGTGATAAAAAATAAAGACTATTGAACGAATAGACCATAAACACATGATGAGATTAATTAATTAATAGTCATATAAAGGTGTAAAGTGGTGGCGGTTGACGAGGCATCTAAAACTATTAATAAAACACCAAATAGAATTCTAATAACAATTAAATTAAAGGGAAGGAGAACGAACATGTCATGAAATAACCGGTCAAGGAGGTTGGCAAGACTTCTAGAAAGTAAAAAAAATAAACCCAATTGATAATCATATTTAATTTTTAAAATCTCAATGATAGTAAAAAGGAGAGGCAGCGGGCGGGTCGTACAGGAGTAAAATAGCATAGCCGCTAATGGTTGGTGGTACTTTTAGAAAGTATAAAATGAATTCCAACGATAGTTATGTTCGACTTTTAGAATCTAAATAACAATAAAGAGTAGGCGGCGGATAGGTCATAGAGGAGTATAGTGGCAGCGTTTGACATGATTTCTAAAAATTATAAAAAATGAAATCCAATGAGACAACAAATTCTAAAAACTATAAGGTTCGGGCTTCTAAAAGTAAAAAAAAAAACTCCAATGATAATTATATTTGATTTTTAAAATCTCAATGACAATAAAGAAGGGAGACAATGGATGAGCCGTAAAGGAGTACAGTGACAAAGCCGCTGACGTTTTGCGGAACTTCTAGAAAGTAAAAAATGAACCCAAATGATTATTATGTTTGATTTTGAAAATACCAATGAAATAAATAGAATAGGTAGTGACGGGCAACATTTGACGGGATTTCTAGAAATTATAAAAACGAACCCCAATGGGACATTGAACTCTAAAAACTATGGATCCAATTTTTAAAGGTTCCAAGGAAATAAAGAAAGATATGACAGAAGTAAGGGATATCAATTGATGTGACTTTTAAAAATTATAAAATTAGAAACACGAGGATGATAAGGTTTGGTCTTTCAAAGTCTTAAGACAACGAGGTAACTATTTAATAAATTTTAAGTAAAATATTATATTTAAAAAATATAATTTTGTATTGATGCTAGCCGCGCAATTGCGCGGGCCACCCAGCTAGTTATATTATTAAAACAGCTTTGAAAGGAGATATCACGTTCGCTGTGGAGGCTAACAATTCAAAAATAGCTGAAATTCGGAATTAAAAATAAGCAATATTAAAAGAAGAGTCCATATAAAAACCCAATACGAGATTAATCAAAATTTGGAATAAAAATAAAATAAAATTCGAAATTAGAAAATAAAAGGAGAGTCCAAGTAGGAATATAATTTAAAAATAACTGAAATTCGGAATTGAAAATAAGGAATATTGAGAGAAGAGTCCATATAAAAATCCAATACGAGATTAGTTAATATTCGGAATAAAAAAATAAAAATAAAATCTGAAATTAGCAAAAAGAAAAAGAAGAGTTCAAGTAGGAATACAATTTAAAATTAACTGAAATTCAGAATTAAAAATAAGTAATATTTAAAGAAGAATCATATAAGAGCCCGATACGAGATTAAATAAATTTCAGAATAAAAAAATAAAATAATATCCAAAATTAGAAAAAAAATAAAAGAGAGTTAAGTAGGAATACAATTTTGAAACAACTGAAATTGAAAAATAAAAATATTAAAAGAACACTATACGGTATTAATTAAAATTTGAAAAAAAATAAATTATGAAACTAGAAAAAGAAAAAAAAGATTCAATTAGGAATACAATTTATAAATAACTAAAATTGGTGATAGAAAATAAAGACTATTTAAAGAAAAGACCATCTAAAACACATGACGAGATAAATTAAGTAACATGCATGTAAAGGAGTAGAGTGGTGGCGGTTGATACTACATATAAAAACTATCTATAAAACACAAAATACAATCCTAATGACGATTAAAAGGAGTGACGACAGGCAAACAGGTAAGGCGGTTGTCGGGACTTCTAGAAAGTAAAAATATAAACCCCATTGATAATTATATTCGATTTTTAAAATCTCAATGACAATAAAAGGGAGAAGCAGCGGGTGGGGTGTATATGAGTATAGTTGTAGAGCCGCCAACGGTTGGCAGGACTTCTAGAAAATAAAAAATGAATTCCAAAAGATAGTTATGTTCGATTTTTAGAATCCCAATGACAATAAAGAGTAGGCGGCGGATGAGCCGTAGAGGAGTATAGTGGCCTCGTTTGACGGGACTTCTAAAAATTATAAAGAATGAAACCCAACAAAACAATAAACTCCAAAAACTACATGGTCCAATTTTTAAAGGTTCGGAAATTCTAAAATGTAAAAAAAAACCCCAATAATAATCATGTTCGATTTTAAAATCTCATGACAATAAAGAAGAGAGGCAGCGGGCGAGTCAAAGAGGAGTACAATGGCAAAGCCACTGACGGTTTGGCGGGACTTATGGAAAGTAAAAAATGAACCCGAATGATAATTATGTTCGATTTTTAAAATCCCAATGACAATAAAAAGAAAAGACAATGGATGGGTCGTATAGGAGTATAATGGCAGCGTTTGATGGGACTTCTAGAAATTATAAAAAGAAACCCAACAAGACAATAAACTCTAAAAACTATAAGATCTAATTTTTAAAGGTTCCAAGGTGAATGAATAGAAATAGTAGTAGATCGAGCAAGCAAATAAACAAGGAGATGACAGAAGTAAGAGGTATCAACTGGTGTAACTCTTAAAAACTATATAATTATGTAACTCTTAAAAACTATATAATTAGAAACACGGGGATGATAAGATTTGGTCTTTCAAAGTCGTAAGACAATGAGAAAGTTATGTAATAAATTTTAAGTAAATCATTTAGAAAAGACCATCTAAAACACATGACGAGATAAATTAAGTAACATGCATGTAAAGGAGTAGAGTGGTGGCGGTTGATACTACATATAAAAACTATCTATAAAACACAAAATACAATCCTAATGACGATTAAAAGGAGTGACGACAGGCAAACAGGTAAGGCGGTTGTCGGGACTTCTAGAAAGTAAAAATATAAACCCCATTGATAATTATATTCGATTTTTAAAATCTCAATGACAATAAAAGGGAGAAGCAGCGGGTGGGGTGTATATGAGTATAGTTGTAGAGCCGCCAACGGTTGGCAGGACTTCTAGAAAATAAAAAATGAATTCCAAAAGATAGTTTGGCGGGACTTCTAAAAATTATAAAGAATGAAACCCAACAAAACAATAAACTCCAAAAACTACATGGTCCAATTTTTAAAGGTTCGGAAATTCTAAAATGTAAAAAAAACCCCCAATAATAATCATGTTCGATTTTAAAATCTCATGACAATAAAGAAGAGAGGCAGCGGGCGAGTCAAAGAGGAGTACAATGGCAAAGCCGCTGACGGTTTGGCGGGACTTATGGAAAGTAAAAAATGAACCCGAATGATAATTATGTTCGATTTTTAAAATCCCAATGACAATAAAAAGAAAAGACAATGGATGGGCCGTATAGGAGTATAATGGCAGCGTTTGACGGGACTTCTAGAAATTATAAAAAGAAACCCAACAAGACAATAAACTCTAAAAACTATAAGATCTAATTTTAAAAGGTTCCAAGGTGAATGAATAGAAATAGTAGTAGATCGAGCAAGCAAATAAACAAGGAGATGACAGAAGTAAGATGTATCAACTGGTGTAACTCTTAAAAACTATATAATTAGAAACACGGGGATGATAAGATTTGGTCTTTCAAAGTCGTAAGACAATGAAAAAGTTATGTAATAAATTTTAAGTAAATCATTTAGAAAAATATATGATTTTGTTTAGGTGCTAGCCGCGCAATTTGGCGGGCCACCCAGCTAGTTTTTATTTTAATAATAAGATCTAGGAGTATAATGTTTATACTCCACTAACTCAACTGGTAATAAAGACCACGTCGCATAGAAATCACAATATACTACCTCCATTTTTTATATATGACGTTTTCAACTTTTTCACATAACGTTTAATCATTTTTATTACGTAAATGTATCAGTTTTTTCTAGGCATGCAACCTAATAAAAGTCTTTACTTATAAGTGCTTATGATTTTTTTTTTGTGAATTTTGTGTTTTGAATTTTGTCTCGAGACCTTCATGTTCTTCCTCATTCGCTGACACGTGGGACCCATGGGGACTACTGTCACCGCCACAGCTTCTGCTTTTTCGCGCGCACCGCGATAGCGACAGCCACTTTGGCTTGGCTTTGCGCGAGGAAGCAGCGCAGCGATCCCGTCACCGTGACCTCATCCTCCCCCGATCACAACACAAACCCAACTACACCAAGAGCTTGGGGATTGGGGGAGTCAGGGGGAAAACCCTACTCCGTCTCGCCACCCCACACCCAAGGCCGGCGACTCCTTCGGTATGCCAAACTCCACCGGTAGTTTCTCCTTTCTTTCTCTGTGCACCTGTGATGTCGTCGTCTTGTCCGTGCAGGCTCCATAGCGGGTAAGAAAGGGTGCACCAAGATCGCCGGCGGAGATCGTCGCCTTGGTCTTGACGAGGCCAGTGAGCCCTTTCTCCCTTCCTGTTCTTGAGTTGGCGCAGATCCGATCCATGCCCTGACTCTCTCTCCTCTTTCGCAGGCTGCCGTGACCCCAGGCGACCGGAACGTGAGGAGCCGGACCAGGGACACCGAGAGAGAAGCCCGCCGTGGAGACGACTGCCAAGTTCTTCGCCTGCTCCATATGTCGACATCCCCTCCCTCGGTGAGTATCCAGCCAACCTGCCCAACGTAGGGTATTAGTGTCCGGCTTCGTGCGTTGCTCCAAGGGGCTTTGTGTGCGCACGCGTTCACGGCGTGGTGATCTGTTCACGCCGCCGTCACGGTCGATAACTCGATATCTCCTTCGTTCGCCGTAGAGCCCTCGTGCCTGTCTCCCCACGCCGCTTGTTGTCGCCGTGACTTGCTGTGCCGCGTCGTAATCGCTTGTTTAGCACTTAGCAGAGCATCAGGTTCTGGTGCCACTCCACCGCGAGTTTGGGGACCGGTTTCCCTTTTCTGATGACTTCGCCGGGCGAGATTACGACGTTTGGGTAGAGTACGTACGTGGCGCTGCCGGGCGAGATTACAGGCGAGTCGCCGCCATCCTGCGGAGGGGGATTGGCTGCTCAACGTACTACACGATTGATTGATCCATCCCCATTTCGCTCAACCTACTACCGATTGATTGATCCACCCCCATTTCACTTCATTGCAGGACATGTCGGAGATGGTCACTGTGCAATTTCTGGATCTGAGAATTCATCGCATGCCCGCCAACGACGTCCTACAACTTCGTCGCCGTCTTCCTCCTCTGGAGTTGAACTGCGTCCAATCCGTGGACCAATTCAAAAGATTCCAGGCGTTTGTAAGAAAAAATGAGGAGAAGGAGAAAAGGGATGAAGAAGAGGCCGAGCTCAACACTTCCCTACCGATCTTTCTTCTACCGTTGATTCTTGCTAACTGATTAACTTTGCTATGTGCGTGTGTTTATAATGTGACGAATTGACACTGTTCTTGTATCCAGTTGGCAATTGTCACGAGTCAAACAGATCTAGCGCGCATATGCGCTACAAGAGGTGAAGAACTGGATGAGCTTGGTATAGTGGAGGAGTACGACGACGACGACGACGACGACGACGACGACGACGGCGACGAGCACTATGTGTATGGAGGCTTGGATATGTTCGAGCCAGCCACCACCGATGAAGAGGACGCCAACGCGCAGGTGGATGCTGATGATCTTTACTACCTGGGGGTCAGTGACGACGAGAATGAGGAAGTGGGAAGCGACGGCGGGACTGATGACGACGGCGGTGATGATGCTGGAGGCGACGGCGGACGGGCTGGACCCCTCAGGTGGGACAACCTATGGGACGACGACCCACCACAGTGAGTCAGTGACGGCGTGATGCCCTGATACACCGATCGAAATCCTATCTTATTTATTGCGGAGTAGCAGAATTGACGAACAAACCTAGAGCTTATTTATTTCCTTACGACTGACTTGTGCAAACATTCAGCATGTCTTGTGCAAGTCATGTTTTAAATTGCATCTGGATGACAATGAGCTATGGTTAATGCAGCTATAATTTCCTCCAACTGTCACTGCTCTTTGCCTGATGATTTTCTAGAGACAAGAGGCAGAAGATCTCGCAAATTCTGATAGTGCATAATTAATTGTTTCTAGATATGATCTGTATATATAAGTGCACTTACAGTATGTGAGACTGATTGGGTACTCTAGACCATTTTTACTGGAATCACAAGCTCATGCATGCATTCAGCGCATCGAAGCCCATAGCATTCTACATCTACAGCAGTAAAAGGGACTTTATTTTTGTCCCTGACTACTGATGAACAGATGGTTCTACACTTCTACTAAGTTTCATACTCTCCGAAACAATGGTATTATACATGTATTGCAAGAATGGCTCTGAGCTTTCACTGCAGCGGAAGACTGTCTACTTTACTGAACTGTCAGCTCTTGGCTTCCTTCTCCAGCCCATGCTTAAGAGCAGGTATAATATACATTTCGAGAAAATAAAATAGGAGAGAGGAGTTAGTACGGAGTAGTTGACTATACTATTAAACTTGCACTAAATACATTGAGCATCTAGCACATCCTCTTCCTTGGGAACATCAGCAAGCAAATTCAAATTGTTGGCCTTCTTGGTGTTCGAGGAAACCGTCGGTCCTCTCGCGAAGATCGTCGAATTGACCCGAAAGAAGCCGTGTCACAGGGTGGTGGGTCTTCGTCGGACTCCGGTGCGACTGCGACGTCGAGCTATCGTCACGGACTCTCACGGTGGTCAACAGTTCAACACCGCACAGCTCAAGTGGGACGCCCCTCTTACGGTCACCGCGGCGTGCACGCGGGGAGGGAGCCGCCCGGAGCCAGAAATTAACCGTGTAGATTCAATTACTAGTTTACTACTGCTCCATCCGTCTCCTAATATGAGGAATTTTGACATTTGATTTGTACTGTTTAACCATTCGTCTTATTAAAAAAAATTTAGAAATTATCATTTTTTTCCTACTTTATTATCCAAAGTGCATTAAGCCACAACTTTTTATTTTTTATATTTGTATAAATTTTTGACCATTCGTCTTATTCCAACTTTTTATTCGTCTTATTTTTTAAAAAATTTATATATAAAAATCAAGATTATTGGGTCAGCCGACCCCACAGTTTGTACATACATCCGACACTGGAGCTGTCGGCCGGGTACGTATGCCACACAGGTGCCGCGTCCCAGGGCACTTCATCGAGCACTGCCCTACCAACGGGCAACGGCGACCCAAGATTTGACATCTGGAGGGTGGCTCCAGCTCCAGCGTCCTCATCGGCGCCGCTGCGTGGGGGGAACCTGACGGCGTCATCCCGGCGGAGCTCTACTGCAAGATTTGCCGGAACGTGATGACCGACGCGATGGTGACGAGCAAGTGCTTCTTCAGAAATTGCCGATTAAGAGCTACTTGGAGATTTTCTTTTCCTCTCATTTGCGTGTTGTCATGTAGTGTGTGTATAAGATCAAGTAGCGTGCTATGTTGTAATGTAGAAGATGAACTACTTCAGATCTCTTTTCATCATGTATATACTGTACCTATGTAATACAGTACGTATTATTAATTGGAATGATTTTGTCATCCTGTATACACTGTATACACTCTCTTGTCATCTTGTGATTCTCTCTGTCTCTCTCTACGGAGTAATATGTTAATTGGAATGATTTTTTTCCACCAAAAATCTGAAATCTTTTGTTCCTGTAAGCGTGACTCTTCCCCGTACATTTTGACGTACGATCTCGGAACAATTGCCGTGGCGCGGGCGCGCGCCAACGACGATGGCGAATTGGCGATCCAACGGCGTCCCGTTCGGCCTGACACATCATGCTAACCATTCTACGACGGCGCAATGCATGACGGCTCTGCCCACCCGATGCCTTCCCCGGCGTGCAACATGCCAGCCAGCGCCACCGGCCGGAGCGCACTGGGCGATTCCGCTCCGGCGGGACAGACAGACCAGACCATGGTCGAGCCTCCACGACGACGAGGAGCTGATCCGGTTCACAACGTATAAACAAGACACAAGAATGGCACCTTACGTGTTCCGTGTAACCCTCACCATTGTCAGCTGATCCAAAAATCATACAGGAAATACACATTAAAACTCGTAATAATTTTCAAAGCCTCCACCGATTCGCGACTCGACAAGTAAACGCCGACGCTCCCATCGCGATGCGACGGTGGTAGTAGTTACAAAAGAGGCGAATGCGCCGCGTACGCGCGCGCGTCTCACGATCGAGAAGGAAGAGGCGGTGGCCGGTTGCCGGAGCAGGTCCAGCTCGGCTCATCACTCACCTCACCTGCCGCGGAGCAGGGCCTTCTCGGCGGTGTCCATCTCCTCGAGGATGCGCGCGCGGCGGTAGGGGTGGAGCTATAGCGAAACAGAGGATGGTGCCACTTGCTTAATTTACTCTACTTTAGATTGAGTATAAGCTAATACAGATGTCTAAATTTGTATTGAGGGGGTGCATACATGATGAAAATAGATGAGGTATAGCTAAAAAATTTTCTTCACTGGGTTCCTAGGCACCTCCCTAATATATACTAGCTCCACCCCTGGCAACACTTGTTGGGGATGGGAGTTGTGGGGCCGAAGCTGATGTAGTGTCCCGACACACGACACGGTGTTGAGCGCGGAGTACATCTCCCTGAAGGACAGCCGACCCAGTAAACTGAAAGAAGCTAGACTCCCGACAGATTCGGTGCCTGTTTGGGGGAGCTTCTTCTAGAATCTCCAGTTGCTAGAAAGCTCCCCCAAACAGTCCAGCTTTTTACCCATATTCTGAGAATCTGTAGTTATATAATCTTAAAAATAAATTAGAAGCCAAAAGCTGGGTTTCTCAGCTTCTCCAGATTCTCAGCAGCTGCTTCTCAGAATCTTAAGCTTCCCAAACAGGTCCTCAGCCAAGTTTCCGCCAAATGTTGCTGGCAAAACCTGCATCGCCAATTTTGACGAGTGCTGGACCAGCATGCCCGTGCTCGACTCTCCAGTGGCCAGCCCTGTCGCTGCAGATAGCAACTTCGTGGGATTCAGCTATGTGAGGCCAGCGCCCTTCCTTCAGAGGCCGAGTCCTCTAGGCTGAAGACCTCCAGTTGAGACCGAAATACATCTTGCCACTGGGTATGAAGCTGACAAAATTTACTGTTTCGATGATTATTATGTAAAACTACCTATTTATGTTGTTCGGTTTGTCTGGGAAAACCCCAGTATCTTTTCTTCGTTGAAGATACTAGTAAAAGATGAACGTGGTACTTGTTGAAACCAGACAAATTTGTCTATTGCCAGATGGAACAGTTACCCTGGCTTCTATGATCAACCCCTGCCCCTTGGCACATTTAGGTTTTCGGGCCGTTCACATACATGTTTCCAAATCTAAGGGCTTGTTTGGATTGTAGCTTAAAAAATGATATGGTTAAAAATAGCATCAAAGTGAACATGTCCAAATTCTTCTGCATGTTGTAACACAAATCCTGTTGAGATGCAAATTCAAAGCATACCGTTTATGCATGTTGAAATGTAAATTCGAACAGAGAGTTGCTAAATTTCCACGATGTCTATAAAGTATAGTAGCACTAGTAATAAGAAACGGACCGCCCCAAGTAATAAGCTCACATGGACAGCAGCGTATAGGCCGAGTCGGAGTCTGAGCGTTACATGCCACGCACCAACTCCGACTCCGACTCCGATTCATCCTTGCCTCCGCGGGCGATATAAGCGACGCCACGCCACGCCATCCTCCCAGTCTCCATCACGCTCAGCAACGGCACGCAATCCGCCTCTACCCTCCATCACCCTCTTCATTCCTTCTTACAACCTCCGGCGATCGCAGCAGCAGCAGCAATAGCACCCCTCCTCCGTTCAACTTGAGGGAGAGGCTATGGCGGTGTTCTACAGGTACAGAAGCAGGGTGGACACCTTCTCCGTGCCCGTGCCGGAGCCTTTTGTCTCCGTCGGGGAGCTCAAGCGCCTCATCACGGCCACCGCGCGCCACGGCCATGGACGTTCGCGCGGCCGGGGCCCAGGGACAGCGTCGCGCTGTGCAGCGACAAGACTGGCGAGGAGTACGCGGACGAGGACGAGCTGATCCCTAGCGGCTGCACGGTCGTCGTGCGGCGCCGAGTCTCCGGGCCTCCTGCAGAGACGATCGTCGAGTTGACAGTAAAGAAGCCAATGTCGGAGGGCGGTGGTTCTTCGTCGGACTCTGGCGCGCCGTCGACGGGAGCTGAAGTGGACGACGAGGAGAAAGCTATCAGCTCCGTGATCGACGCCGCACAGCTCAAGTGGGAGGCCCCGACGTCACAAGGAGGCCTGCATCGGGGGAGTCTGACGGCGTCATCCCGGCGGAGCTCTACTGCAAGATTTGCCGGAACGTGATGGCCGACGCGGTGGTGACGAGCAAGTGCTGCTTCGACAGCTTCTGCGACGGGTGCATCAGGGACCACATCGCCTCCAAGTCCAAGTGCGCGTGCGGGGCGCAGGCGCGCGCCGACGACCTGATCCCCAACACGACGCTCCGCACCACCATCGCCAACCTGCTCGCCACCACCACCGGCGCGGCAGCAAGCGCCTCAAGTGGAACCGACAAGACGAGGAGCTCCGCCGGCAGCAACGCGGCACATCCGGCGGCGCCGCTGAGCCCCGCAGCTTCGCAGGCGAGCCGCAGCAGCAACGTGAGCTCAGAGAAGGCCGAGCACAGCGACGGCGGCGCGTCCACGTCGAAGAAGATCGCCACGATCTCAGGTGCCCTCGGCCCAAGAAAGGCGCAGGAGACGGTGGCTGGCGACCACTCTGCAGAATCCGGAGCTCGCGCCGTCCATGGCGGCGATCACTACGGCGTCCCGTTCTGCCCGGCGACCGGCTACGTCGACCCCTTCTTCTTCGGCGGCATGCCATTCGGAGCCGATCCTTACATGTACTACGGCGGCGTGCCTTACGGCTGCGGTGGTGCACCCAACGGCTACTACGGCGGCGAGGAGCTCCGTGACAGGAAGAGGGCGCGCGTCTCTCCCGGAACCGGATGTTGGTGATCGGCTTCGGAGAGGATCAGAAGTTGCCGATTAAAAGCCATTTGGAGATTTTCCTTTTCGTCTCATTTTTGTGTTGATATATAGTGTGCATAAGATCAAAGTGAAATGCTAGAGATGAACAAATTCAGCTCTCTTGTCTCTCTGTATTGTACGGCTGTACCCATGTATAATAATGTTATTAATTGGAATGGTTTTCCCCAAAAAAAAAAATCTGAAATCTTTTGTCTTGTGATCCTCTACTAACATGTTAATTGGTATTATATATTTTTTCACTCAAAACTTGAAATCTTTTGTCCCTGCGTGAGCGTGACTTTCTCGCTCAAACACAAGACATGCGCGCAAGGTGTTTGATTCTGCTAACGACGGGCATTTTGACGTACGATCTCGGAACAATTGCCGGGGCGCGCGCCGACGAAGATAGCGAATTGGCGATCCAGCGGCGTCCCATCTCGTTCGGCCTGACACACCATTGCTTAACCAGTCTACGACGGCGCAATGCATGACGGCTCGCCCCACCGGATGCCTCCCCCGGCGTGGCGCGTGCAACATGCCAACCAGCGCCACCGGCCGGAGCGCATCGGGCGATTCCACGCCGGCGGAGCTCCGGTTCACGACGTATAAACGAGACACAAGAATTAATGGAAACTCTAGGGAGTTGCATGTCCCCAAGCCAACCGTGTAATCCTCACCATGTCAGCTGAACCAAAAATCATACAGAAAAAAAAAATACACATACAACTCAGTAGTAATAATTTCAAAGCCTCCACCGATTCGATTCCACTCGACAAGAGCAAAGCCGACGCCCGGCCCCATCGCGACGCGACGGTAGTATAGTAGTTACAAAAAGTGAATGTGCCGCGTACGCACGCGCGTGCGTGCGTCTCACACGAGAAAGATCGGTGGCCGTAAGCACTCGGCTCAATCAATCATCACTCACCTCACCGGCCGCGGAGCAGGGCCTTCTCGGCGGTGTCCATCTCCTCGAGGATGCGGGCGCGGCGCTTGTTGGGGATGGGGGCCGTGGGGCCGAAGCTGATGTAGTGGCCCGACACGGCGTTGAGCGCGGAGTACATCTCCCTGAAGGACGGGCGGCCCAGCAGCGACTTCTCCCTGCGGTACTTGGCCACCCACGAGTTGGACAGCTCGCGGAGCTCCGCCACCGCGTCCGCCACCCCGGGGTCCGCCCTGTCCATGTTGATCGTCGACCGCACCTTCCCGATCACGTCCTTCGTCTCGCTCACGTACTCGTCGTCCGACGCCGCCCGCGCCGCTCCCCCGCACGGCCACAGCGCCACCGCCGCCGCCGCCACCACCAACTCGCGCCTGCTGGCTTGAAGCGCGCGTTGAGGCGGCGTTGGCTTTACGGCGATGGCGGCAGTGGCAGCGGTAGCCGGGGCCGTGAGGACGGCCGGCACGGGGGACGACGCTGGCCTCATCTCGTTCGTGTCCTACGCGAGCTCGCGGTGTGAGAGGGGAAGGGGGGAGAGGGATAGCGCGCGGGTTTGTGAGATAGGCTTGGGTTGGGTTGGGGAGGGAGGCCGGAGGGCGGGAAGAGGTGACACGTCGGCTTATCCCCTTATCCCGACTCGTCACCATGCACGGCTATGTATGGGCTCGCGGGATTTCCGATGATAGGGCGGCCATGGTGTTCGGCAACTACACGTTGATGGTTACCGGAACTCGCAAATGAACATCAGCCCTAGATCCTAATGATCTAGCAAAGTGACAGGGTGAATAAGCGAAAAGGAGACGGGATTGGCCGCAAACATTGATCCTCATGGTCTCGGATAAAACTGAAATTCACAGCAGAGTTGGAAGCAGAGTTACGGTCACAAATACACAAAACGGTGTAGACACAGTGAAAACTGGACAATAATTGTTGTAAATCGGCAAATTAGGTTTTTGTAGCGATGATTGGGGAGTGTATCCGAGGCTCTGAGCAGGGTGGACGTTTAACTTAGGTTCCAGCCTTCCGACGACCAACTTGGGCAACGAATCCAGCCTTGATAGGAGCAACAGATCTTGAAGAACCACACTGCGGAGGGTAAACAAAACCAGCAGTCAATATTTGGCTTGACGAAGCAATAACGAGAAATGGCATGATTTGGATGACAATAATACATCAATCCACTGGCACCTAAACAAGGGTCACAACTTGTACTAACGGGCGCCAACAAAAAAAACTCTCGATATATTAAGAAAAATCCACCAGAAAGCCAAGTGAACTACATCTTTTTATCCTCAGATGTTGCAATTGTTTCTCACAGGTTAGTCAAACAATGTAGGCAATAAATTTTGCAACTCATCATAGGTTAAAAAAAAGGCAATGAATTGCCCTCTTCTTTTCTAAAGTAATAAAAGATAAACCAACCAGCAGAAAATCAAGTAAAGGGGTAACTTTTTATCCTCAGATGTTGCAAATTTTCTCACAGGTTAGTCAAACAATGTAGGCAATAAATTTCACAACTCATCATAGGTAAAGAAAAACAATGAATTGCACTCATATTTTCTAGAAGAAAAAAAAAAAGAAAAAACAACCAGCAGAAAATCAAGTAAAAGGAGTAACTTTTTATCCTCAGATGTTGCAAATTTTCTCACAGGTTTAATCAAACAATGCAGGCAATAAATTTCGCAACTCATCATAGGTAAAGAAAGACAATGAATTACATTCTTTATTCTAGAAGAACAAAAAGAAAAACCAATGACAGTGCTTTATGCCTCAGAGGTTGCAAATATTATCATGACAACATTTGTCAGACAATGTAGGCAAAAGATATTGCAACTCATCATAAGCAGAGAGTCAGGATTTACAAAAACAAATAAAATGACTAGTTGGCAACAATACAAGTTAGTTAATTAGGACGTATGAGTGCTGATGCAATGCAGCAAGAAAAATTGTGATAGCATCTCAAGCCTCAGCTACTTGCAATTAATATCACAAAGATACTTGTCAAACAATGTAGGCAATAATCTTGCAAGTCATCATAGGCATCATTGGTATCAAATACATATGATATGCAAAAATAGATTATTATTATTACAGCAATGCAAGACAAGAAGCTGAATTGACTCAGCTCTCGCAACTTTAGTTACTTGCAAACAATGTAGGCAATTTCATAGGAAATGTTTGATGATAGGGACCTTGCAAAAAAAAAGAGACCAAGGTAATGCTCTCAAGAGCAAATCCAGGTATGGTTTGCAGTAGACCACAAATGCACAAACAAACTCTTCGGACTAATATAACTAGAGAACCATGTAAAGCTGTACAAAGCAGGGGGGCATGTTTGTTGCAGTATTAAAGATGCCTTTAGATAAGCTCTCTCTGTATGGAAATTAACTACATTTGACACGACTGGACATGCAAATATATATTGAACAGCTTACCTGTTCGCAACGAAGGAAGAACAACCTATTCTCCTTAGAAAGGATGGTATCAGGACTCTTGCACCCATTGCATATGACATACTCATCTGAAAGGAGTGAAATTAAAAAAGGATGTAAGTTTAGCACAACAAGACTTTAATGACAATCCCACACATAGGACCTCATAAAAGGAACAAGAGAATAAACGATCCAGCCATATATATAGTACCCCTCCAAATCTTCCTAACTCTAGACCTTACTGCATTAAAAAAATAATATACATGGGAGGTGGAAAAATAAATAGGGCCCAAGGCATTAAAGAATGTATAGTAAAGTGGTTAACAGCCCAATAACTCCTCCTAGATAACTGTATGGATACTTCAATTTCAACTGGTAAGGCTTCTCTGACATCTTTGTTTTTTTAAAAAAAACCAACATTTATCTATTTCTCTTAACAGATTAGTAAACCCTCTTTTGAAGACAGATAAGGAAAGCTTCACCATAATTGGTAAGATTCCTTTAATTTCCCAGTACAAAACAATGAATTGGCCCTATAAGTCTATTTAACAGAAGCTAATGAATTCTGGATATCACAGCTGCAAGTTTGTTTATAGTTCAGCAGTAACTTTAAAGAGTATGAGCAAGATTCATGTGACATTAAGGAAACTTACTGATATATCTCCTAAGTATGGCTTCAAAGTTTTTAGGAGCAAATCTTCCTTTTATAACCAATCTTTGTTGCCCATCAAGGGATCCACTTGTTCCCATCTCAGCAAGTAAAAACATCATCACATGTTCAGGTTGCCTATGCATTCTGGAAGTGTAAACGATGATTTCAGTTAGCTCATGGTAATTTATCTTCTCTGAAATAAAAGCAGGCCTAGAGCATATGGTATGGAGTGGTAAAAAAGTGAGATCATACGTTTTGCACAAATCCATGAAGTTCACAAAAACTGTCTTCTTTGTGCCTTCCCTAAGAACTTGAGGAGGCCTCATAACAGTTCTTCGTCTATCACCAGCAAGATCAGGATTATTCTCACGCAGGATATTAAATACTCTGCCAAGCAGCTGTCACCAAATAGATTGAAAGGGTTCATTAACAGAAACACAATTGAATACTAGTTGAAGCTGAGCTGAGCACTACATGAGATACTAATACCATATCAATAGCAACAAAAACATAAGAAGATCAAAATAAAAAAAAATACTTAAAAGGGAGCAATGCTTCTCCTCAATAGACAATGAACCTTCCACCATTACTACTCCCTCCGATTCCATAATTTTTGACATTTTGGACAATGACACGGTCTCCAAAATACATCTTTGACTATATTTTTCTATTATAACATATACAATAAAAAGATACACTTTTACTTTTATTATAGTATTTTGTAAGACAAATCTATATGCTGTTCTAGTACCTTTAAACTAAATATTTCAAAGTTATTGATAGTTAAAGTTATAAAAGTTTGACCTCAACCTTGTCGAAAACGTCAAGAATTATGGAACCGGAGGGAGTTTAACTTAAAAATATAATTGCAGGTGACATAATATGAAAACTCCACAGCTTTCTATTTTGATATGTATATCTTATATGGAATTTACAAGTCATGATCTGTCAAGAACATGACAAGGATATAGAATCACAAAAATTTGAACAGGCAAGGAGTATTAACCTCTTCATATTTATAATCTCTGTCAGTTCCTTCCCAAGGGTATCGAGTTGCACCTCCAAGCACAATCCCTTCTCCTTCTTCATCCTCTCCGATTTGATCATCTGAACAATATATGATCAGACAAAGCAAAACAACGCAACCAGGGCAAATATGAGCAAGCCACAATTACCTATAGCATCTTCACCATCTCCAGCTTCAGTAAGAGATGTATCATGCTCCACCTGAAATTTGCAAAATTAGTAAATAGAATAGTACAGAAGGAAATATTAATCCAACAAACATTGCAACAGGCATTTGTAATTTGTAACCAACTAAACTCACATGCTTCTTCTTCTTCTTTTTCATGCCTGTAAAACTTGGCTCACCAGTCTCAGCGACTGAAAAAAAAAAGCAAGTTAAGCATATATTAGTAAAAATGCATACTTGGCAATTCCTTTTTTTTTTGCAGCATTAAAAGTATACCTGTCAAGCTCTCAGTTTTCTCTGCCAACTTATCCACCTCATCAGATGGATCTTGGATCACAACCTTCTTCTTCTTCTTTTTCTTGGTTGGGTCAAAAGGAGTAAGCTACAAAACATCACAAACATTGTCAACAAGCCGCTGGTACAAGGAAAAATGATATAGAAGGCTGACAAGAAATAATTGTGAAAGGCTGATTACAAACAAATAAAATGCTGAAATCCACCACGGAGTAACATTTCACTTGCTTTTTATCAAATTGTGATGTTAACCCTTTGTTGCACATGATAATCCTTAGGCATAACATGTGACCGCCATGCTCAAAACACAAATGATGAATCTAATTTGTTGATCTCCTTACAGGCTACAGCTCTACATCCGTTCAATCAACAGAAAAATCCCACATTGTGGTGCATATATCCTGACAGGGCCATTATAACACTGATAATGACCAGGCTAGCACTGACAGTATATTCAGACACAAGTCCAAACACCATCAAATATCACCATAGGTGTTCACTGCTAACTGGTTCAGTCCTCACAAGCTACTACAAAAAGATGAACAAAACAAATCATTGCTTAATCTGGCCTATCACTCATCTCAGATGTTTTTTTTATTATTTTTGAAGCCCACTCATCTCAGAAGCTTAATCCGCTCTTACAGATTTCACTGATTCAATCCAAGCACACAGATCAAACATCCTGAAGAGGCCCATGGTCGCGGATTCACGCCCAAAACACCCTACCAGATCACGCATACACCAAACACAGACAGCACAGCACGGCACCGCACCCAGCCCATCGCTACGCCGTTTCTTCCCTTCCCCGCCGAAAAACCGAACTGAATCCGATGTGCAGGGCAAATGAAAAAAAGAAAAAAAAACGAGAAGGGCAGGCTTTTCACCTCGGAGACCTCCTCCTTCCTCTCCACCTGCTCCTCGTCCGCCATGGTGACGCTGGCCTTCTTCACACGGCGACTCGATCCGCGGCGCGGCGGGCTGGGGACCTGAACTGCAAGGGACACGAGCAGCGATCAGATCGGGTCGGGGGAATCGACCGGAGGAGGAGGAGGCGACAAACCCTTACAGGGCGAGAGGGAGGATGACGACGGCGGGCGGCGGCGGCGGCGGCGGCGCTCCTGCTAGGGTTTCTGATGGGCGCTTTGCTAGGCTTTACTGAAGCTATCCTTTTTCTTCGACTCCTCTGTTTTTCTTTTTCTTGGGTGGTTGCCAGGTTTTCGTTTCGTGGCTGGGCCGGTATTTGTAGCTCGAGTCACTTGGTCGCAACATTGTCCTAGCCTAGCCGGCCCACATGAGAGACTGTAGAAGCGACAATGGTGGGCTCTGTTAACTTTGTTACCACTTTTAACCCTACTACTAAACCTTAATATTATTAAATTTTGTTAGAGCAATCAACTAGAACATATCCTTATCCATATTATCACACCAAATTTTAGTAATCATAGAAATTTCTACTCTTGGAAAATTTATCAAAATTAGATAAAGTTCTAAACCAACCATGTTCAACGTTACCAAAATTCGATAACACCAAAATGTGCTACTTCCTCTATCTCATAATATAGTAATCTAAAACTGGATATTTCATATTACAATAAATTTAGATAGACCAGATAAAATATTTCATAGCACAATAAAATCTAAATAACCTATTACTTGTGTAAGTGGTGCTCTTGTCTCACAAGAAGAACACGGAGTTAGGGCATGTAAAACAAAAAAGTCACTAATGCATGATTAATTTAGTTTTAATTTTTATAAATTTAAAATTTTGATTTAATTAGTATTTTAAATCAACCTTTGTATAGAAAAATTTTCGTATGAAATGCATAGTTAACGGTTTGGTAAAGCATACTAAAAATGAGGTAAAATATGTAGGCATTGTTGACGCTTTTTCGTGGCCAACACAAGATCACCTAACGATTTGCGGTGTAAACAATAGAGTCATCAAAATCGATAGATCAAAATCGGCTGGTGAAACCGATTTCGAGATCAATTCGCTTTCGTGGAATCACACGACTAATTTATAAGCAAATTAGTAAAGAAGATTCTATCGTACTTACGTGACGACGAACGACTAGTTTCCGAGCAAACTAGCAAAGGATAACCTTCTCGCTTTCGTGGAAAAGCACGACCGTTTTTCAGCGCAAAACGGCAAAGATTAACCAAATTCTAGGGTTAAGCAAAATAGAAAATAACAGAAAAGTAAAGAACAAGAAAAATAAAAATAATAGTAGATTGATTATTTGTTCGGGGTTCCACAAATTGACGCAATGCCCTAATATATATAGGAGCAACTAAACGCTAGGTGCGATAAGCACGGCAACTCCACGTACCGTATAGCTTAACCGAATACGATTCCATCTAAACAAATCTAACTATTAAAAGGAAATATATCGCTACCTTTCCTCTGATACGCATATAACCAGCGGCTTGGCTCCATCTCCTCTCTGAAGACGTAAATCGCGCCGGACGTATACGTACGCAACACATGCGTAGCCCCTGTAGTTTCCCGGCCATGGAACCTTCTTCGAGCCGTACTCCTGACTTGATGAAGTAATAGGAAAAACAGCCCAGCGCCATGCATCAATCAAGCAGATAACAGACCAGCAACCCAAAGCAAAGCACTTAATCTCCATCACACGAAATCCCCGTGGTGCATTTCATCTACTCATCTACTCCCTCTGCATATGATTAATATATATGTTTAACTAGCCCTCAAGCCAACCAATTAAACATATATAACAGCTGCTCCAATGAATTTGGCCTGCTCAAATGAAACTGACTATTATTAGCCAAATTATGGTATAAAGAGGCATATGTATCCTCCAGTCCCCCGTCAGCGAGCAACGGATGAAACAAAAACGACATATGCTGATGCTCCATCAGTCGTGCAACGGAAGTGGTTGGTCGACCCATTGGCTGCCATTGGTTATGGCCTATGTCCCTATTTTTACTCTTGCGCCTTGATTGTCTTCCTGCGAGTAATGCAATATGACTAGCTGTTCTTTTCTGATTAAGATTCAGATTTTATCTCGGTTTTCATTAGCACGTATTTCAAAGTATGGTACTTTCCGTACGAAAATTTTTATATAAAAATTGTTTAAAATATCAAACATATCTATTTGTCAACTTTGTAATAATTACAACTTAATTAATCATGTGCTTATAATTTTCAAGTTTTATGTGTGTCAGCTTAATATTTATCTTAATAAGTTACAAACACCACTGTAGGACTTGACTCGGTTTAGACCCTGTCTCTTTCAGCTTAAGATTATTATAATCTAGATTATTGAGTCAGATTACTGTAAACTAGATTGTTATAATCTGTAGTAGAATAAGCGGTTAGTTGTTTCTTTCCTAGATTATTAGAGCCTAGATTATTGGGTTTGCAAGTCTAAAGAGGGAGTGGGGTAGCATGGTGGGTAATTTTTCACCCAATAATCTAGAAAAAGCTCACCTAAATGAGCTTATCAGATTATAATAAGCTGGGCTTTAGATTATAATAAGCTACTTCAATAAGTTGTCTGTTTCTTTCAGTTTACTCCCAATAATCTGCATTATAATAATCCTAAGATGAAAAAACAGGGCCTTAGTCGTTACGAATCGACTCGGTGTGCAATTGACATGGCAAGATTTAGCACGTTGTTTTGTGACCCGCATGCTACTTGTTATGTATCTAAACATTTGTCACTTTCGATTAGATACTGCGTGCGATTCTTGTGCAACATGGTACTAAAAATTAATTAAAGAGGTATAACTCAGATAAAACACGCATTTTATATAAGTATGAATTGTTGGACTGACTGGGTATTCAGTAGCCTCGCCATTTGGTGGTGATGGTGTGTAGGCTGGGACATGATTTTTTAGCTCGCGATAAGAACATTTCCCTCCTCTTGGTTGTTGGGGCACGCCGCTGCAACCAACCTGAAAAAGGCATTCCAATTCCTCTTTTTGCAATATCAGGTTGGAAAATTAAGCATCCAGGAATCATCCTTTCTCCACGTGAATTCCCATCCATTTCCTCTCTTGACCACAGTCTGTATCTTGCAAGAAACATTGAGATTTAGCTGGGCAGCAGGCGACGACGACATGCAGATGTTAAATGAGAAAATGATCAACAGAGACACGGTAGTCCCCTGGTTCTGCACAAATCTAGCTGGAGACGACTGTCACAGCACCCTTACATCAGTTAAACGAGTATAAAAACACATCAGGGTTACGTAACACAACGAAAATGAAAAAGAAAATGGCATAAAAAGTTGTTGGTAAGAAAAATTACTAGCCTAAAGAAAGGCCACTGAAAGGAACACCAAGAAGAAGAAAACAAGGTTCGGTGTTGACGGTGTCATCGACCCATTCATCTCAGAAAGTCAGAATGTGCACTTGAGAAAAATAACACCCCGGAATATCATAGTCCACGGTTCATCAAGATGATACAAATTCACGCAATGGTGCGACTCTTTCATCCAAATATCTTCAATTGTATCATTAGACTGTACCTGCATACAGTTACTCTTTATCTTGCACACAGATATAAGCAAGATAATCACCAACCATCACGGGGAAAAAACCAAGCAATTAGTAGGTTAGGCGAGCTACTAAAAAAAATCCAATACATTATTGCTCGGAAAAAAAAAAGCTGATAAGATGGGATGACACCGAATACAAAGCAATCTGGATCCAGACACTTCAATTATCTACGCAGCTGTTAGTACACCATCAATGAATATCCAGATAACGGCACTAGTACAGTACAACAGTTCAACACCTATATTATAGATACACAATTGTAAGACAAGAAGACAAGGAAAACAAGGTTCGTTGGTGTATGTGCATGAGCACGACAGATGCAACAATCGGCATCTAGCATGGTCAAAATATAGCAGCATAAAAGCTTTCTAGAATCATCGACCCAACACCTCTAATTCAATGCCACATGCTAACATCTTTGCACACAGCGATTTTGCCAAAATGGACTCAACCTAGCTCTGCCAACAATCGAGTATGATGAACAATATTATACAAGACAATAAGTGCAGCTCAGCAGCTGTTGTGTTGGGGCTCCGACCGAACACATGATTAAGATAACAAAAAAGGGAGTGTGGATCATGCGTATCACTCTCTCATACAGTATCATTCGTTGGGTCAATAGCAGTGGTATGGTATATTACAATACATGCCGATAAGCTTATAGGCACTACATCAGGGAGAAAACACAGGGAAAGACAGAACCATCTAATTTGAAACAATTATCTGACTTCCGATCCATAATTCAAGAGAACATAAGGGCAAACTCATGAACATATGCTGAATGAATAGATTATGCCTGCAGGGTAACAAACCGAGACATTGTTACCTCACCGTCCCTTGGGGTTCATGATCTGCGAGAAGACAGCACTAGGCGTCAGCCCATCCGAGTCAATACTTGCAACACTCTGCTCACCCATGCTTATCGAGGTAGTTGTCGTTGTCGTGGTGCTTGACTCGATAGATGGATCATTGGGATCCTTCTTTCCAACTATCACAAGGGGAGTGCTGTCGTCTGACATCCCACATCCAAGGCTTCCGCTCTCCTCTGCACTTTCCTGCATTTGAAGGGCAAATTCCAAGTTCCACAGCACATCTCCCATCGAAGGACGGTCAATGCCCTGATCAGAAACACACTTCTCAGCTGTTTCTGCAAACTTCTTGAAACATTGTGGAGCAATCTTTCCCTTCAGGTGGGGATCAACAATCTGATCAAGAATACCCTTCTTCTGGCAGTGTAATGCCCACTCAGCCAAGCTAACTTCTTCCTTTGCAAGAGTGGGATTCAAGGCAGGCCGAGCACATAGGACCTCAAACAGTACAACACCAAAAGAATAGACATCAGATTTGTCAGTAAGCTGCTGCCTGCGGAAGTACTCAGGATCAAGATAACCAAAACTGCCCTTGACAACTGTGCTCACATGCGTATGATCCATTGTTGGACCAGTCTTGGACAAACCAAAATCTGAAACCTTGGCTACCCACTTCTCATCGAGGAGGATGTTTGTCGTCTTCACATCACGGTGGATGATGGTGTGCTTTGCACCAGTGTGTAGGTAGTGAAGCCCACGAGCTGCACCAATGCAGATATCCAAGCGCTGCCTCCAAGAAAGTGGTGCATTTTGGGTCTTGTACAGGTGCTCACGAAGAGTTCCGTGAGCCATATAGTCATAGACCAGGATCATCTCATTCTTCTCCTCGCAGTAACCAATAAGCGACACAAGATGTCGGTGGCGGAGCTTCGACAACATCTCGATCTCTGTTTGGAACTCATGCACACCCTGCTCAGACAATGGGTTTCCACGCTTGATAGCCACCTTGGTTGCTCCTCCGTCAATCTCTCCACGGTAAACTTTACCAAAACCACCCACGCCAAGGAGGAGGGACTCATCAAAGTTGTTTGTCGCAGCCTTGATCTCCACAAATGAGAAATGGCGGCACAGGTTGGATGGCAAAGACGAAGCATGGCTCCCAGTAGTGTGTGACTTGGCTGAGCTGGAAGTGTGTGAGTTGCCATAAAGTGAGAGCGGCAACCAACCAGAATGCCCATCACTCATTCCTGAATCCTTACCTGCTCTCTGCCGACGCTTGCAGATCACAAAGAAGCAGCAACATCCAAGTGCAAGAACTACCAGACCTCCAATCACTCCTCCAATAATTGGACCAACACTTGACTTCTTCCCAGAATTTCCACCCGACGCTGTTGGTACAATACTAGGGACAGGGTTGAGCCCAGCAAGGCTCCCATTAGTAAGCTGCAACTTAAAAACCTCCATCCCATTGAGGATAGCATTATAGTACTGTGGCTTGTTTTTGACATTTGGATGTAGATCCACCCACAAATCCATAGGCCCTGAACCCATGGGGAACACCACAAAATCCTTGTACACTGGAATGCCAAGCCCAGTAGACCACGCAATCACATCAGCGCCACTAAAAGCAGTCTGGTTGTTGATGTAGATGTCAAATGTCCGTTGATTGATCTTACTGATCCCAGACTGTATTTCACAGAAATGGAGCCTCACGAGATACTGATAACCAGCATCCACCTGCATTGCCCAGGTGAGATTGTATTGCAAATTCACATTGTTGTCAGGCCCCATCGACCGCGCCGTAGAGTAGACATCTGCCGGCGCCACATACTGCGGAATACTGTCAGGGTAATTTATGGGAACATTGGTGTCATTCGCGTAGCTCACCCCGAATGACGCAAAGGGTATGTATGGCGTGTCATCTTCCCATGACCGATACCCGCCCGTGTCCTTGGAGGGGGAGATCGCGTTGCCGCCGACGTTGAGCCGGTACATGGTCTGCATAGCAGTACCGGCGTCGATCGGGAAAGGCGTGCCGCTGCCGTCGCCGGTGACCTCCATCGGGTTGGAGCTGCCAAAGAGGTCGGGGGAGGAGACGACCTCGATGCCGTTGACGAAGGCGAAGGCGTTTGGGTGGCCCTTCTCCGGTGTGAAAGTGAGGTCGAGGGTTGAGGCAGTGACATTGACGGAGAATTCGCGGACGAGGTAGTCGAAGTTGAGGGCGAGGGCGGTCTGGTAGGCGCTGAAGTTGGAGAGAAGCGTGATGTTGGGGTCGGGGATGGAGACGGAGAAGAGCGCGTCGGCGGCGTTGCGGTTGGAGTAGTTCGCCGGGTAGAAGTGGAGCCTGAGGAACTTGCGCCCGGCGCCGACCGGGAACGAGTAGGTGAAGGGCGCCGCGGAGAAGCGCGCGGTGAGGTACGGCACCTGCGGCACAGAAGGGTCCTGCGCGGTGGCGGCCGCGGCGGCGAGGTTCGCCGGCAGGTACTTGGAGCCCGTGTCCCCGGTCCAGAGCCGCCCGTCCGTGTCGTTGGCCTGCCCCGTCGCGCCGCAGTCGAGCAGGATGTTGTCCCGCGGCACGAACGGCCCCGGCGGCGACGCCGCCGGGGCGCTCGAGTTGCCCCCTCCTCCTCCCTGCCCCCGCGCCGCCGGCGCCAGCGCCACCAGAAGAAGCACGGCCACAAACCTAGAACTCACCATCATGGCTTCAGCTTCCTCTCTCTCTCTCTCTCTCCCCCTGCCGCGGCTCACAGATCGCCCATCCACCGATCTGGGGCGATTTTCGCGGCGTCTCTGACGGAAACCCCCGGCTCGATCGCTCTTAGCGGCGCGGCGTGAAGAGGAGTGGGAGGCTAAGATTCGTGGGGGGTGGAGCTCGGTGGGGAGGAAGAGGAACCGAGAGTGGCAGCCGCGGCGGCGGCGGCGGTGGTGGAGGGGGAGCTCGCGTGAGGAAAGGGGGGGGGGGGGGTGTGATGTGAGGCTTCGGGATTACGGCCGCGGCATTAAGTGGGAGAGGCCACCAGCAACGGCAACGGCGACCTACTCCGCCCTACTGCTCGTGCTCGCTCGCTTACCGCGTCGTGCTGGAGCCGTCTCGCTACCGCGTGCCCACTGGCCGGTGGGTCTGGGGACGCCACGGGCCCACGTGAGCAGTGGCTCGGGGGGTTTGCTACCGCGGTGACGGTGGTGGGTGTGGACTGTGGACGACAGCTCGCACCGCGCGGTGTGTGCAACTAGCAGTGGTGTGCGCTCGGCTGCGGGTTTTCCTCCAGCTTGGAATTTTTGTAAAGCTTTTCCTCGGCGGCGCGGTCGCGTACATGTGCGAGGGCTATTGAGGGCTATTGGGGGTGGGGGCCTCGTGTCAGTGAGTGTTGCCCAGCCGCGCACGGCGTACCTAGGACAAAGCGTTATTCAATGCGGGCTGGTAACGTGGACAGTTCCGTTTATTATTGCGTGGACAGTGGTGTCAAGCGCGATAGTCTGTGACAGGTGGGGCCAATATCCCGGGCCCACGAGTCAGTGGGCGTGGCGTTAGCTGCCGAATGCAAAGCTGTGAGCCAGCCGAATCTAGCCAACCAGCGAGGAGATGGGCTCCACCAGCTCCGCTAAAATGTTCCGGGATGGGCGTAATCAGGGCCGTCCAAAGCGGCCGATCGACGCGGAGGGGAAGGTAGTGGCCGCCGCGTGGGTCCGACTAACATGCATTGGGAACGTTAGGAAGCGTGACACGCACCGTCACTACCTTCCCGTCTCTCGTATCCGAGTTGGGTCGCTTTTGACATCCGTGGAACTCCTAGCCCAAAGGGACGAAAATGACAGATGAGCGATAGGATTAGGAGCACAACTACACATGATCTCTACCAGTACCCTCCGATCCATTACTGTTAGCTACACAGAAGAAATTCTTCTCTGCTTTTGTAGTGTTGCCAAACTGTACAGGATGTAGTTGCGAGCAGAACGGGAACCAAATTTATCAAAATCACGTCCTTGTCATACAGTAGTACCAATAAATCCAATGCTGACAACTCAGTGTCCCCTAGCTCTAGAATTATAATAGGCCTGAAAATGGGCAACTGTTATGTCCTAAGATTGATAATTTAACATATTCACTCCCACTTCACCTGGGAGCTACAAATCATCAGTTACATGGATGACAAAATTTTCGTAGCAGCATGGTGGAGCAAAACTGGTTAGCTACATAAAAAAGACGCTACTAGTTGAATCCGGCCCAGATTATACCAAGTTGTTCTGCATCTCCAGCTTGATATGCCGAGGCATCAGACCTCGTCTGCTGTCAATCCGAGCCTCTTTTTTCTGGAGGCGGCAACTTGAGCTAGTTTGAAGCAACCATATGCTCTGGATGATGTGCCTCAGGAGATTTCTGGGACTCATTATGCCTGCAGGTCTCTTACTATTTTCAGTTATCTGCGGGCTCGCTTCTTTTGCTTATCTTCCTCTCGGTACCTCACACGCCTCTCCTCTCTCTGCCGCTTCTTCGTTAGAAGTTCAGACTTTGCTTTCTCCGCCTCATATGCTTTCTTCTTCTTCTCATCCTGCAATTTCTTCTTCCTTGCCTGGAAAAATCGGGCAAATAATGAGCACACATTATATCAGCGATTGACATCAGAACAAGCTGCTGTAGCATGACCAATACCTTCTCATGTTTTAGCAGCCTTAACTGTTGAATGGCTGCATGTGTCTTCTTCTCACTGGGCTGCATAAGGACAGGGACCCTGTTCTCCACTGGTGTTTTTCTATGCTTGGGCGTATCCTTCGGTTTAGATTTAAAAGGAAGTAGATGCTGCAGTTTTGCAGGGATCTCTATAGGATTAAACTTCCGCACTTTCCGCTCAATGGGCTGCCATTTGGAGATAACATGATATGAGCATGATATTAAGAAAAATAAACACAAAAGATTTCGACGCTCAGAGAACCTTATAAACTGAATCTGTGTTGTGCGGTATAGGAATATTATGTGCCCTCCGCAGCTCAGCAGTAGTTCTCATGCCTTGCCAAGTCTCATCTTGGGGTTGAAGAGCAGTTGTCACAAGGTTACAGTAGGTGGGAACTTCAACATTGACCCATGCACGCATGAAGACAATGTCACTCATAAGAATTCTGTCTTCAAATGTGCACCTTGCAATCCCGTCTATACTTTCCCCTTTTCTCCTTGGCATATCTCCTGGTTCAATCTTTGCTGCCTGTAATAAAAGGAAGATTTGTTTTAATGCGCACACTTGAATTACCCAAAATTTATCGATACATACGCTTCAGAGTTTATGATCCATATCGAGCTTTCGTTTTCCTTGACCTAACACCCAAAATAATTACTTGAGCACACATTGACTAAATAAAATCCATTCTGCTAACATGCATATACTGCAAAGAGGGGGGGGTGCTTTCATGGCAAAATGGCAACTGTATATTTTATTATTATCAATAATCTGTTTACAGATTCAAATCAATTATCAACTCATAGCTCTCATGGAGTCCTTTTGTTACTTATTTTCAGAATTATACCGTACATATTGTACTCAAGGTGTGTTTAGTTCGCGGAAAGAAAATTTTTGGGTATCACATCGGACGTTTGACCGGATGTCGAAAGGGGCTTTCGGACACGAATGAAAAAACTAATTTCATAATTCGCCTAGAAACTGCGAGACGAATTTATTAAGCCTAATTAATCCGTCATTAGCACATATGGATTACTGTAGCACTTATGGCTAATCATGGACTAATTAGGCTCAAAAGATTTGTCTCGCGATTTCCATGCAAACTGTGCAATTAGTTTTTTTATCTATATTTAATGCTCCATGTATGTGTCCAAAGATTCGATGTGATGTTTTTGGGCAAAATTTTTTGGGAACTAAACAAGGCCTCAATAGAAGGCCAAAGAAGTGAACCTGAGAAATAATACTTAATTTCATATGGTTGGGACTTATTGTTGATGTACAAGCATTGATTCATTGTTGGCATGCATTGTTAAAGAAAAAGAGCATAGGATCTCATGTATTACCTTTTTAACTTGCCCTCGGATTCCACTTACTGTCCGAATAGTTGCACCCTCAAACCTAGCAACCTCTAAGTCAGATGTGAACATGCCTTTGACTAGGGCAGTTTTCTTAAATATCTTGCACGGTACACCTGTGAGCTTGATTTTCTTCATGATTCGGGCAGTATTGTTGAATTCTTGAACAAAGCCTGTTGCAGTAATTCTAAATGGTACCTGATGTGCAAGGATTGGGAAAGAGAATGTCAGCGCAAACACTTTAATAGAGTAAATGTGAATGCTACAAGGTAAATGGAAGAATAAGGTTAATATCCATTCTAGGGAGGTTCTGCATCTAGATGAATCTAAGCAAGTCCTAAAAGATGCTAGTCTGACAGCGCCATCAATTATGATGTTTGCTCAGAAGCAGCAGCACTGAAAATATATGGACAAATGAATATAAATTATTGAACCCACCTGACTGTTGGAGAGATGCTGGACTGCCAGTACACCACTTTTTGGTGGAGCAAGCGGTCCCCAAAACATAGCAAAGCAATGCATATGCTCAGGTGTATATTTGAGCATGCGGTGCCGACCATTTCGATCCTCTATTGCATATACAGGAGTTGTTTGGAAACGCCTCCAACCAATAGAGACAATAATTGGGTCTTTTGTCTTCAGTACTTTCCTGTGCCACCTGTGTCGTTTCAGGCTAGCCTGTATGAAGTGTGAAAAAAGGTAAATGCAATCCACTGGCAACATAATATCCACTTGAATTATCATAACGTTCAAAGAAACACTGTTATACTTGGTATATTTTATCAATATGTTACACATAAACTGTTTTATTCTGGGTCCACCAAATAAGTGGTCTAGAGATTGTTTTTTAAATTTTCCTTCCAATTCACATGGGAATATCTAGCTTAGAAGCAACAAGGTACTCCCTCCGGTTTCATTTTAATTGACGTTTCGGACAATGACACGGTCTACAAGATATATCTTTGACCTTATTTTTCTACTATAATATATATAATAAATAAATGCATGTTTACTTTTATTATAGTGCTTTAAAAGAAAAATCTATATATGTCGTTCTAGTTCTTTTAAACTAAATATTTTTAAAGTTTGATGGTCAAAGTTAAAAAAGTTTGACCTTAACCTTGTCCAAAACGTCAATTAATATGGAACCGGAGGGAGTGCCCAAGAACATTATTTCATAGTTAAATTACATATTGACAGCTAGAAGTAAGGATGTACTCCTATATGATGCATCATTTTAAAATCCCAGAATGTCATAACCACTTAAACTATCAAGCAAAAATTGTCTGATCTAACACTGAATGGCGATGCATGTATGTTGCACTGCTGCATCCATTATTTCCTACAATTACTGAACACTGAACTTTTTCATACAGCAAATAGGAGAGGAAAATTAAAATAGCTGACCTGCATATATCCAGTATTCTCCTCACCAAGGCCAATGCCTCCAACGAGAATGGGATGGCAAGGATCAAAATATTCAACTAGCTCAAACGGCACACCATGTACCTCTAATCTGATGTAAGAACCAGTCCTAAACCCTTCAATTTCTACCCTGGTATCTTCATCTAAATCATTGAGTTCGGAAATATTCATTTGCTTGCGAATTTCAATTTCCTCCTTTAACTGAAAAGGTACAAAATGTGATGGTTCAATAACCAGGTAATACAAGAGTTCCAACAAAACAAAAGCAAAAGATTCTATGACATACCTTATCGAAATAGCCCCCTCCATTAGTTTCTTCTCGTTTCGATTTCTTTGTGTCATTATCAACTTCCTCACCGGAGAGATCAGATCCATCATATGTAGGTTTAAGTTAAGGAATCAGAAAGTAAGTGCACGCAGTGAAGTACGCTCAAAAAAGCAAATGAGAACTTAGACTAGATAACCTGGAAAAGAAAACAGGCCACGGAGACAAAAAAAACCAAGTCTAAGGGGCAGCAAAAGAAGAATTAAACATGCAGTGCAGAGTGGACCATAAAAGCAATTCCCCTTTTAAATGATAGCAAATTATTTGACAACAAACAAAAGAAAAAAAACATTCAAAAATGTAAGAAAGGATATTCTGCATCAAATTTTGCCTTAAGTGCGAGCTTCTTGAGTCTTCTTTCTTCCATAGCAAGGTCATCTTGCTTGTGAGTACCTCCATTTCCTGAAGTATTTTCATATGCCTTGCTTGTATGCACCTCACCAGTCTCCAGATCTTCAAAATCTCCATCGACTTCTTCGTCATCCACATCGTTTTCATTTATTTCCTGTCCTCTTAGAGCTGCTTTTGACCAATTTCCAGTCACGAAACGGTCACGAATGCTCTTGATGAGATCTTCGTCAGACCAATCTCTTAGCTCAGTTTTAAAAAACTTGGAGTAATCCTCAGCATCCATATCATCAAAGCTTGTTGATTCATTCTTTGCTTGCTGTAAGGATAGAAAGCAGTCCTTTATTATTTCAGATAAAAAAAACTAGGAGGGCTCTGTGGTCTTATTAACTACCAAGCAGTCTACCCACCTTTGTAAAAAAAAGTTAAAAGGCAGATTATTACTTCCTTCGTTTCATATTATAAGACTTTCTAGCATTGCCCACATTCATATATATGTTAATGAATCTAGACATATATATGTGCCTAGATTCATTAACATCTATGTGAATGTGGGCAACGCTAGAAAGTCTTATAACCTGAAATGGAGGTAGTACAAGAAAGAACAAAGATGATCTGAAACCTAACAATGCACCTAGCTAATTTCAGTTCCTTTGACCATAGATAAGGGAATATACAATGTTAGCCTATACAGCAAAGGAAGGGTAAAATCATATCCTGTCCTGTATGTATCTTAACTATAAATGCCATGAGTAGTGTGTATTGCAGTCAAAGTGCAGGATAACTTCTCCTTCAATTCTGTATTAGCACATCATTACCTTCTTTTGTCCTTTTGGTACAAAAAATTCTTCATCTGAACTCTCTTCTGCACTACTGTCATTTCCTTCATCCAGCTTCTTTGAAGCTTGGCCATATACAAGTTGCATTAGATTGGCACTCCGTCTGGACAGTGTTCTAGCAAGCAAGGACTCTTTCCACTTTGAATTGTTCTCAGTTTCATCATCTAGAATACCAAAAGAAAAGAGTTTTAGATTTGAAAAACACAAATGCTCTTCAGTTGCAGAGCTAACTACTTCAGCAAATAAAATAGCAACATGATTTTATGTGCAGGTCGAGTGGATCACAGGTGATGGGTACAGATATAGGTGGTGCCTATGGGATCCCATGTATATGCTAAATTAACAGTAGCAAGACTCTATTTGCTCCCCATCAACGAAAAGATGTTACACCAAGTGAGTAAGTGCGTGCGTGTGTGCAAAGTAGTACCTGAATCAAGTGATTCTTCACTGTCATCTGCGGAACCTTCAGATAACTGGTCATCACCAGAATTTTCACTGTCAACGTCATCTTCTTCCGCACCCTACAAGGTAGACCAAGGTTGAAATACCTTTAAAAGCTTGAAATTGAAAATCTGTAGACATGTAAAAGAATTAAAAGCAAAGTACCACATCATGGTTCATGGTTCATCGCAATGAGGTAATTTGGAAGTATACCAGGCGAATAGAAGCTGTGCTAGAAGTCAAGGGTTACAATAAAACGTGTTCTTCTAACTATTCCAAATATGTATCTGTAAGTAATATTAGTGAGTTGTACTAGAAATCAAAGTACACATTGCAAATATTTATGTTAATACGGTGCTAAAACAAACTAGATATTGTAAGTAAATATTTAGTGTTAAATATTAACGTAAATATTTAACATTAATATTTATGTATGATAAGTATTCAAAAAATATCATTGTTCTACACTTCAAATGATGTTGAGACATGAACTACAACTGGTGACTTAGGAATGGCCAATAGCTGTGCTAACATAATGTTATTCAGCTGCATAGTGTTTTATGTCAAATTTCTTGGTCTGGAGTAGTGATGCAAAGCCATGTGTTTCCTGGATGGATTACATCGGGCAAAACAAAACTAAACAGGGAACTTAAGAGTAAGAGAGCAAGAAAAAAAAAAGAATGTGAGAGCAAGAGAACTATTAATTAATAAGAACAAAGGAAAATGGTAAAAACCTCATCATCGTCATCATCTTTAAAATTAGCTGATACAGCTTTTCTCCTCATCCTTCCATTGCAAAATTCCACCTCTTCTCTCAAGCCAACTTCATGGTCATTTTGCTGAGTTGCTTCATCATTATCATGTTCACTATCGCTGGAGCACTCAGAATAAGAATGATCATTGCTCTCCAATGTGTTTGCGTTGCATATGTTATTACCATCTGCTTCTTCCAAAATATTAGCATCTCCCTGATCATTCTGGTTGCCAGAGATGTCTTCGGACTGAGCAGCAGGCTTTCTACCAAATAAATTTATAAAACTCTGATCCAACTTTTCATTAAGGGAATATCTGGGGTTCTGAAGTGTTTTTACTAGGGTTACACCAACATCCTGTCCTTTCCCTGTATGATGATAAGTCAGTAATCTAGCAAACAACAAAGGATGGCCATACATAAAGAAGACAAAAAAAAAGCTAGAGCAGGATTCTAGCCAACAAAACTAAAATTACTTCCATTCAAGCACAAGCGTGCATCTATTGTAGGAAGTTCTTCTATGATAGATCTGATACATATTCCTACTTGTGTTTTGATGGCAAGCTAAAATTGCATGATAAATGTGAATATATGAAACCGGACAGATACTATAAAGGTAAATAGACAAATAATCTGTTAAAGATCTAACTCTTAGATTTTCTTTTATTTGCTAAAATCTCTTCCAGGCACAAGGAACAGGTGTAACAGTAACAGTGTGTGCCTTGCTTTGCAATCCAAGCTCAGAAAACACTGAAAAACTTTCAACGCCAAAACATTCTTTCAGGTTGCACACCACTCTACCAAAGAAATAAATAGACAAGAAAACATAAGTAAAGTGAGTTTTCAACTTGATGGGTCTTGTCTATTAAAGTATGTTTGTGCATTGCACAGTCCTCAGGACCTTATCGTCCTAAACAACATACTTCAAGAAACTTCAAATGCAAAGAGGATGAAGGAATGAGGTGCCTAGTATCATTATGAATGGTTTATACTTTAAACATACCTTGCTTTTTAGATGCATCATTCTCACCAGTCTTTGAGAACTGAACAAGATGAGGATTGATGTTTATATAAACTGCATCTGTGTCATACAGTAGATCACCAAGGCCAGACATTGGCGCGTAGAACAGCTTTTCCTTGTCACGTAGTCCTCTCTTCTTTGCAGCTGATGGCAATGGGCAAGGATCTGCCAAACTTGTTACCCCAGACAAGCTAAAATCACCTGCCCCTGTGATATGTACCTGCACAGATAATTGTGTGTTTTACTATCCAAAAGTTTAGGGCACTATAGTCAGACATGAAAGAACTTAGAATTTCTCCTCACAGAAAGGAAAAGTAATTAGCTTCAGTTTTGCCAACCAGACTGAAGCATAATTAATGTAGATAGTGCCACACATTCTGTTAGCTAATTTTTCAAAATTAAAAAATTTTTGAAGATTCATCAGGTTCATTGGCAGTAAATTCATGCTTCCTGTAAAATAAGATGTCATTATCTTCACCCTCAATTTTGTCATATTTACTAAGGCTGTTCAAATAAGATCAACTAGGGACCCAAAATCATGTACTAACATTAAGTAAAGTAACAAGTTAAATAACATCTATCTGCTACAAAGTAGAATCTGGGTTAGTTTAACATTAAGTTCCAGAGATGATGAAGAACACCTTTGTCCCTCTTTTCATGTTACAGCCACGAAGGTAGCCATACAATGTTATTTTCCTGTCACACTTTCTGTTCAAGCGCACACTTTCTGGAGGAGTTACATCTTCAAATCTATCGACTAGCAGATAAGGATGTGCCATCCTCCAACTCAGTGGGATAGGCTTGATAACAGAGATGAACCTTGCAAGATTATGGACTTCTCTTTTCGTGTACCTGCATGAGACAAAAAATGAAACTTCTACACTAAATGACCAAATAGTAGAAATGAAAAGAACATAAAAACAAGCATTCTCACTTATAACTGCAGCATGAAGAAAGATAATGTATAGTAACTCCCTGCTAATATGGTGAGCTTAAATCAGCATAGATTTGTTTACTGATAAGTATCGATTGATAGTTCAGCTATAACCACTCCTCCGTCCATGATATAAGGGATTCTAGGTTATTTTGGAGAGATTTTAAGGATGAAGGGAAAAGACTGTGATGCTCTTTATTAAATGAGAGGTGGTTGGAAGTAAGATTGGGTGAAAATTACATGAGGGATGGTTGAATGGGCAAGTAGTACTCTACAATCCATTATATTTGTGTACAAAACTTGAACCTCAAAATCCCTTATATTTGTGGACAGAGGGAGAACAAACAAAGAGTCTGAAGGAAGAAATACCAGCTTTATGCCAACTTACTTTCCATGAATGAGACCAGACAAGTAGAAAAGTTTTGCTCCCTCCTTTATCTCAGCCCAAAATCGATGCTTCAGGCGCTGCTTGGTTTTCCTAAGCTTTTTTACATCTTTAAACTTATCAAGATGTGTAAGGACTCCCATCACCTTGGGGAATCCGTGCACTTGCATAATATTTAGGAACTCAAATGTATCCTGGAAACAAGCAGTTATTTAGGTGCCAGTAGTACAATAAAGCATAAATGGAATTAATCACGCGGATAGAAAGCAGTGAATAGATCAGCATAATAAATACAGTATGTCAGCTCCATCACTAGTAGGAGTGGTAGGCAGTAATGGACAGCACTTTAATTGCTAGTAATGGAACTTTAGTTAAATGTATAAGATGAAACTTTTATCGGGGATGTGCTCCTAAGGGCGAAAAAACATATTTCAGACTACATCCTAAGCTAGAAATATTTGTGAAAATATAGGCTTCAACAGCACACCATTTCAAATCCATAGCTTCCATCAATAAGCAGCAGAGCAAGATCAGCTATTTTAGCAGCATCAATCATTCCGTTGATATCATTTGGACACTCCAAGAACTGTACGCGCCTGCTTTTACCTGCACATGATGAAAAAATTGCATACATTAGTTTCATATCTTCACAATAATTCAATTGTTCAGAAGAACAATATAGATTGTCCTCAAGTACAAGGTTCAGAGGGTTCATTAACCTGACACAACAGTGATTGGACCACGGACTTCAGACAAATTTTGTTTCGTGTAGTGCTTTACTAGACATTTTATCAGCAGCGACTTCCCAACCTGATAAATAATGTAATGATCAGAAAACAATCCACATACATCATCTTCTCCAGGTGGCAGAGCATACCTGAGGAGGCCCTTGAACTACAACAACAAAAGGTGGTGGTTCACCAATTGAGCGATCCATAATTGGCACATGAAGACGACGTTGTTCAATCTCAGCCGATCGTGCTTGTAGACGCTTGGCCTTTGCAGCTGACTGAAAGGCAAAAGCCTGGGACAAGGAATGGTAACCTATTAAAATAAATACTCCAAAACTAGAGAAGGAAAAGGTTAAACAGATAGACAAACCATTCTTGAGTTGTTGAGTTCGTTTGCACAGTGTAAAGAACCATTTAGTTACAGAGATCTAACCGTGTCCTTTTTAAGGAGGATATTTACCATTTTTCTTTAAAAAGCATGGATCATAGCCAGTGACCACATGACCTCCAACCAAACTCATAAAATTCCATATATAGACGGCAGAAAATATCACCAAAGCATAAATAAATAAATGCATCTATTGCAATAGCTTGCTAATAATACGAGCACGGGCACTCAATGCTATCTAAATTCTACATTTTAAGCTAATTGCACTGGACTATAACACTGTATTAATACAGAGCAACGCTGTTAGCACAGATTTAAACACAGTTTACAATATCCAATCTGTATGGCTTGCATCAGATGCTCAAATTAATATTGTTCCAATTTCTCCAATAGAAAACCGAGAAAATGAGACTTCATCGTGATAAGCAAGATGTATATCTTCTGGAACAAGTTGGAACCGCGCAGTATATCCGCATGAACGAAAAACAGGATCGCCACGAGCTACATTTAATCGCCACCTAAACGAACCAACTCCTACAGCTACCACCCGGATAGCACACTCGCCAGAGCGTCAAAATCCTAATCCATGGAAGCTCACAGCCTCACGCCCCCCACCAGACAGAACCCAACATGAAGCCCGTTCACTTGTCCGTGCGCCCGTGCGTGCGTACCTTCGGGTTCTTCCTCTCGCCACCGTCATCGTCGCCGCCGCCGCCCTTCCCCTTCCCCTTCTTCTTCCTCGCCTTCGCGCCGGACTTGTGCTGCCGGTGCGCCTTGTGCGGCTGCTCTCCCCCGCCGTCCGCGGGGGCCATGGAGCGCTAGGGTTAGCGGCGGAGGGCGTTTGCGCGCGGCGCCGCTGCGGCGAAGAGAGCGGCGGTGGAGAAAGCTAGTGGGGAGGAGGAAGCCTGGAGGGGGAAGAGGCCGAGGGTTTTGGGGAGAGGGAGAGAGAGGCGCCGCGTGTGATGGGCCGAGCGGGGTAAGCGCTACTATGGGCTGGGCCAAGAAGGCCCAGGCCCATTTTCACGTCACGAGATTCGGACATGCCACGTGTAGCGCGCAGGGGTCGCACCGGCCACCGCGCCGGGAAGGGGAAGGCGTGCCGCGTGCGCGGCGCGTGGCCGCCTGCGACAAAGCCACCGGCAGTTACGCCTCCGCGCTCCTCCTTCCCAAGAGACGCAGATCTCCACCCCGCGCTCGCCTCGCTTCCCCCAAAAAGTCTTCTCGTGAGAGCTTTCCCCCCCCTCCTCCACCCAACAAATCCCCAGCCTCCCAGATTCGTGGCGGAGGCTGCGGCCTGCGGCTGTTCTAGGGTTAGCTCTCGCTCCGCCGGCATTTCTCGGTATTTTTTCTAACTAGTCTTGTTTAGGGCAGCGCCCCTCCGTAAATTTTTATAGCGGTTGAGTTTTCTGGGTAGATGCTTTGTTGATATAGAATGGACATGGTTCCGGTTGTCTGTAGCGCGTGGATTCCCAGCTAGAATTTCTGGCCTTATGTTGGCGTCAGTTCAATAAAATGGAATGTTTACTTTAATGTGCTTATCGTAGAGATATCAGATATGTTTTAGTTGCAAATGATTTTTTTTATTTATGATTTTGGGAGCTAAAACTGGTGCACAAACTTTTTTTTTGTCAGTAATAGATTGGCTATCCGTCTCTAGAACATGACATTTACCTGATGAAACAGCTAATCTGTTAAATGTGGTTGTAAGTTGATATCTTTTGTTGTATTAGTAGGTAGATAAAGTATTGTAAGGGCTTGGGTTTGCAACCGGAGATGGATGCTAAAAAGAAGAGGAACAAGAAGAAGAAGGGGAACCAAGGGAAGAACACTGGTGATGTAACGTCCAGCACTGCAGAGGCTGCCATTCGGTCCCACAATCATGAGACAGCCCCTAATGACCATCATAATGGCACTGATGCTGATGATGCAATGTCCACTGTTGGAGAGGAAGCTCCTCAGTACCAGAATCATGAGCCAGATCGACAGGCAAATCATGATAGCACAAACACTGATGATGTCATGTCCTCTGTTGGAGAGGGGATTCCATTTCAGAACCTTGACCCTGCCATGACACATGAAAATCACAAAGTCAGTAGTACAGCCCATGCTGATCAGAGGAGTGTTGAGATGTCAGATTCCACCGTGGAGCTTGACATGCACAGACTATATGAAGCAAAGCTTGTAAGTATCTGTAAATTATTAGATTATAAATTTACCGTATTCTTATGCAAAGTTCGTAGCTTACAAAGCTTAGTGGAAGCAGCTTTTCCTACCACTTGAATTGACAGTGTATTTTTTGCATTAGATTCTTTACCGTGCAACAATACATTAGTAGGTTTGACATTAATGCTAAAAGTTGGCAATGTGAATTTTCTTTTGGGAATGCAAAAAAAAGGGTGCTCTGATATCACTTGGGCATGCTTCCATGTTGTTGGATTAGTTTCACGTGCAGCCATAATCACCCATACAGTGAGCAAAGACCATATAGGTGTCATTTTTTCTCCCCCTTGCCCATATTTTTCTCATCATTCCCACCTCTTGTATTCTTAGTCTCCTCCCTGCATTTGTCCGGTTGCATTGCAACCACTTCACTGTTCTTCCTATCACCCATTCTTAGCCACCTACCATGTGCCAATAGTTGAGCTCGTCACTGCCTTACCTGCTGTCATGTTTCTCAATTATGTCATCTTTTAACCTCAGATATTGCCAATGCAGGATAAATTACATGATACGATAAAGAAGTTGGAAGATGAGAAGAGTTTGTGGCATCAAAAAATGGTTTGTATCTGGCTATCGGCACTTGTGGTTGACATACATAGCACTCATTTGTATTTATAGTATATACCATTGCTGTTGGCCAATTGGTCTGAAACATATTTTTGGTACCTTAGTACAATAAAATAACATGTATAGAATTTAAATATCTCCATACCAACCTACTTTCACTTTTTTTCCTAACTACGAGGCATGTCTTGACACCACAAATTTTTATTTGATAATAATTCATGGTCCAACACTCAGTCTTCATGTGCTGATAAACAGAAACGAGAAGATATGTGTGAAACAATGTTAGATTAACTTCTCCGAGTTCTAACAGTTTTATCCTGTGATTTGTGCTTTGCCGAATGAAGCATTTTTGTTTCATCTATTCATTTCCTCAATCAGGCATCTCCATTTGTTGATAATGACATTTGCTGTTTTGCATGTTAAAGACTTAAGTTACAAATTATAATACATGTTTGGTACATTATTTTGTGTCCATATGTTTATATCTTTGGATCAAATGGTTTGTTGCAAAATGTGAACAAATGCTATTTTGGCCATCATAGAAATGTCATGTAAGAAATATTTTCTCATTCTTTTTCCTGCAGAGCTCCATGGAGATTGAGGTTGAAAAGTTGCATAACAAAGTGGATTATCATGCACAGAATGAGGTATGTTTATGCCCTGGAATCCTGGATGCAACCACATGCAATTCATTCAACCAATATAGCTAGAAAAACTACCTTACTCTTCATACCCAAGATTTTCTGCCATGTCACAAAGTGAATGGACAGGTGATATGAATTAAAAATCTAGCTAAAATGTTGTCTTGTGATCCAATCTCTAGGTCCGTTTGGAGGAAAAGCTCAATAATTTACAGAATGGGTATGATGTGCTGATTAAGAAGGAGGTATATATTTATTTATTCTAATGATTTCTTTGCTCGTGTGGGTAGACATACCAGTCCTGCCTATATGCAGGAGTTCTGAATTTTGCAGATTAATTTTAGTTCCAATTTGTGTTTTTATGCCTCTATGAACAACAAATTATGTCGTCTTCACTATGATACTTCACAGCTAAGTCTCACCAAGTATGTCTGGCATTTCATTCATGGCCACAGTTGTGTCCTGTCACACTTCCAAACTTGCCACAAGGGTGGGTAACTAATAATTGTGAAAAAAAGATGTGGCTTCCACACTTCTTTTGCCAAAGTGTGGTCAGAAACAAACATTTCTGATAGTAAGCACCTCTTTCATTTCACTTGATACTATAGAACCCAAAGTGTCTGTATTTTTCTTTTTGTTGTTACATTAACTTCCCCCTGATATTTGAAGTGTCTTAGCCCCTCATGTGGGAACTGGAAGTACGTCAGGCTTAAATCTTGTTATAACTGTTAAACACCGCTGTGCTCCTTTTGTTGTTATCTATTCGTGGCTTCATCCTGTAAATTTTGTTCTCTGACTTCATTCAGGTAGCTTTGGATAACAAAGTCAGGTCCATAGAGGTCATCAATGATGCCTTAACTCATCAGGAGGTAATGCATGAATCACTTGTTCTGTTACAATTTTTATTTAGTATTTGCAGCAAATGCATCCAAAGCCCTTCCTATCTGTTTTTGGCTGACATGTTGCTCCTTTTCTTCAGACGTCTCTTAAAGAGAGATTAAGTGGACTGGAGGAGACAAATAAAGTACTGCTTGTACAGGTATGAACTACAAATCCAACTATTTGTGTTTTTTTTTCTTTGTAGTTAATGTTTGATATCCCGTTAAGATTCAAGCAAGCAAATGATTAGTTAAATACTAAGATTGATAGGTTGTTGTGTATTATGTAATCTGCAACATGTGGCCAAATATTTGTCCTCTCCAGAAAGGTGTTCAATCATATGTAAAGTTAAAAGTCATGATTTATTCGTGACGATTTTGAATATGTCGGATTTAAAGCTTTGGTGCTTTGGTTTTCATTTGCAGCATTAGACATAGTTCTGCTTATATCATCTGATATTACTATTTAATAACAAAGTCTGGCAGGTGAAGGTGCTGGAGGAAGCTTCAAACAATACTGTTGAGGAAAGCCAGAGGTTGGTAAAAGGTTTTGATGAACTGGCATCAAGATTAGGAGTCTTTGAAGCAAAGTCTGCTCTTACTGAAGCCTCCGTGACTAAAAAGGTAAATGTTATGCAGAACATTCCTTTTTGTCACCTGTGTCCAATTTGGTAGACGCTATACACTCCAGTGGATCTGCCTGGGGAGAAATACCACTTGATATCAGTAGTCTCTTCTCTCTTGTGCATAAAACACTTGTCCTTCCAGATTCTAGTGCATAAGATAGAGACATGATAATTGAGGTCTTTGAAAATAATGTGATGGATTAAACGGATTTGACCAGCACAGTTCTCAATGAGCAGACTGTTGGTTTTGGTAAGAAGTACGAGTCTCCGCATGCAGTGTGACAGAATATCAAATGTCTGGAAACCGCCAGAATTCATATATACTTGTATACAGCGTAATTGTTTTCTGCTTGCAGGGTAATGAACTGATTGTTGATAGAAGTGTAAACAGTTCTGCAGCAATTACTTCTGTGGATAACTATAGTCCAATCAACAGCAGTCCTAGCAACGCCTATGTTAGTAATCATCTAGAAGAAGCTCCAATGCAACTTCCAGAAACAACAATCAATGATGTTTCTTCCGAGGGCCTCATTGACATGAATGCACATCAAAGGTCAAAGCAAGATTTTGATGAACCAAGAACAAGCGAAGAAATTCTGCCAGTTGCATTAGATGATATACAGATTCATGAGGAAGACCCACAACCACCGGTAGCCGATGATGAGGCAGAGGAGGTTCCATTTTCTGATGCTCCAATCGTCGGTGCTCCATTCCGGTTGATTTCATTCGTTGCTAGGTATGTCAGTGGTGCTGATTTGGTGAACCAGAAGTAATTCTCCATTAATGCCATCAAGCAGCTTGAGATCTGTATTTCTTGGAAAGAGGAGTCTTCCTGTTTTGATTCTGCTCACACAGTTATCTCGCTAAGATTGTGAGGATGTATACGATGGATGCACTGAATTCAACAGAGATATGGAACCTCTGTTCAGTTCTTGGTAGTGTGCTCGTGTCACTACCAGTTTTTCTTCCTCCCCTGTCAATTTTTCAGGGGCAGCAGAAGCTCTTGTTCCCCAGTTATAGTGTTATACACACAAGAGGCCTTCCTGACCATGTGGGGTGTACTGACCATATTTATTCTACAGAAACTGAAAATTTTTGGTATTCCAACAGATGTTTAATGCACTGAACAATGACCATGCATCTTGAAGAAAGTTGACCATTTGGATTTGATGTATTGCATTGATTGGATGGTTGCTATACAATGTTGTTTTGTCAAATTGGAACCTTTTGGTGTCCCCGATTTAATGTTTGCCCCTGGTATTGCTGATCTCTGCGGTGCCGCATTGTTGCTCCATTTGTTTGTCCTAGTGTTGGACCTATGGATGTCAACTGTTACTTGGCTTTCTCGTTTGCAATTTTTCATAGCGAAGACAGACAACCGCAAAACCATGAACAGAAAGGAACTAAACTGCCAATCACGTTGTCTCCTCTACCTTGATTTTTCTTTCCCCATAGAAAAAGACTCCCTAGTGACAATTTCTAATGAACGCAAGTTACCAACACCGGAGCACAGCATGTAAATACAGGTCAAGAAGCCAGCAAATCAACTTGCGCATCATGCAATGCTTCTACATAGTGCCAGTGCTGAAAGCTTCTGGCTACATTGAAGAGGCCATCACGACCAGCCTTAATTCTAAATGAATTGCTGCAACCTGCAAACATACAAACCAGTAAACCACACAGCAGCTCGTCAGGCATTACGCCGAAGGAGGATTGGATTCCCTGGCATTTTCGTTGGAGGAATCGCGGCTCTCTGAAGCAGACTGCCGGAGCTCCTCGATCATCCTGATCACCTCCGCCATCGTCGGGCGCCGTTCAGGGGATCGCGACGTGCACGCCATTGCGAGCTGAAGCATCTGCACCAGCTCGTCTTCTATGTTCAGGTACTTCATCAGCTCAACGTCGAACACCTCAGCGGTCCACTCCTCCCGGACCACGGAATGCACCCACCTTGGTAGATCCACGACATCGTCCTGTCCTTGCGACTGAAGGGGTGCTTTTCCAGTCAGCATCTCCATGAGGAGAACACCGAAGCTGTAAACATCGGACTTGTGAGTGAATTTCCTGGATTCGAAGGTCTCTGGAGCACGGTAACCGACAACAACCCGGGATGTGCTGATGGGGAAGCTCATCAAGGCACTCAGCCCGTAGTCTGAGACGTAGGGGTTGTGGTCTTGGTCGAGGAGTACATTGGTTGCCTTGATATTGCCATGGGCGAGCTTGGAGCCGCCTTCTGCATGAATGTGTGCTATACCACGCGCTGTTCCAAGTATAATCTTCATCCTGGTATTCCAGTCTAACGGGGTCTTCTCGGCAATACCCTTAATACCTGTTAATCAGAAGTTTGTGAGAAAAATGAGAAATAACTTTTGGTTGCGTGCTTGCATTGCATTTTGTGCTTGTAAATTAGCTTTGATACATCATGGATTGTTAGATTTCTACCTGGAAAAATTGATCAATATCAGAAATCAAATGTAAAGCATTTAGTAGTGAAAGACATAAGCATACCGTGCAACATGGCTGAAAAGCTGCCGGTGGCAACATACTCATAGACGACAAGTTTCTCATCCTTTGAGTAGTAGTAAGCGCGAAGAGGCACAAGGTTTGCATGTTTGCCTACCCTCCCAATTTGCTCCATTTGCTGCTCAAATTCTTTCTTCCCTGCCACGACGTCCTTTAGCCTCTTAACGACCACTATGGTGCCATCCTCAAGTATAGCTTTGTAGGCAGTCCCATAGCTCCCCTTACCAAGGACTTCGGCAGAAGCTCTCAGTAAATCCTCCAAGTCAAAGTTATAACTACATCCATCCAAGAAAACCAATTTGTTCTTCTCGGCCATTTGGACACCGCTACTGACTTGCTCTTTGCGCTTCTCAATCCTTGCATTATCAGTGCCTTTACCATTGTTATCCAATCCATCATCTTTCTTCTCCTTCCTCTTAGAAAAGCACACGACAAATATCGCAGCAGCTAGCAGAAATACAGCAAAGCCCCCAACTGCAGCTGCAATTATAGAGCCAGTACCTACTTTCTTCCCACGATGTGGCAATGCTGATGGTGGTGGTAATGAAGATTCTGGTGAGGATGTTGGTGAAGGAAGAGAACATTCAGCTAGAGGTGGCCCGCACAATCCAGGGTTCCCCAAGAATGAACTGTTTGAGAATATTTGAAGGAAGGGAGGAATTGAGCCATTCAACTCATTGTTGCTCAGATTTAACTGTCTTAAGCTCGGAAGTTTGAGATCAGGGATAGGTCCAGAGAGAGAATTTTTTGACAAGTTCAGGGTAGATAATTGAGTAAGATTTTGCAAACTTGCAGGGATTTGTCCTGCAAAGGAATTGTAGGATAGGTCAATGGTATTAAGGGTTGGAGAGAAAAAAGAAGGCAAATCTCCTGACAGTTCATTATCCTGAAGAAATATGGACTGCAAAGAAGGAAGTGAGGTGATATCAGATGGGATACTTCCAATCAAACGATTAGATCTCAGGCTTAACACTTGGAGGGAGACAAGCCTGCCAAGGGTATTTGGAGGAATTGCACCAATCAGGCCAGCAGCTGGTACCCTAAGGGCAGATATGCGTGATCGGTCCGGCGAGCAAGTTACACCATGCCATGAGCACAAAGAAATGTTTACATCCCAATTGAGTTTGTTCCCACGGTAGACTGCAGAGGCAAAAGCAAGGAGCGCTTGCTTCTCAGAGGCGATGTCTGCCACGGCCAATGAGGTGAAAAGAAGTAACGACAGTAGAACCAAAGAACCTTCAAAAATTTTATAGCCCATAAGAGGTGTCTCTGAATCAACTGGACTAAATGAACAATATCAGCATCTGTTTATATCAGTAACTACCAGTCCTGCTGCAATGAAAATGGAAAACGTCAGTGCTAAAATCATGAAAAGTAACAGTAGAACTGTAAACATAACTCTAATTGTGTCTTTTAACTCATAAACCCTCAAGAGAATATAGCATACGAGCAATCACGACAGATGTGTGTGTGCTGAGTCCAGAAGGAAGCACATTCCATGATCTTCAAATGCAGCTATGCACTTATGCAGACAAGCATGCCTGTGTAGTGGAAGCATAAAGCTGGCAGTTTGCCCCACTAGAGGCTCATGCCAAGAAAAAGACCAAAGCACTTTCAAAAGAAAAAATGACCCATCAAAGCCTAATGATTTAAGAAAACTCTTGTCCAAATTAGTGCAGTCTGCTTTCTTTCATAAAAGAAGCTAAAGAATGCTAGTAAAGGTGTTATCCTGCCAAATAGGTCAGTGCGAATCATTACAAAACATGTAGGGAACCCTGCATGTTTTTCCTCTAGGAGGGCCTGGCAGCCAATCTCTTTACTGAGCCTTGTAACTCACCAAAGAGGTGATTCTGAGATTCTCTATCAGCACAAAGCAGTGTGTAAATCATGGGAATAAAACTACCAATATCTAATCACCACAAGGGACAAGAATTCTACTTCCAAAGAATGGCGCTAGTTTAATTTCAACTAAAATATGCGATTAAAAGTCACCGAAACAAAGCAACTAAAGGAGGGTTAATCTGAAATGATAGGGTCGACGTGTAAAAGACAAAAGGCATCAATAAAGCAGAGAAAGATGAGGCAAGAAGGAAAAATAGAAAAAAAAAACATAAATATTTCAATACTAGCCACATAGATGAGCATATCACATCGTGCACGCTGCACTACTTTCTTGAATGGAACACTAAAGTATGGCAGTATGCTTACCGAGAACTAAATTCAGTCTAGCACATCAACACTAGTTGCTAAGGGGTGTTCAGTTTGGTGCCCACGATTACCACACACAACTTTAGCACTGCTATGGTTTCTTAAGTAGTGTCAGACACTGCACGTTTAGGTCAGCCGTCAGCGTAAGTTTCTTCATAGGACAGCATGCTTAAGCTCGAAATTCAAGCAGTCAGAGACTAACTGCGGCCTTACACTTTTCCATTCTCTAAAAAATGATAATTGCAGCCTTACACAGCTACACACAGTTTTGAGTTAATCATTGATTGAAATCAATCCCATCCTCATTAGGGATAAAAATGTAGCAGCCTTACCACTGCACAAGGCTCTCAGGACCTCCATAGTGCAACAAGTAAGGCAATGGCCACTATAAAGAAAGGCTGCCTGATCAGAGAATACCACTAGACAAAGGTGAAAGGAAAAGCGAAGCAAAGAAAAGGCAAACCTGAACCACTCTAAACAAACTGAAATGTGAACTAGGGGAAGCTAGGGCGCACTGGCAAGGACGGAGATGCTTGCGGGGAGATGAGCCGGAGTGATTGCACATGCCGGTCTTTGCAGCATTGTTTACTGACTACAAGATCTTGGTTGGTGCCCAATTGTTTAATTCCCACTTAAAGCGACCACATTATTTAATTCCGGCGAACAATCGATTACTGGCAAGCCCTTCCAAAACCAATGTTAGGTCATGATTTTGCAAGAGCTCGCGGTTCACATCTTTCTATCCACCTAAAAGCTCATCAAAACCAGTGTCACCGTGCGTATGGCGCTATTCTACCCAAATGGAGTATAAAACCATGGCACTGGCAGTAGACTGGTGGTACCAATCTACCAATACTAGATCCACTATTTTCAGCAGAAACGAGAAATGTAGAAGCTAACAAAAAGATCAAACCTAACATATACAAGCCTAATGCTCTTCCTGTCCTTAGGGTTTAAGCAAAAAAGAAAAGTATTTTTTCCCCTGAGGGATTCTACTCTCTTCCGGTCTTCACTGCTTCCAAACAGTAGCGCGCTGGGAGTTCAGTTAGAAATAGGACCTACTAGACTGAAAGATCAACACAAAGGCATTACAGCGGCAATCTAAGAGCATCACACGAAGTTGTGCAGAAAGATTTGTGAGCTGTTACCATAATCGAGTTCAGTAACTGAAGCCTGAAGGTCTAAAATGCGCGAGGCAACGCCAAGAATGCCAAAATTTTCAGGATCTTCAAGTAACCGGGCGGAAACGAACTACACGCAGATATAATCAGGGCGCGGCTACTAACTAATCCGAACAAAGCGGAACGCAAGAACCTCGCGGAGAGAAAACAAACACAAACAGAGCAAAAAAAAACAAACAAACACATTTTTGACAGGCGAAAAGCCTCAAAACTCAAAAACACAAAGTGGCGCGAGGGTGGGCGCTGTACCCGTACCTGATCCGGTGGTCGGCGCTGCGACGAACTGATGATTGATTCAGACGGTAGCAATGCTGCGGCGGAGGAGTGGAGGCGGAGTGGAGTGGAGGATGGGCAGCAGGGAGAGGGGAAGCGTTTAAAACGAGGAAACGGAGGGGGGGGGAGAAAGAGAGAGCCCGCAGTAAAGCCGTTTTGTTGCGTTCGCGTGGCGTGGGTTCGGGTGCAGGGTGCAGCGCGCTAGAGAGGAGGAGAGAGAAGCGGCACGCTCTTCTCGCTGCCGCCGCGGCGCCCACTTTTATTGCCTGCGGCCACTGATACGTGGGTCCCACCCTACTGCGGGGCCCGCTCGCCTGGTCAAAAGCCCGGAGTAAAAGCGCAACAAACAAACAGCTGTGCTGTACCAGTATTCCACGGTTTCCACCAGTAAAGCATGGTGCTCGATCGGTGTGGTAGATATTTTGGCTTGTCACGGTTTAATTTGTTATTGGTTCACTGTTACGTTATATACTCTCTCTCTTACACTGATCACCCGTCTTATTTAAAAAATTTTAGAATTATTTTTTTTACTTACTTTATTATCCAAAGTATTTTAAGCGTAACTTTTCGTTTTTTATATTTGCACAATTTTTTTTAATAAGACGAGTGGTCGCATGCAAAAACTCAAAATCCCTTATACTATGGGACAGAGGGAGTACTAGCATACTGTAGTATATCCTCACGTCACAGATTTATTTTTTTTATCAATTTTGTCATACTTTATGACTTACAATTTGTCCACAATACATTTGGGGTTATCATAACTTACCTAATCTTAGTTGTGTTAAAGTGTGGTCGATAATCAAACACATACATAATCTTTAGAGGAGGTTAATCGCTAGGAAAAAATGATTGAAAAATACATAAAATGAGATGAGTCATTATTGTATGATTAATTAAGTAGTAATTATTTTAGACTTAAAAAATAAATTAATGTAATGATTTAAAACAACATTACTATAGAATTTTTAAAAAAATAGTTACTATTTTTTTTAAAATAGTTACAAGACAAATATTTTTTCCCTTTCTGTAACTAACGCTCCCTTAGTATTTACTTATGATTTGTTATAAAACTTTTACCAAGATTAGTTACTATTACTGTATATCTTTGTTCGTAGTATGAATGTTTGATTCGTCGGCAAAGAAATGACGGCAACAGGTATTCATTCATATGTCGCTGTGGCCTGTGGCGAGCACTTTCTTTTCGCCGGGCCTGAATAATGAGTACACTCTCAAGAGATGTTAATGCTCTATTTCTTACTCGCTAAGATTACCAATCATCTGAAAGCTTCAGTGAACAAGGCAAAGAAAGGGGAGTGTGAATCAGTTCACAATTTTGGAGGCGGCAGGAAGGGATCAAAATCAGATAGTGCCACCATGGTCCATCGAACTTTATATGCTGGGGAGGAGCTGTTTGGTTGAATCCGCAGCTCACATCACATCACAAAAAAATTTCCATGCTTTTTTCTCCTCTCCTTTGCTTCCCTGGTGGCAGATGCCACCGTTCTTTTGTCCTCAGTGGCATCTCAAGCTGGAGACCACACCAGCTGTCAAGAACTGGGGGATTACTGTAGTTTCTGCATCTTGGAATCGCAGTTATATAATGCTGTTAATCCTGCTATGTTCAAGTGTGTACTATGTCCTACCTTGATTCTGTGATTTTGGTTCTTCTTGGAGATTGGAAGTTGGATCTGTCCAAAAACTTGCAGGGAGGACTGTCCATAGGCAGCGAGACAAAACGCTGCCCAAGAACAAGAACTTAGCCTAAAAATAAAATGAAAGAAAAAGAGAGGAGGAGGAGGAGGAGGAGCAAGAACAGTATTCTATCGATTATGCAGAAAACGCAGCACCGGTGAAGCAGCAGATACTGATTCAGACAACAGTATTCATGCAGTTTGGTGCTTCTGAATCATGCCAAGTTGCCAACTGCCAATATATGTACAGTCTTTCCAGAGGGCTAGCTAGACACTGCTATTTTCGAGTTTCTTCTTGCATTTGTCTCATGTGGGGACAGCAAGACCACATCGTCATATATAATCACTTCTATATTAACTGAATTCATGAATGAGGGAAGAAGAATAAGCGGAAACATGAATTAGCATGTGACATTTCTAGTTGAGCCCAGGGTTTATGATTCCGACGAAATCCAATCGGATTTCGCGACCATCTGAGATGAATGGTTGAACTGGGATGAATGAAAGCTTCGTATATTCCCTAATCAGCGTGTATGCATATTGATGTATAAAAGTTAATTTATTTGGGACAGAGTGAGTAAAATATTTCGAGGAGGGGGCTTGGGAAATAATTTTCTTTCTCAATGTCCAAATCGAGTTTTCATTGAGCTTTTCTTAATAGTTTAATTTATTATATTATTATTCTCTATCATCTGTATTTGTTAACAAGCCAAAACGAAAATAACTGTCATGGGCCTAACACCCTCTTGCACTAGTTTGCACCACAAAAGAATAAAAAAACACTTGTTTTTCACGTGCACACTTTTCAAACTATTAAAAGGTATATTCTCTTGTAAAAACTTTTTACAGGAAAATTGTTTTCGAAAAATCGTATTAATCTATTTTTCAAGTTTAAAATAATTAATACTTAACTAATTAATAATATCTTAATAGCTCATCTTATTTTACGTATATTTTCAATCATTTTCTTTCTCCTCCTTCCGAACACTCCGAGTATGCAATTTAGATGGATAGAGTCTTTTATGATAGAATTAGATTAGGTTAGGGAATTCTTCATCTATACAGTGAGCGACTCTATATAGTTCAGGGTAAGCATTACACTAAGAGTATCGATGTATCCGTAGCATGCATGTCTCTCCAAACCGGCACACCCTTGAGGTACATGGCTATTCCATTTTGTTCCAAAATATTCTTGCTTGCGACAATAACTTGCAAAATTAGAAAATTGTAAAGAGAGAATAGACCAACATGAGCAATTTAGGACTGAGCCACCGTGCCAACTATACGAGCTTCTATTCACCCTTGCGCACGCACACCACATTCACGCATTTACGAGTATGATCTCTCTAACACACGGTTCGTATATATAAATACCATTAACATATTCTTGATCTCACTAATTATATATGAAAATGCATCTACATGCACATAATATTTGTGGAAATTTAGATTTGAAGTGAAGTTATGGACTCACGACTCCACCTGATACCCATGATAATTTCCCCCTGCAATTATTTTTTTTCTTGGTTAGCGATGATGATTCTACCAGGGGTATCATTTTCTTTAGGCGGTGTTTGAATTGTGGTTGTGGAATGAGAAGGCACTGATTTGGACGGACCTATTCTTATCGAACGACTAGTAATATTCTCGTGCATTGCAATGGGTCCATTCCACCGGGCCATACCAGTGGGAATAAGCTGGGTGTGGATGTAATACACATGATTTTTTTTAGCAACCACCTTTTTTTTTTCTGTTTTTCTGTTTTTTTTCCGGCATGAGTACTACGTGTGTGTAGCCAGATTGGTAGTTAGGATTGGTTTTGTCATGCCCTTGATGAGGTATACACTAAATACAGGGGAGGGAGGACGAACGACTCCACTTTTAGTATTATAAATAAATATAGTAGGATGTCTCATCAACTGTCTATCTGGAGGTCTATCTGGAGCTGGCTAATGGGCGATTGATCGCTCGATCCCCATCCACCATGTACACTCCTCTCTCCCTCCTTCCTCCTTCCATTCCTCTCTTCCTACTACACTATAAATTTAAAAAAAATAAAAAAAACAAAGTTTGAAAAAATATATAATTTAAATTCAAATTTAAATTTGAAACGGGTATGTAAACTTTTGACTTATAAACTTTGGGTCTATAAACTAATATTTGAATTTAAATTCAAAATTGAATCGGGTATATAAACTTTTGACTTATAAACTTTGGGTCTATACACTTTAGGTGTATAAACTTTAGATGTGTAGAAATACTATATATATAAAAAATATTTGAATTCAAATTCAAATTTGAATCGGGTATGTAAACTTTTGACTTATAAACTTTGGGTCTATAAACTTTAGGTGTATAAACTTTATATGTATAGAAATACTATATATAAAAAATATTTGAATTCAAATTCAAATTTGAATCGGGTATATAAACTTTTGACTTATAAACTTTGGGTCTATAAATTTTAGGTGTATAAACTTTAGATGTATAGAAATACTATATATAAAAAATTTGAATCGGATATATAAACTTTTGATTTATAAACTTTGGGTCTCTAAACTTTAAATGTGTAAAGTTGAGGTGTACAAACTTTAGGTGCATAAATTTACTAAAATAGAAAAGTAATGCGGTGTCAAAAAGGAAACCAGATGGAGGGAGGGGGAATCCGAATCTGATCGCTAGGGGCGATCGATCGCCCCTTAGCAATCTCGCTGTCTATCTAGAGTTTGGTTGACAGGGCGGCTCCATTCATGCGAAAATTCTCAAACTTTTGAAAGCCCACCTAGCACTTATTTTTCTGAAATGCCAAAACTACGGAATGTCATATTGACGAATAAATTTAGGTAGTTTATTTAGTCTTCTTAATAATCATGAAAACACAAGGTTGACCAATAAAAGTGCCAAAGAGAAACTCCCTAACCCAAAAGGTAATTTATAATCAAATTCTATAATTCAAGCGGGATTTTCATTATTGGGCCTTTAAGGTCCAAGACCTACGAACCCGCAAAAAAGAGCCCAGAAAGGAAAAAAAATATACTTTGACTCCCTTAACTATCGCCCGAGTTTGATTCTTGTCCTTCAACCATAAAACCGAGTATATCGACTCCTTCAAATATCAAAACCGGTGCAAACAATGTCCCTCGGTGGTTTTAGAGGTGGTTTTGGCTGACGCGGCGGGCTTGACCGAGTCTTTGTCCTACGTGGCGCTTACGTGGCACTAGAATAAAAATAAAAATAAAAAAATATGTGAGACCCATATGTTATTCACACAAAAAGTGTGCCCACTGACATGTGGGACCCACATGTCATCCTCTCTCTCCTTCCCTTCTTCCTACCCCCTCTCTCTCCCTTATCTCTCTCAGAACTCAGGAGCGGTGGCAGATGGGGATGAGGCGGGGGGGGGGGGGGGGGGGGGGGAGCGGTGGCGATGGGGACAAGGCGGTGGGAAGCGGCGATGGTGGCGGTGGGGAACGCGCGGTGGAGAACGCGGCTATGGCCTGCGGCCGCCGGTAGGGAGGGAGGGGTACGAGAGGGGAGCCGCCCCCGTGGGGGGTCGAAGTTGGCGTCGCTTCCACCACCGTCGCTGCTCCCCACCGCCACCTCCGCTGCTCCCGACCGCCACCGCCGCCGCCGCCATCGTCATCTTGGCCTCTTCATCGTCCTTGTCGATCGACATTTTCATGGCGTGCTTCGTGTTCATACCCTTCCCATGGATTATTTCGTCGAGGGACACATTGATTGGCTCCCCCCATCTTCTCGCCGTCCTTTGACAGCCCCAATTGGTGATTTGGCTCACAAACTCCTAGATTGTCTGGAGGAAGAAAATGAACAGTGCACTCACAAGGTGTTCGACAGAGGGAGTTTTGGTGATGTGTGTCACTGGCTCACTGCAGCTTTTCGTTTTCTCATCCTTTTATTTGCAGAATACAAAGACTCACCATGCATCGTGGCCTCGCTGCCATTGCCGCGAATGTGTTCCATCCCACACGAGCGAAGCGGAGCGCACGACGCGGATACGCCGCGACATGAACTAAGCACGTCCGAAGGAATACGATGCCAACAGAAATTGAAACCTGATGCAATCTACTCTAGGATGCTGCTAAAAACAAGGACACACACATGACCACCGTCGGCTACGGCGACTTCGTCCCGCCAACGACGCTGCCAAGCTGCTCGCCTGCACCTTCGTCTTCCTAGGCGTCTCCATCCTAGCTTCCTCAGCAAGGCCGCCGACTAGCTACCTCGTCGAGAAGCAGACCAGAGCGCTCCACTTCCGCGCACTGCACGCCCGCGGACAGAGCTTAATTCTCGTCGGCCGACGCTAGGCTATGGCTCGAGCGACGGCTCCGGTGGCTGGTGCTTCCCTTTGGCGTGAGCTCCCAGCTACGATTCTGCGCATGTGCACCGTACGGAAAGGCTATACATCAGGCACTCGCGGACCGGAGCCGTTGGATGCGCAAGCGACGGATATCGGGAGTCGAACGTCCCTCTGACGTAGAGGAGCCGATTCCCGGCCACTGCCACCGCCGCCGCTCCTGAGAGAGATAAGGGAGAAAGGGAGGGAGGATGACATATGGGTCCCACATGTCAGAGGGTCCTACTTTTTATGTGAATGATATGGGTTCCACATATTTTTTTTAATTTTGTTCTTATTCTAATGCCACGTAAGCGCCACGTATGACAAAGACTCGATCAAGCCCGTCACGTAAGCGCCATGTCAACCAAAACCACCTCCAAAACCACCGAGGGATATTGTTTGCACCGGTTTTGATACTTGGAGGAGTCGATATACCCGTTTTTATGGTTGGAGGACATGAATTATACTCGGGCCATAGTTGAGGGAGTCAAAGTATACTTTTTCCGCCCAAAAAACGCACTAACTTTCTAAGCCCATTAGGCCCATAAGTTCGGCCTGGTATATGCGAGCGCGAGATCTCCAGAGTAAACGGCCCATAAAAAGTAGCATTCGACGCCGCCGCTCGTCATCCGAAGCCGAGCCGCGACGAGGGAGGAAGAAGCATCTGGAGGCGCACGCACCTCACCCTCCCTCCTCCCATGGCGCCGCCCTTGGCCGCCGCCGCCGCCGCCGCCGCGGCCGTATCCTCCTCCTCCCCTCTCTTTTCCTCCTCTTCGTCCCGCCCCCTCCCCCGCCGCCATCTGCCCCCGAGCTCCGTCTCCCTCCGGCCGCGGCGCCGCTCGATCGCCGCGGCCTCCGCTGCTGTCGAGTCCGCCGGGAGGCCGCTTCTCGAGGCGCGCGATCTCGTCGCCTGCGTGAAGGAGAACGGGCAGGAGATCCTCAGCGGCGTCAACCTCACCATTCGGGAGGGCGAGGTTCGTTCTGGTCTAGTTGTGTGGCTATCTTAAAATTCTTAATAATTGGGGTCTGCGAGGTTGCAGGGTACTTAGATTGGGTGTTCGTCTGCTTGTTTTGTATAGATTCATGCGCTCATGGGTCAAAATGGCTCCGGCAAGAGCACTCTCATGAAGGTAAGGCGCTTCTGATCGATGCTTTCATTTCTTATTCTGCCAAAAAACTAAATATTAGGACAAGAACTTTGCTAGGATCGACACTGTGCGGAAATATTGCCTGTTACCTATGTAACACTTCTGTTCCTGTATATTTTTGTTTTTATTAGCATAGCATAGCAGATTGTCTCGCACAATTTTGCGAGGAGCTAAACTTTGGAAGTCGAATTGGATTTAGTATACACCTCTCAACTTTGTTTTCACCTGTAACAGTTGTATTTTGTATACAATAGATTATTAAGGTGAAATTGAATTTGATAAACAATTCTTTAGCTTCTGATGGAATTGTACTTTGTATCACGCTACATCGTTAATTTGGACCAACCATGATCTAACGGTGTAGATCTTTCTTTTTCCTCCAATTAATGTGGTAATTTATAGCCACCAAAGCGAACATGGTGACTCATTTTCAAGCTATCTTAATAATAGATAATACATCAAGTGTTTTCTGATTGCGATAGAATTGTTTATATGTATTGTTGCCGCCTGGCTTCTCTAGTATTTGCTTCTGTGAGAAATTGTGCCATCCATGAAAGAGGTTTCTGGTTGCCTCGTGTGTATTCTTAGTCCAGATTAAGAAAGTGCAACTAGAATAATCCAGTTTGTGATCTTGAAGTTCAAGTGCTTTTGGAGATCAACCCCTAAGTGTTCAATGTGCCTTCCCACCATCCTGATTAAACCGAGAAACTAACCATGTTTGTTACTGTGATATCTAAAACTTCAGTGAACTGTTGCATCCTTTCGTCTCAGGTTCTGGCTGGGCATCCAGAGTATGAGGTAACTGGTGGTACCGTGCTCTTTAAGGGTGAGAATTTGATTGATATGGAGCCAGAGGAAAGATCTCTTGCGGGCCTTTTTATGAGTTTCCAAGCACCTGTTGAGATTCCTGGAGTGAACAATTACGATTTTCTGCTCATGGCATTAAATGCTCGCAGAGAGAAGAAGGGTTTACCAGCATTAGAGCCTCTCCAGGTTTGCAATTTATACTTATGGTGTAAGGCATTTTTAAAACTGCACTCTTAATTTACAAAGGGAATTATAAGGCATCATGTGTTTCTCACTATTTCGATGTATGACCTATCCTATTAATATTTCTCACTATTTCGATGTATGACCTATCCTATTAATATCTTATAGGAATGACTGGGGTTAAGTTAACATGTCCCAGACTCCATTGTCTACGTTGTTTGTTTTTCTATAAATGCAGAACTTTCTATTTTAATAACACAAGTGAGCTTGGTGGTGTTTTCTAACCTAATCGTTTCTTGTTTTGCTGTTTCTTACTGTTGGGTTATTTCCAGTTGCTAGGAACTCTGACATAACTTCTCTTTATCATACAGGTTTATCCAATTATAGAGGAAAAGGTTAATGCCTTGAATATGAATGCAGAGATCCTTAACCGTGCTGTCAATGAAGGGTTTAGTGGTGGTGAAAGGAAGCGCAATGAGATTCTGCAACTCTCTGTAAGATTACTATGAAACTATGTGGCGTCTTAGTTTAGTTGTCAAATGAACATTACACACTTTTCGTTTGAACATAAATCTGGAGAAATATTCTTACATTTATTACTCAGCAATAAAATAGAAACTAGTGTTTTATGCCACGAAGATTCACTGAACTTCTCTTCCAGATGCCATGTTCTGTTAAATGTGATTTTTTTTAATGCAACGCTCTTGTTTCGTTAGGTCTTACCGTGGGCGGCGGCGTGAAACTGTGGTCCAAAATGCAATTCACTGATATATTTATGACCAATAAATATAGGCAAAAGTTTCCTGAAAAAAGTGCTAGAAGATAATATTTTATGAGACAGTGCTTCCTTGAACATTTTTACCTGTCAGAAGAATTTGTTTGACTATCTAGTTATGTACTTCGATAAATTTGTGCCTCTTATTTGTTTTCTCATTATCAATTATAGGTCCTTGGGGCTGATTTAGCTCTTCTTGACGAGATTGATTCGGGATTAGATGTTGATGCACTCGAATATGTAGCTAAAGCAGTGAATGGGATCTTGACACCAAACAGCTCTCTAATGATGATTACACACTACCAACGTCTCTTGGATCTTATTAAGCCCAGCTATGTTCACATCATGGTAAGCGTATAGACAAATTCCTTTTTGAGCAATTGCACTTGAATTGATAGTAATTTATTTGTTCAAATGAATTTAATACTTCAATTTACATAATCCTGTATTATTTTCAAGTAGAGTCTCTTTTGGACTCATCACTGGCTAATCATTACATTGGTACACAGAATATATTGTGATTTTAGTTGGCCATTAGGTGGTAAAGAGCTATGTGAGTTATATACAATTGTTCCACTCAAGATGTATAAATACTAAGATAGCAAACGTGTATGATATTGCTCATTATCCATGCTATCCCTCCTGTTGTTTTCTTATGAAAATTTTGCCTTTTGATGGTATCTTGGATTTGACCAATGACCACTGCTTTTTAAATGTTCCATCACTATAATATATATAAAAAATAATATTGTAAATTTTTTTTTAAAACCTAGTGATGTAGGTTTCATATATCCAAATTTTGACACTTTTAAACAATGATGTCGCAATTTGGATGTCTGACCGAGTGGATCAGCAAGCATCAATTAAATAGGTACACATGGAGTACTACATGAAGGGCATGAATTGGTATTGATAATACTTCTGATATGCTACTTCCAGGAAAAGGGCAAGATAGTGAAGACGGGTGACAGAGCTTTAGCCAACTACATTGATGAGTCTGGCTACAAAGCGATTGCTACTGCGTAGCATGGAGCCATGGAGAAAGGTCGTGTTTTGTTTCCTCTTCTTTTTTTGTTCTTATTTTTGAGCAATTTTGTTTCCTCCTATACCTGAATAGTTTTCTCATGTACTTACATTGTGAACAGTATCAGTAATACCGCCTGATTAAAGAGAATAATAATGAAAATATGTTTTAGATTGGTATCTGAATAAGTGAATCAGGTTCATATGGATTTGACTGATTTCTGATGCTTTATTGCAGATCAAATACTTGAATGACTTGTTGGGTTAGTTCCCAGCCTCTAGCCTACTTATCATGACAGATTTCAGATTTGTCACTCGGTTCCATACATTTTTAGTATGCATGATGAGAGCAGTGCATACTAAATTCAGTAGATGTTGAGTTAGTGGCTTAGTGCCCCATTTAGCTAAACGTGTTAACTCTGAAAGTGGAGCATTGAGTTCTCCATTGAGTATAGGTCACTTTCCCTACTTTTTGAAATTTTGGATTACAGTATTAAGACATGAAGAAAAGTATCTTGTGTATACACGATTGACAAAATTTTCATGGTTTTATCTACAATTTAGCCAGTTTTGAATATTGGCTGTTCCTTCAATTGTTCATACAGCTATAAAGAATTCAAAGTTTGTGGTCTGTTTCCATGGCGTGCTCTTTAAAGGCCTCCCCTTATATGTTTCACCCAAGAAATTTGACGAACCAAAATCTGCTGGTTATGAATTATGTATGATTCAGTGCGCCTTAATTAATTAATCTGATATGGAGCGTACATGCACAGCTCAGGCATGATCTTTTCTTAGGTGCATCACCGAGAAAATGTGGTTAATGGGTTTTTGCTATTCCCATTATATATGTGCTACATGCCTAGGAAATACAATAATTTAGCTGTACAAAGGTTGATACTGGTGGGCTATACTATGCTAAAGTTTCTTAGGTGCGTTCCAGACATGTTATATAGATATATTTTGAACGGGCGATTCCAGATATATGTTGCAGGCTATTGTCCATCTGCCACTAATGGTGAGTGGCTACTACACAGCCATTTCTATTACAAATGCATACTTTCGATTGTTCGGTGCTAGTTAAAGCAAAGGCAAACAAATCTTTCTGAGTTTGTGGCTGCTCCCTTACTCGCAATGCAAGTTGGTTGACTTCCCAATAAATGGATCTCCAACGCTTGTTTGGTTTAAAGCCAATTTTTACTCTTAATATTTTGGTAGTGCCAAAATGTTAGTAAGTTTTACCATACTAATTGTTTTTGTAACACTAATATAAGCAAAAATTTGTAGTAATCCAAACATCTATGTGATACTATTAAAGTTGTCAAAATTTTGATAAGGGGCTAGCTGGCTTCAAAACAAACAAAGCCCTTCGTATCGACTTGGCCGTAGATAAACAACAGTGAAAGATGACAACAATTTAGAATTACGGTTTTGCTATCTCATTTGCGATAAATATTTAGCTCCTATCTTTTGATTTTTTTTCCATAAATCTTGTATCAAGATTCGTGTTTCTTTAGACCTAAGTTGCAGTTAAATTTAGTTACATGGCACTTATACTTGGTTATAGAACACTTACATTCATTAACAACGCACTAACATTAAATTTTACAAAAGTTCTTCTCTAGATTACGATTTTTTGACATGTTCATCTTTTTTTATTTATTTCAAAACGAGTTGTATTCATTTGTCAAAAATTCTGCAAGATTTAAAGCTCTAAATCTGTCTAAAAATAAATAGGTAGCTGATAGTTCTAATTTTGAATTGTACAAAATAATGACCATAATTAGAAGTTTTGAGCGGTAACCGGACATCGATGATACAATGTAGAAAGTATAGAGAAGAAAAGGAGGGGAAGTCCAAGTAAAATTAAAATGAAGTTCTTGATAGAGTTTTGAAAGACATGTAGGGAGTGTCGAGTGGTGAATGCATCTTCTTTTTATTCCCCTGTCGATGACAACCTAAAAGAAAACGAAAAGAAGAAGATGCACCAATGCGCGTGCTCGGTGGGAGATCTTGTCGTGAGTTGACCTACTCATTGGATGGGGAATAACGAGGATACTCCATTTCATTCTTCAACAGACTTGATTCAGGCCCTCTTGGCTGTTTGGTTCATAGGACTAATCCATTAGTCTCTCTATTTTAGTTCCTTTTAATCTTTAAGAATCTAAACAGAGACGACTAAAAGGGTCTTAAAAAGTACATATAGGACTAAAATCCATTAGTCTCTCTTGGAGGTATTTATAGGACTAAAGTGACAGCTTCACTCTTCTCTCTCCCTCGGTCCACGTGACTTTACTCCCCGTTTAGTCCCTTGATCTAAACAGTAAGGACTAAAGTTTTTAGGCCATGAACTAATTTTAGTCCAGAAATTAAATGATCCAAACAGGTCTCTCGTTCCCAAGTATTCTACTCCCCTCATTGGTTAATGAGGGTTTTTAAGCATAGCTGCTGGCAGCTCTAGCTCCGCCTCTAATGCACGCTCCATTTCTGCACCCAAGTGATCCACCATGCCCATTACATCGCCGGAAAGTAAAGCTACCGGCGAAAAGCCTACATTGTTTGTGCGTTCCGTTACTAGAGGCTTCCCTCTCGGTGGTCAATATTCTCGAGAATCTATCTCTCTCTCAGCCGCGGATTACATCGGAGCAGCCTGCATATGTTTAAGCTTAATTCGTCAGCGCTCGTCGATTGGCGGCAGCTACAAAGTGGAAGAAAGGAGAAGGGATAGAACGGCCAGAGCCGGCCCCAACGTAACTCACCATCACGTATTCACGTACACGGCCGAGACGTCGCCGTCGGGCAATGTCACGGAGGAGGTAGCCGGCGGCGGAGTTGGGTCCACGTGGCGCACACCTGGAGCGCTGGCGGTGCAACTTGCACACGCACCGGAGGAGGGGTAAGGTAGTACCTAATCCTAAAGCTATAATAAGCAGGTCGCGTCGCGTGCATATATCCGGGCCGTCCTCCTCGCTCCTTGCCAAATTCCATGGCGTAATCATGCCCTTTTTTCTCTTGCGTTTGTGGTGGTGACTCTGCACGTACGCCATGGGGGGGCCGGGCCTGCAGGACTTCCCTATAAAATGCACACACACGCAAGTTGTTGCTCGGGGCATCATCGATCGTACAATATCCTGTCCCGGTCCGGCCGGCTTAGCTGCTGCAAATTCAGCAATTGCTTGGCACATCGAGTTGATTGATCGAGGTATAGTAGTAGTAGCATGAAGTAGTGCTCTGCTCTCTCTGTCTCGATCGATCGGATCATGATCCTTTTTTTCCTTTCTGTCCGTGTCCCTTTCTTTTTCTTTCTTTCGGTCTCGAAATGGGGTGCGATCGATGATGAGCTAGGTGAATATCTTTGTGTACGTATATAATTCAATGTCATGCTTGTTGATGCCTACAGGTCGATCGAGGCTAGCTAAGCTGCGTCCAATGGCGTTCTCACGGGCTACGGCGGCGGCCGTCGTCGCTCTCGTCGTCCTGCTGCCGCATTTGGTCGCCGCCGTCGTCCTCGACGTCGGCGGCGGCGTCGCGGCGAGGCCGTGCCACTCGGCGTCCGTGGACGGCGACGCCGGGTGCCTGAGCTGGCGGGTCATGGTGGAGGCGAACAACGCCAGGGGGTGGCGCACGGTGCCCGCGGCGTGCGTCGCCTACGTCAGGGGCTACATGACGCGGGGGCAGTACGGCAGGGACCTGAGCAGCGTCATGGACCAGGTCGCCGCCTACGTCGACACCGTCGAGGCCGACGGCGACGGCCTCGACGCATGGATCCTCGACATCGACGACACATGCCTCTCCAACCTGCTCTACTACGAGGCCAAGCAGTTCGGGTATGGGGAAGAGTTCGAACTCATCCATTTTTTAGTTCTCTGTACTTCAACTTCTCGTTAAATTAGTCCGTACATAACTCAACATAGGATCAGGCTATCAGCCTAGATGATACTAAGCATAATATGTTTCATTCAGAAAAAAAAAACTAAGCATAATATGTTCACGTTGTCTTCCTTTCTTTTCTTTGTTTCTTTTCTTTTCTATAGGTTGTGTCATTGTGTGCGTCCCTAATAGATACAGGCGCCAAATGCAATTCCATTATCCAATAAAATATCCACTATTTTTTAAAAATGATACTTTATGGCCAGTAGCTAAATCAATAGGATAATCTTTTCTTTAATCGGCTTGGATGAGCTTATCAAAACAGAAAACTTAGTACTTTCAAGTAAAAATATTAATGCTGGAAATGTGGCAATTAGTACTTTCAAGTACAGATTAATATATCCAGCGATGTCGTGACTTGTTGGTATTTTTATTCCAGGGCCTATGATCCCTCGGCCTTCAAGACGTGGGCTAGCAAAGGGGCTTGCCCGGGGATACCTGCGGTTCTTGAGTTGTTCGCCACATTGCAAGCCAAGGGGTTCAAGGTTTTCCTCCTCTCCGGGAGGGATGAAGAGACACTGGCCACTTGCACGTCAGAGAATCTCGAGTCAGAGGGGTTCTTGGGGTATGAGAGGCTCATCATGAGGTGCGATCACATTTCTGTTCTTGTTCCATGTTGTGAAAATTTTACACTGGTTAAAAATGTTTTATGGCATGTTTAGTTTGTTGTCACTTTAAACCTTTCAAATTTTGGTAGGGCAATAAAGTAAACACACTTTAACCATTACTACCTTACCAAATTTTAACAGTTCTAGAAGCTTACTCTCTTGAAATTCTACCAAAATTTAATAAAATCATCAAACCAAGCAAAGCCAATATTATCAAAAAACATTTGGTACTACCAAAATACGACAAAATTTAGCATTACCAAAATTTGGTATGATTGATTTAGACAACAAAGTGAACAAAGCCCTTAATTTCCTCCTGCATTAGGGCCGGAGATCATATCCTGCATTCTGCTAATTCCGCGAATCTTTATGCTTCAATGGCCCCAGCATTCGTGTCAAGTGCTGGCTTGTGACTGCCAAGTTAATGGATCAATGATACTGGCAGCTGAGCTGAACATTCAGATGACGAACTGCACAAGATATCGCAATCCCATGGCAGAATACTACTTTGTTAGTAGCATAGGTTGCATGGTTAAAATTCAGAAAGTAAGATATCTGATCGTGCAATATCATGGTACAATGCAGGAGCCCGGAGTACCGGGGGCAGAGCTCGTCGGTGTTCAAGTCGGCGATGAGGAAGCGGCTGGTGGAGGAGGAGGGCTACAGGATCCGCGGCAACGTCGGCGACCAGTGGAGCGACCTGCAGGGCGACTACGTCGGCGACCGCGTCTTCAAGATCCCCAACCCCATGTACTACGTCCCCTGAAAACTGAACCGGACCACATGGCCGGACCGATCGATTGATCGGTTCGCGTGGGCGCATCCGGGAGCCGTGTAAACGAACGGCAAATGCAAGAATCTTCTTAATGCAAAAGAAGAGAAACTGCCAACTATCTCTACATTTCTTCAAGCTTTATGCAACAGAGATGGTGCCATTACAATCCGTCTATGTCATAGATGAGTACTCTCGTTCCGTCCTGAGAATGCTGCGGCCGTTTCTCGCTTGCCCACGAAGAGTACGACTCGGTGAAAGCCCAACTCACGCCCTCTCAGCCCAACTCACAGGTCGGCCCACCCACCTGCTGCCGAGGCGTCCGCGTACGTCGAGTCCAAACGCAAGCTGCGTCTATTGGCCTCTCGCCGCCACGCCTTCCCGTCTTCCCGACCGGCAAAACCAGAACATTCGCGCACTCACCTGCCCTCCTCTTTGTCTATCTATATACATACGCACATCAACCACCTGGCCTCCGCATGATCTCTTCAAAATCACACACGCACCTGGACCCTTCCTGATCACCAGCACCCGCGACTCCACACTTTTCGCCGCCGATCGATCGCCATGGGGAGGAGTAAGCAACAACCGAACCAACCAACTTACCACGGCACAGACATCATATCGTAGCTGTTGCCGGCCGTTGCCGTGCATGGCGTTGTTACCTGGTTTTCTTGAATGACAACGCGATCGAGGACGTGATCGATCGATCGATATCGTGCGTGCAGGGCCAGTGCGGTGCTACCGTCAGATCAAGAACAAGCCGTACCCGAAGTCGCGCTACTGCCGCGGCGTGCCCGACCCGAAGATCCGCATCTTCGACGTCGGGCAGAAGAAGCGGAGCGCGGACGACTTCCCGCTGTGCGTGCACCTGGTGAGCTGGGAGAAGGAGAACGTGTCGAGCGAGGCCCTGGAGGCGGCCCGGATCGCGTGCAACAAGTACATGGCCAAGCACGCGGGCAAGGACGCGTTCCACCTCCGGGTGTGCGCCCACCCGTACCACGTCCTCCGCATCAACAAGATGCTGTCCTGCGCGGGCGCCGACCGGCTGCAGACCGGGATGCGCGGCGCGTTCGGGAAGCCCACGGGGACGTGCGCCCGCGTCCGCATCGGGCAGGTGCTCCTCTCCGTGCGATGCCGCGACGCGAACGCCGCGCACGCGCAGGAGGCCCTGCGCCGCGCCAAGTTCAAGTTCCCCGGCCGCCAGAGGGTCATCTTCAGCGCCAAGTGGTACGTTCGTCAGGATGGACGGCCAGGATGATATAAATTCTTTCGTGTCATCTGATGATGATGTGTCTCGGTTTTTAACTTTTTATTGGTTTTCAGGGGATTCACCAGGTTCAAGCGCGACGAGTACCTCAAGCTTAAGAGCGAGGGACGCATCGTGCCCGATGGCGTCAACGCCAAGGTACGTACGAAACCGCGGTGTATCGCTCGAAACGACAAAATTATAACCAAGTTGATTAATGCATGTATGGTGAACAGCGGCTAATTATTCTATATATATATATATAATATTTTTTAGAAATAATACTATATTAATGGGAAATTGCAAAAGTAGAGACTATTTTGCTAAAATTGTAAGTTTAGCACCATATTGAATAAGCAAAGTTTGATAGGGTGTATATCGATCAAAATTTGATTGAGTGATATGAATTTTCATGGTGCCACATAAGAGCATCGAAGAGCTAGTGTTCGACGAAGTTATTTGCCTGGTAAAAAGGGAGTGCATGGCCTATCAAACTTTCATTGTTCGATAGGTCCTACCCACTGGCCACCTATAGTACAGTTGCTTGCTTTCCTATTAGTCATAGCTCATGGATCATGTGATATCACTTTTTTTTACTGCACAACAACCCTACCTTACACCATGTGTCATGTGTTCGACATGGTGCTAAATTTGTGGTTTTACAAGTTTTTATTAAAATAATATTTTTTCTAAAAAAATGCTAATATAATGGATGTGATGTTTCGCTGCATGTAGTTGCTAACTCGGCACGGATCGGTTGCTGATCGCCAGCCCGGGAGAGGGGTCTTCCCACCCTCCGTTGCAGGCTCAGACGCATGAGGAGTGCTTTCACTGTCCATCTCATTGGAGGTGGTTGCAGGCTGCAGTGTCTGATCGAGCTCTGTTAAAAGAGTGACATGTCATGTGTATATATTATGGTAGTGGAATAAATGACGGTGACTGTGTGCAGTAAGCCTTGTTGGTCTTTGGTAGCACGGTTCGTGCTGTAAATTAACTCTGCATGCGAATAAATAAAGATTGGTGAATTATTCTTCGTGTGAAAAAAAGGGCTAGTTCATTATTAGTACTTCTTGCACCATTGCCACCATGGGTATGCGCTGCAGCTAGCATATCATCAACATTTCAAGTTATGCTTATTGTAATCCATATATTCGACAGACTGAACCAAGCCTTTCTTTTGGGAGTCTCCGCTTAGCGACGAACGGTCACGTATAGTGGTTATTGTTTTGGTGCTAGGCTTCACTATCTTGCATATGTTTGTAGGGTTCATGCATGGTATCTAGACGTGCACTTCGGTACATAACCAACATTATCGATAGTATTTTATCCTTTTTTTAATTTTTTTTCTCAATCTTAATAATATTTATATGACCCTCTTTATGTGATTATCTCGAAAAAAAAGAATAGCAGTGTGTGTCATTGTTATTGTAAATATGAATAACTTCTCTATATTTTTCGCAATTTTCGTTTGGAATATGCTTCACATAACAAAAATAGCTCGAAAAGAAGATCATCCGCTAGCTAGCCAACCAGCCACACGCACTATGCTATCAATTATATATAAGTTTAATATAAATTACATCCCAATTATAGTGTAATTACTTTTAAAAAAGGAAATGTTATGTACCGATATCCTCGCACAATGAGACATATGAGCGCACGCATGGACGAGGCACCTGGAGCACACGTCGCGCGGAGTTGTCAGAGTCGATGTGGGCGGTGGCAACGGTGATTTGGGCAAAGAGATAGCTTCCCGACTGATCCTCAAATACCTCCTGGCTAGCTCCATTGAATTAGATTTCTTTATTTTTCATGGCTTAGCTTGCCTTTTTCTTCTTCTCTTCCATTCACTCGATAGCCAACTTGCCTTCCTCCTGATTCCTCCAATATGCTAAGCTTATTGATTAATTAGCCTTCTTCCACTAGCTAACGAGACGAGCTTGGTACGTAGTTTGGGATTTGGATTGAGGATTGAGAGATTTTGGATTTTGGGTATGCAAGAGTAGGTAGTTGATTGTAGAGGACTGGAAGGGGAATATAGTAGCAAATTATCTTATGTGCTACTAGTAAGTTTTGTTATTAGTGGTGGTGATGGATGAGAAGCTCCTGGATGAGATCCAGAGCATGGAGGATGAGGTCGAAAGCATGGACGTGGGCAGCTATGACGGTCTCGTCGGAGTAGCCTTGTCTTGTGTTAGATCTCTCTGCTCACGGTCTCCATGGCCACACTTGAGGTAGCGATGATTGTATGTCCTTGCGTGCTAGCGACCATGGTGATGCTCAGTAGCAGAGCTCACGGAGGTTGGGGAAGCAGGTGTCGCACATGATATTTCATGGTGGTGGACAAGGTTGTTGACTTGGCAGCAGAGGTCAGGCCCAATCAAGCGAATTTGTAAGATGAATCACCTTCTTTTTCTATTTATTTGACGGTTTTTTAGGAAAAATCTTTTTCATTCTCCCAGTGTCCTAGAATTACCTTTCTCAAAGGGACTCAACGATGGCGGTGACGACAAGCTACACGAAGGGGTTTGGCAAAAGCAGCTTTGAGAACAGAGGATCCAACGATACATGTGCGGTACCAGATTTGATATCTGTACAATACCAAACCTGATATCTGTTGGTCTCAGATAATACCTGGTAGATGCCAGATCTGGTACCTGTTAGTGTTTAGGCATCCTCACCCAACTTGGTATTAGTATGAGCACAAGCAACAGGAGGTAGTGCATTACAGAGGGCACAGTGTTTCTTGCCTGCCATGGAGAATAAGATGAGGTCCATCAAGAAAAAAAAATATTTCCTATCTAGTAGAATTGCTATCTTCCTCATCTGCAGTGTAAAGCTATTGTTTTTTTATTTGCTTGCTATGATTGCTACTCGCGATAGTAGCACTACAACCAGTAGTTGTTGTTACCTCCTTCCACAATGCTTATATCTTATTAATAAGAATGCATTCATTACTTACTACCTGCTTTTGAACCATATTGTAGTCAGTGGCGTAGCTAGCTAGGTGGCACTGTGGTCCATGGACTAAAAATTTAAAACTATAGTATGGTCTTGTTTAGCTCCAATTTTTTTTTCAAACTTCCAACTTTTCCATCACATCAAAACTTTCTACACACATAAATTTTTAACTTTTCCATCACATCGTTCCAATTTTGACGTGAACTAAACACAACCTATATGTACTAGTTAATATAATAAAAATTATACAGTGAACCACCTTTTTAATTGACACAGTACATATAGATGGACAACCTTTACTTTACATCCTAGTTACGCTACTGATTGTGATTGCCCTTAGATACTATGTACTCTCTCTTTACTATAAAAAACTAACCTGTACTGGATGTGACACACCCTAACACTATGAATCTGAAAATATATCTATCCAGATTCGTTGTACTAAAATGTGTAGTATCTAGACAGCTAGTTATAGATTTGTTTTTGGGATATGAGGAGTAGATATCAAATTTATATATGTAGGTATCAGGTAATATAAGTAGATACCAATATTTAAGAATCCAGTGATATGAGCTGCCAGGTGCCGGCTTACATTTTTTTATTGAGGGAGTAGATATCAAATTTATATATGTAGGTATCAAGTAATATAAGATGATACCAATATTTAAAAATCTAGTGATATACTCTCTCTGTTCTAAAATATAATAACTTTTAACTATAAATCTAGATAAATGCATATATAAATTCGTAGCTAAAAATCGTTATATTTTGGAACGGAGATATGAGCTGCCGGGTGCCGGCTAAGCAATCTTTTTCCCTTGTCAGCCTATCCTAAGCGGCTGGCCGTTTTCTACGTTAAGCGGCTGCGTTTTCCTGTTTTCCCCTTTCTTAAACCTTCCACACACACAATCCTCCCGTTTACACCTGCTCATCTTCGTCGCGACTCGGTGTTGGCTCCAGAAATCTCGCCAAGAGACCATAAGCCCAATCCAAATCTCTCCGCGTAGGAAGCAGATGAAGATCATCCCGGTCGCTTGCCTGGAGGACAACTATGCCTACCTGTACCCTCCTGAATCCATCCTTGTCAGTTGTCTGTATGTTCGGTTCTTGTTTCTTGGCTCTTTCTTGATTATCCTTCGTTTTGTTCTTGAAGAATCGTGGACGAGAGCACCAAGTCGGCGGCGGCCGTCGACCCCGTGGAGCCGGAGAAGGTGCTTGCGGCGGCCGCGGAGGTCGGCGTCCGCATCGACTGCGTACTCACCACCCACCATCACTGGTGAGCGTCCTAGTCCTCCTTCTAGTTTAGTTATGGAAAAATTCCGCCCAAATGTTGGCCTTCCAGAGTTTCCTATGGGATGCAATCAGTGCTGTGCCAAAATTTTCCCCAATCCCACCCTCAGGGACCAATCACCTACCACCAGAAAGTGAGTGATTTTAGTTAGTTGCAGATTGGGATTTATTGCATTAGGATTTTATAATAAATTGAGAAATACGGTGTCTGAGCATGCGGCTGAGGAAGTGCTTTGCACCATATGATAAAATAAACACAAATACATTAAAAGGATTGATTTTTTTTAGGATTACTCTCAGGTGCATTCTATGCATAGAATATTATTTGCCAGATTTTGCTGAATTCATTAGCAACGATGTAGAGAAGTGGTAATTGAAAAGCCCAACTAATCCGTGGTTGTGGTTGTAGGGATCATGCTGGTGGCAATGAAAAGATGGCGCAGTCAGTGCCAGGGATTAAGGTCTATGGAGGATCCCTGGACAATGTGAAAGGATGCACTGATCAGGTGGAGAATGGAACCAAATTGTCCCTTGGGAAGGACATTGAGATACTATGCCTGCACACACCGTGGTATGCTGTTTTCTTTATAAGTCACATTTCATTTATGGTATCATCAGTGTGATTACTTCGATGGAATCATAGAAGCACTGAAGATCAGGATTTAAACCTCTACAATAACAGATAGGCAAATCCAACATGTTTCCACTTGTACTCACTATAATAACCCATCCTGCAGATTTGCCAATTGAGAAGTTTATGAAACATTTATGTTCAAGGACTTCGCATGCAACTAAGCGATAGTTGATAGCACAAAGACTTAAACAATATTGCTGTAGTGCATTGGTTGTACAGTCTAGTCAACCTTTTATATGTTTCTGTAACAGCTTGTTGATTACTTAAATCTCATAGTCCTTTCATTTCCCTTCTTCTAACAGCCACACAAAAGGACATATCAGCTATTACGTCACTAGTAAAGAGGAGGAAGATCCAGCAGTGTTTACTGGAGACACCTTGGTTAGTATATGCATCTGACTTACAGTGATGGCTCCTTTTCTATTTAACATATCGACCTTCCTTTTTGGTATAGTTCATTGCTGGTTGTGGGAGATTTTTTGAGGGCACTGCAGAGCAAATGTACCAATCCCTTTGTGTAACACTGGGCTCGCTGCCTAAGCCAACTCAAGTTTACTGCGGGCATGAGGTACATTTTCTATTTCCCCCATTTGCTTCTTTGCTCTTCCTCCATTTTTGAGGGATGTGAATCTGTAGTGAAATATGTAGGATATGTATGCTGTGTGCCTTGCCTTATTTTTTTCCTTCTTCCTCGTGATTTGTGTTGACAACTGATGTTTTATCCCTTTGGCTTCTACTTCATGTTCCATGCTATTTTCTTACTTTAATTTGGACCTGTCCATAAACCTCCATTATTAAAGATGCTGGAAGCTTTGAATCTAGATTACAAACTAGATGAGGCTAGTATGTGCAGCCTTAACTGAAGGATAATAACTAACGTGTTCTTTTCTGGCAAAAAAAAGAATGTGGTCTGGCCTTCTGCATTAAGGAAAAATAAGTTCATGCTGTCAGTTCTTCATAAATGGAGGATAACGTGATTGCCATTAGTTTATGTGTGCAACCAAGGAAATTTTTGGTTGCCCTTTGTTATGTACTTCTACTTATCATGGTATGGTTCTTGTCATTCAAAAGAAAAAAAAAAGGTAACAGCCATACTTTATTCTTACTAGTCTTATTATGACTTACAGTACACTGTGAAGAACCTGAAATTCATACTGACGGTCGAGCCAGATAACGAAAAAGTGAAGCAGAAACTAGAATGGGCTCAAAAGCAGCGTGAAGCAAACCAACCAACTATTCCATCAACTATAGGAGAGGAATTTGAGACAAACACCTTCATGCGTGTTGATCTGCCAGAAATACAGGTTCTAATCCACTTATTAGTTACATCTGTTCAACATGATGCTATGTTTCTTTGTGGCTGTGTTGGAAAAATCTTTGCGTCCATGGAGGTTGACAGCAAGATAAAGCTAATATTGTTTAGAAACTTGCGGTCTTACTGACAAGAATCAACAACTATCAATTCTTAATTTCGAAGATAGTTCCTTTGCCGGTGATGCTTATGCAGATAATGCCATCGATCTTGCAGGCAAAGTTTGGTGCCAAGTCGCCAGTTGAGGCCCTGCGAGAAGTTAGGAAGACCAAGGATAACTGGAAAAGTTAATACCGATGCAACTGTTACTCTTCGTCTGATGGTCCGGTCTCTCGAGGTTAGCTAATGCAGAAAGCTTACCCTGTAGGTGGGGCTTACTGCCGTGCAACGCTTTAAGAGCGATGGTGTTAGGAAGAGTTTTAAGCTATAAATAAGCTCCATGTTAATGTTCAAGGAGACATCATCAGATGTGCATGTTAATGCTGGTCTTGTCTATCACTGTACTACATGAGCTACGTATGAATTTTGGAGTTGGTCTTGTTTAACTTTGAAAAGTCGAAAACGAGAGGTAGTAGTCATCCTCCAGTTTACATATAAACGCATAATAAGGGTGAAGTGAATCAAGATTATTGTGCCATTCTTCCCAACAGGACTAAAGAATTGGTAATAAGCTGATGTGGTTGGAGCAGCAAGCTGCAGCTTGTTTGGTTCAACCTCGTTTCTTCTTCTTCTTGTCAGGAACATTTGGAGTGGTAGGCGTCACTTTGAACGGTTGGGAGGACGAGCCGGCGAACTGGCTGAAGCCCAGCTGCCGGCCGGGGATGACCAGCTTGGGCGGCGCGAATGGCCCGAACTCGACGGCGGCTGGCTTGCTGGCACTGCCCTTCTTCTTCCCTGGCTTGGCCGCCGTTACGCCGGCCTTCGCGCCGCCGTCGTCGTCACCGGCTCTGGTCACAGCTGGTTTCTGATCGTGTCCCTGCTTTGAGCTGCTCTCCTGGCGCTCATGGCCGAGCACTCTCCTGGCTCTCTCCATGAACGCCGGCCTGCCGATCAGCACGAGGAGCTTGAGCACCTCGTCCGTCTCCAGCCTGCACCGCGGTGGCGCCTTGTTGCCGGCAGCGTCGGCAGATGATGCAGCGGCAGCGCCGCCGCCTCCGAACGCCGCGCTCGGAGGAGACGGCGGCGGGCAGCGGCCGTGCGGGAGGAACGACCTGCTGGCCGTGCCGGCGCCGGAGCTGGAAGCGAAACCACAGTTCGGCCAGTAGCCCGGCGCCGGGGCGGCCTGCCTGGCCCGTACGTCGCACTCGAGGTTCCTGAACTCGGCGGCGACGCGCGCCTTCAGCCCGGCGTGCCGGACGAATCGCCGGAGGCTATCCTGGTACGTGTGCGCCGCCGTCTGCGGCCGCTGAAAAAAAAAAGAAAAACGGCGCCAAGCCAGCTTCACTTCAGTTCAGTTCAAAGAATGGAACATTGCTAGGCTGCTGGAGATGGATTCTAATCTCTCGATACAGTAGGCCGGGCTTACGTAAACGAGAGTGGCGTGCTGGCCAGTGGAGACGACGGGCACTGGCCGCCAGCCGCCGTGATCAGCCTCGTCGGCGTAGGCTAACCGTCTCTGCTCCACGGTGGCGCTGGCGCCGGCGCCACCGTGCTCCGCCGTCCCCGGCGTCACCGATGCAGCTGCAGCTCCAAATGTAAGGCGTCTCGATCACATCACGGCGGATGAAACACTCAATGAACAGCTCGCTTACCTTTTCTTGCTCTTCTTCCCGGCGCACCGTTGCTCTCCCTCGCTGCCCGCTGCCTCGTTGTGCTCTTAACCGAGGTGGCGGCGGCGACAGCGCCGGTTTTGGCGGCGATCTTCTTCCTCGCCGGCGCGCTCGGCCGCTGTGGTGTGGTCGGAGCGGCGCCGCCGGCGCCGGAGCCGGAGCCTACTTTGCTGCCATCGAATTTCCCGTTTAGCTTGGCCGGCGACTGGCTCACCAGATTTTTCTGGCGCCACGCTGCGAGCTCTGACTCCGAGTACATCTGGTTGCTCTTCAGGGACAGGAATACCTGCTTGGCTTGATGTAGCAGTGACATTGCCTGCAAAAGAGAGGAAACAAAGAAAACGTCCATGCGAATTAGTGAGCTTATTATCATCAAAGTTTTGATACATGATACATCTATGATGTGATTGTGATATACTCCGTACTATCTAAGTTTTGATACAACCGACCTCTCTGTAAGGTATAGTGTCCTCGCTGTTTATGGACATTGCTTTCTGGAACACCATGTAAACATCATTCTGCAGTTGCATATGAATTTCAGGAAGCCGATAAAACTGATAATATTCAGCTTTATATGTTCAGAAGAGAGGATGATTTGGGAAATGAGCAACGAGGTGGACCTCGAATTGCTCCAGTGTGTTGTACATGCCATCCTTGTTCTTCTGCCTTAATGTTGCAAAGTCACCGGGCCTGTTCACCCGTTCTGCATAATCAGTTACCTGCGTTAACATGTTAAATTATCTTTCTATAAGATAATAACACATAGTACATCAGCACATGAAACCAAGAAATAAGTGATTTGTTAATGTTTTTTTTCATGAGAGAACAAACAGCGTATTATCATTCTTTAACATGAACTTAAATATTTTTTGATATATTCCTCCATGGCTTACTTGGATGTCATCAGGCATTGCAAATAACTCATGAGTGTCTCTCCTGCAACAGAGGAAAAGATAAGATAATATAAGCATATATATATATCCTTAACATCAGTCATCATACAAAATCTGTGCTCCGATTGATGTGGAAGCCAAAAGAACACGATAGTTCAAACTTACATCTCTAGTGTATCAAGAATGTACTCAATGATTTGTACTGCTGAACTTTTGCTTGACAAATTATCTGAAAGACGAAGCGGCAGAATTCAGATATGCTGCTTTCTCTCTCTCTTACAGAAATTCAGATTTGCACAAGCAACACCACATCGAGACAACAAAAAGAAACAAATATTCTTACTGATATCGGTTGTTGCACACAGTGCTTGGCTAGAAGAAGCTTCTCCCTGCAAATGCTGAAAGAACATACAGATCAAGATGAGATGAGAACGGCAAGGTTGATGAGAGTTCATCAGGGTACCTAATGACTACCTAGACAGACAATTACCTGGATTTCTTCATTCCTTTTTCTCTTCCCTCGAACACCAGCAATGCTGTTTCGGATTATCTGCCAAGGATCTAGGAGACAACCAGTGGCAGTAGTGTCATCGTTCTTCTGCTCTTCAAGCTTCAGTAATCTAGCACTTCGCCTCTTCCCTTTTCCAGACATCTCTTCACCTCTTCTTCTAAGGGCCACAATGGCAATAGTACCACACAACAGTAGAGTTTATGTTCCATGATATACAATATAAAGGAAAAGATGTAACTACTCCAGCTGGTAGCCCATCTATGCCTATTATTTTAATGCATTCTTGCCATGGAATTGTTGATTGGACAATAGAGGCAATGCAACGCCATTATCTTGTAGGACATTAAAGCTTGCTATTCTGGTATAGCAGATTATGGATAATAAGCAATGCGAGAGTGATAACTTAGGAGTTAAGATGACAAATTCACAGAGAGTACAAAGGAAAGGAAGGAAGTTCACAGTCCATCTTGGAAATGCGACAAGGGTCCTAAAATACTTTATCTTCTATGTGTCACAAAATATGAGTTCCGTTTTTTTTTTGTGAAAAAAATACTCCTCTATAAGCTATTTTAAGCATGCTTATAAGAGCTTTGGTTGTGTATTACTAATTTACTATTACTAACATACCGGTTTCACCTGATTTTTCCATATGTGAGCTCTTCCCATAAATTGGCTAAATGCTGGTATACTCTGGCATATGAGGATTTGTCAAATGGCCATGACCCAAAAAAACAGTTGGGTGCAGCAAATGTGCAGTGATGTATTAGAGAAGTTATGGCCTCGTTTTTACTGACATTAGTTCGAAGGTCATAAATAGGACAGCCTATATTCTCTTGTATCACCATGACAAGCAATGGTATACAACATCACCATATCACTATTGGCCTCTTTCAATGCCAACAAGTCATCTTGTAGAATTTTCAAACGGTGCATTTCATAGACGTCCAAAACAAAGCACAAATGGATAGGTGTAAAAATGTCAACAGTCAAAATCAATGTCACGGTTCTGGGCCATATAAATTAGGCCGCGATGCTGGGTGACAAATGGGCTGGCTTGAGGCCCAACCAGTGGTAGAGCTAGGATTTATAGGATATTCGGGTTTTCTTCTTTAAGAAATTAAGGGTTTCCCCACCTGAATTTTGGTTGAAAGATAATCAAGTACAGAATTCTTTACATGAACAAATCATATGGATAGAAGGGAGGAAGAGAGGATTTCTTTGCAAGAAGAAACTACAATCCTATCCTCGATGTGTAGAAGCTTTTATGTCAATAAAATGTGTAGAGGCTGGGCCCATAGTGTTGCTCGATGCATTCGGATTCTTGTGTAGATTCATCTTTGGGGATTCTACACAAGAATCGCCGAAAACGGGTTTGCACAATCTCCTTCTTGTGTAGATTCATCTTCTTAGGGAGGCATTCGGATTTGTAAACTACTATAGTAGCTTGCTTAGATATAGTGATATCGATACAATATGTCGATGGTATTGATACACACCATTTTCTTAATTACACCACTCATATCGCAACATGTGCGTATATATATATTAAAAGAAGGAATTTGATGACTTGTTATAATTGGCATCAAACCATTTTTTAAAAAAGAAAATTTGGTAGGAGCTCTGCATGTTAATTTAAGGTGTCAAGAGTACCAAACAATCAGACTTTTGGGAGATTATATTGCACTGGTTGACAACTTTATGTAGCAAGGATATTTTAACTTCTTGTGTTGACGAAGAAAAAAACTTGCAACCACAAAGAAACTACTGGCAATTGAATGGATCTTCTTCTTTAAGATAATTGGCATCAATTACATAACAAAATGGAGAGAAAAACAACTAGGTGGGTGAAGCTAGCTACAACCAAGCTCTATTGCTATATGCACAGAGGAAATAGAAGAATATACAACATTCAGAGATATATACTAGTCTTAACTAATTGCTCATCAATTGCTGAAGCCAATAAGCGAGTGAGCTAACCAAATTAGCATGAATGGTGCCAAACTGGGAGGGACTAGGGAGAGCCCGTTGCTCGATCTTTTGGACAGAGGATAGCTAGAAGGGGATAAAGTTGGGTTGTTAGAGGTATAGATATTAAATCTAGCTAGGATATGGAGGTATGTATTACTAGTATACCCTATGTATGCTAGGTTTATGTCTAAAGTTTATGGGTATTCGGAATACCCATAAGTTACATTGGATCTGTAGGTTGCTTCTAGTGAAAACAGATTAACTCCGTGCAAAATTGCACTGGACAATCTGGAGTACTTTATCTTTTTTTTAAGGAAAAAAAAAGGGTCCAGGTGACACCACGTAAGAAGAAAGGATGGCAATCAGCTAGTTTATCTTTGAAAAAAGAAGACAACAGAACAATTCGGCCCACGTAACGCCAAACAAGGATACAAGATGAATCTTCCTGTTGGGGCACACATTCCGCATGCATTGAGAGTGAAACCAACTAATTAACTTTTTACCACTAGTGTCATCATCGTTAAGATACACATTAGAACATGTGGCTTCAGGACGTGCGTGCAAACCAAACAGCTATAAAAACTCGAACATAATAAGTGAAGGACAAGATATATAAACAGATCATATGTATTCGATACAAACTCTAGCAAATCAATATAAAGTAATATATGCAAGCCTAACTAACCAAGAACGGGAGGATGAAGTGTAGTCTGCACTTCAATTATTATGGAGAAATGAGCGAATGAATCACAAATACTAACAGGATAAGGATCGAACAAGCTGACATATTAGGTGCGCTTAAGTGGTCACTGTACTGGCGACCAATTTTAGGCTGCAAACGTTAGTAGCTAGGCAGGCAACTTGTTTTGAAGAGACACACATACTGAGGGCCTATTCGGTTCAAGGTATAGGAAAAACGTAGAAATAATATAGAAATACACGTGTAAAATAAAGGATTAGAACACAGGAATTTTTTCTACAATGAGCTAAACAAAAGAGAATGGAGTGGATGTTTTCATTCCTATGGAATTAGTACATTTTGGAGGTTTTTTAGAGGATTGGCATAATGTTCCTATGGAAAATTTTTCTTTGAATCCTACAAACCGAATGCATGAATAGTGCTTATTCCAAAGGGATTGAGATTTCCTTTAAGAATCCTTCAAAACGAATAAGGCCTGACATTATTTAGAGCAAGGTACATAGCTGAAGGAAGTTACTCCTATATGTTTTATTTACATTGCCTCAAGTCAAGATGATATTAAGAGGCATCGACTACTTAAAAAACGACTTTTTGCTAGCGGTGACCTCATCGACGGCGGATCCAACGATAGGGACCACGAGCGGGTGGCAGCAACGGCCTCAACGACGCGGATCCGATGACTATGACCTCAAAGATGGTGGATCCGGCGCAGGGGAGCTCGAAGACGGCATGGGCGCCTACACCACCGTGCGGCAATGTATTTTTGGTGGCGGCGGTGGGGGTGGCTAGGGTTTTCTGGGTTGGGGGCTAGGGTTTGGTTTTTGGAATTTTTTTCGCCGAAATTCTTTTTCATATGGGCAGCATAACACGTTCTCCTGCAAAAAAATCTTTTTGCTCGTGGTTGTGTTATCCGATTGAAGAATTCCTATTTTCGCAAACACTTGGACACAGGCAGGTTTACCTACTCGAGAAAATGGGTTCTGGATCGACATTGACCGACAACTAAAAAACAAGAGTATGTACTGTAAGAAGTAAGAATAAATCCATAACTACCAATAGGTAAACTCACCGGGGTCTACAATTCATATTGCTGATCACTCAGATCCTTGAATTACATCGAGCTTATCCAGCTGTATCGTGAACGCTCGCCGATCAATTTAGAGCAAGTACTCTAAAAATACCATATAAGATTAGATGATGAGGTGAAAGGGAGAAGTGAGAAGAGAGAGGATGAGCCACCACTACACAAATTCCAAGAGCAAAGTGAGATGGTATGAGAGTGAACCAACAAAAAATTATTGGGATTTGTGTAAATTGATGTACATGTTATCTCTTAATCAATGATTATTCCTAGTAAATGATATGACTAAAATTAAAGGTAATTGTCACCTTCACTATAAAACTTGCTCTTGGTGCTTTCACAATGCACTGAGATGTCGTTCAGCCTCAGCATGATAGGTCAGAGATTCCATGCCACGTCTGCCATTCTCGTTGCCCTATGAAGATTGCGGAGACAAGATGAGCCATAGGTGCCACGTCTGCCATTCTCGTTGCCCTATGAAGATTGCGGAGACAAGATGAGCCATAGGTTCTTGCTCAAAATTTGCAGGTCTGGCCTACACTCATGTCCCTTGCCGCTAGAGAAGGGAGGATAGGGACCTCATCGCCAACCTGCGCTCCACGCCGCCAACCTCATTGGCTAGGGGAGGAGGGTGACCGGGCGTCATCCTCATGGTCGTGGAGCACTTGGGTTGCGTCGGCAACATCACGGCCGTGGACGATGAGTATGAGCTCGAGAAGGTGGCGGTGGCCTCGACCCGTCCGCCGCAGTAGCCCAATGGTGGCCTTCTCAAACCCTCAGCCCATCCACAGCTCGTGGTCACCGTCTTGTGGATCTCGCTGTCGCCATCGAGTGGTGAAGGGAGATGGGTGCCAGCAGGGGAGTGGAGGTGGTGAATGCAGATTTTCTTGGTGAGGGATGGAGGTTGGGGATAGGTGAAGGGAGCTTGTTGGGCTGTCGATGGTGCCCTAACCGCCCACCTTGATCTACGCTGGAGAAGCCCGCACGGCTCGATGGGGAAGGCGGTGGGGGCTGGAGAAGCTTGTCGGCTCATTCTACTGCCCTCGACAAACGCTACTGAGCTCATCATTGTTCCCCCGTGCCGCACCGTTGAACTCATCAGCGCGTCGACTAGGTGGGGTGGAGAGGAGAGGATAGGAGAGGCGTCGGTTGGGGGAGGAGGAGAGGGCCCCGGCCGTGAGGAAGACATGAGGGGGAGAGGGAGAGGAGCTCGAGCTAGCTCGTCCCAAATCTGCACCGCCAAGTCTTGCCATCCCCCACTCCCGAGCCGTCGATCTCGCCTTCAACATGCTCCACGCGCATGCCAGCCAGGGGAGGAGGGCCGCCGGTCGGGGGAGGAGATGAGGAGCATTGGTCAGAAGGAGATGGGAGCCGGGAGTCACCGCCGGTAGCGATTAGCGAGATTGAGGGAGATGCTGAGAGGATAA